AAGAAGAGGAAGAAGAAATAAGTAATAGAATTAATGCTACATGGGAAGGACTGAAAGCAGATCAAATTAAACAAGAAGAAGATACAAGGCATTTGAGTGACATACATACACTTGAACAAAGCAATTTAGCTCTTAATAACACAGAGAAACCTCCTTACTCAAATAACACACAACATCAAGACAATGCGCCGATAGAATCTACAACACAAAATCAAACATCAATAGAACCTAGTGCGCCTATTGACAACACAAAAAGAAAAACTTCATATGAAGATTCAAGTCAAAAGAGGCCCAAAATAGACACACATGAGTCTGATTATTGGGCAAGTGACATGGAAGAAGAGTTAGATTTAGATTTCCTAAGCAACATTCATAGTTATTTTTGATAGTAAAAAATCACTTTTTAATAAGAATGGAAGCAAAATCACGTTGACAAAAAACAATACTGTCCTGAATATATCCTTATCAAACCGTCAGAGAATTCGACTCTAATAAACAAAGCAAGTACTAAACATTTCTGGTTCTACATTCTCTAAGTTAGCAGTTTCTTCTCGCAGTTGCGACTTCAGATACTTGATCTACACATAGTTTTTGTCAAAATTATGTATCACATTTAGATACGTTTCTTACCTCTCTTTTCCTGTCTTAACTTTACTTCTTTCAGAAAAAGGCAGAAAAAAAGGGGAGGTCTTTTTGACAATCAACAAAAAATGATGCCTTCCTTCAAAACAACTAATACTAAGCCCGAATTACCAAAGTTTCTCTTTATGGATCCTTCGTCAACAAATTTCAAAAAGAGCATTATTATGTTTTAAAGCTTGGCGTAGACGGTTGTTCCATAAAAGATTGGCCGAGTTTAAATATATATTCTCATTGCATGAATCAGAATTTAAAAAAATGGAGAAATCAAATATTTATGCTCAACTATGAGCAATTGAAAAGAATCCCAAAGTACCTGTATGATATGATGGTATACGCCCTTCAAGTCGAAACGAATAACCCAAGCCTTGAATCTATTATGCTCTTCTCTGACTCTAGATATAAAATATCCCTGAACAAAGACGGTGCATTTGAATTGATTTTTGAAACAATGGATGTATTGACAGAGTTCTATAGAACAAAAAAACGAAGCCCAAATATCATTATCAGCAATCGATTGTATGACTCTAACACTTTCAGCTGCTTGCAAAGATTGAGAAGACAACGCTGAGCTGACATTCATTGGCAGTCCAGCCGCAGAGAAAAGCCTAGTGCAAAATTCTACACAACAGAATCCCTAGCAAGCAATTCCTACACGAAAGACGAATAAAAGACATCGAAAACGATCGATGGGTCAGTTGCAACCAAACAGAGGATACCAAACATTTACTAATCTCTTGTGGAAATAAGGCAATGATTTGGCAAGGTGTATTCAACAAGTTCCTTGGCTACCCAACCGAAATTAATACAGATAGAATATTTCAAGGCCTTAAAAGCCTTAGACTTTCGAGATATCTCATCTACAACTTGGATATAAATATCAACATATATGACTTCTTTGCGACAATAATTTGATCAATTTGGTATGGCCTTTTCCAACATCATTTCCATGGAGTGCCTTTTGACCCTGAAAAATTTCCGAAAGAAGATTTCAAAATGATAATTATGTGGGAAGTCACTTCACTCTGTGTACACTTGACTATCCTTCAATATTCTTATTCTTAGAAATTCAAGAGAAATGATGGACTAAAAGCGTCTAAAAACGAAGAGTTATCAAAAAGGGGTATAAAAAATGGTAGATACAATTAAGGCGCATCGAATGGTGTGAAAAGCTCAGTATGCTCAAATAGAGGAAACCCGAAAAAAGGGAACTGGAAGGCAGAAATGACGATTTTTTTCGATAAATACTTGCGCCTATGGCAGGCTGCTAAAATACTTTGGTTTTTGGACCTTTTCGAAAAATATTTGGACATTTTCAATTTTAATTTCAGACGTTTACAGAAGAAAATTCAGACGATTTCTTCCATTCTATAGCTTTTTTCTAAGCTGTAAAATGGAATGACTTTGTCCAATAAAAAAAGGGTATTGTCAACTGTTTGATAGATTAATTTAAAAAGAATTGTAAGGAGAGTTAGTTGATAAATAAAGATCCTGTAATAAACACAATACTCTGAAAAGGCACAAACTGAGGATTAGAAGCACCTCAAGCACATCCATTTTGCTTATACCAAATGGAATCAAAAGTCGGTGAAGGATAAGAAAAAAAAAATTGGCCACGCCAAATGCAAAATTTCAAGAGCTTTAGCCATTTAATGCAGCTAACATACTTTCTCAAATTGATTCCCAACATTTGTATCAAAGTTTATCTCATTTTTATTTTAAAATAAAGTGTATATTATTATATATATATAAGTGCGCATGCTAATTTTGAAACTTATTTGCGAGAAGCTCTCTTTTTTGTCTTAGGAGAGGTCTTCTTGGAACCAAGGTGATGTTCAGGAATCCAGGATTGATCTAAGACCATTTCACCTTTTTCATCACGGTGAGCAGGACGTTCAGTCACTTCTTCAACCTTCTTGGTCTAAAAATAAACAGTTAAAAAAGATACATATTCAGTCGAGCCTTACCTTCTTAGTCTTCTTAGCACTAGGGAAGAAGGCTTCACGAATAATATAACCAACACCAGCAGCACCAGCAGCAAGAACAGCATAAAGAACAAGACTAGTCATGTATGAGACCACGTCAAGAAATATACAAGTACTTACAGTTGAAGATCGAACCAAGAACCTTCAGGATCAGTAACAGTAATAGTGCCATTGTAACCAACAATACGGGTAACAGATTCCTGTACAAATTAATCAATACATGCACACACACATACACACACACACATACACACACACACACACACACACACACACACACATATATATATAATATTACAAATACATACTTCAGATAACAAATCAACAAAGACAGTTAGGCCATGTTCTCCAGGAACATATTCAGAATAAAAGTTATAGGGAATTTGAACAGAAGCACCAGCACCAAGAGAGAGACCATAACGAGTAGCAGTTAACTACATATATGTTAGCCTCCTTTCTTTTTTCTATTATAACAGTAGATTACTTACGTTACGAACAACCTGAGAAAAGTCATCAGCTTTGGAGACTTGACCAGTGACAGCAAAAACAGTATAAGGACTCTTTTCCTTATTTACAATGTCCAAAATAACCTTGTTACGTTGACCATTGACAATTACTAGTGACAGTTAAGAAAAAAAACACAGCACAAAGATAATACTTACAACCAAAAGGATTATCAGGGAATTGGGCAGTAACTTCAACATTAGTGGCCACAGCATCCGATTGAGCAGACACTTTTTGTAAATGTTAATACATATAGACGCGTCTCTGTCTTTGATATTTACCAAGACCAGCAACAAGAACCAAACCCAAAGTCAACAAAGAAGAGAAAGTACGCAACATAATTGAACAAGTAAGAAAAAAAAGAGAAAAAGAAGAAAAGAGAAAGTAAAGGAATACAAGGTTTAAATGACATTGTAGTCATCCCTTGATTGGTGTACTTTATTGAATGTCCGTCAATAGTCTGTGTGAAGTGCAAGTTGTTGAAAAGGACCTTCCAAGTGTCCCTTGAGGACTTGTGCTTTTGCTCTCAACATACCCAAATCTACATCTGCTTCACCAACAAGACATAGGATCATACCTCCTAGACTTGTAATAAACACAACGCCTTCCTACAAAGAGATTAAGTAAACGCGTCTTTGTTGTTGAGTCTTACTTGACAGTCGAGTATTTGGAATTGGAGGTTGGTATACACTTCACTATTCTTTTTCTTGTATGTGTTCCAAATATTGGCCGAGATGGCAGAGTAAATGGTGGCATTCTTGTCATTGTCTGCTGCAAATGAAATCAGCGATCCTTCTGTTGTCATGATCCTATCCTGTTATTCAGTAAAATAGCATTTTCCTGGTTGATTCTCTTACAGTGCTGCTTTAATACCATTATACAAAGATTGTCGTAGTACTTGGGATATAATCTTTGGTTTTAACATTGGTAAAGAAAAGGGTTTTGCATTAAAAAATCTTCCTCCGCTCTCAATTTATACTTTATTATTGTATCAGCGTACATAAGGTCTGCTTTTATGCTTGGTTGCTTCATAGTCAGCTGCTTCACTAAGATGTGTGTAAACAAAGCACGGCTTACAATACGTATTATCATCTTCACAACCAAGGCATTCAATCGTAGCATCATCATTACAAATGCCTGTTATACAATCAGTAAAATATTGTTTAGGACAAGATACATACAACACCAGTCATTCATTTCATCATGTAAATCATCTTTTCCAAGTGGTTTAGGAATAATTCCCTTGGGTTTTGTTGAATTGGATGTCGTAGATACATTTGGAGCATTCTTTTTCAAGTCAAGGTATCTTTGTTCCAATGCTTTGTCTCGTTGTTGAGTGAATTGATCGTATCTGTGATCTAACGCAGCTTCTTGTTGTACCCTTTGAATAAGTTCATGGCTTTCGTCCGTGTTATAAGTTTCTTTGCCTAGAAAGGTTTCTTGAAGATGGTCTATGTTGTCATTCAAAGAACAGTATAATTGTCTATCCTGTTTCGAGTCAAGCATGTCATAAATATCATCATCATCACTTTCATTGAGCATCGCTTCAATCTATAGGACACGATGAACAAAAAAAAAAGTCAAGCAAGCATAGTAACGTACTTGCTTGTCTATTTCATCACTATACGCATTGTCTGGTATAGCATAATTAGGTTTGGATTGAGCAACTACAGGTTGTGTTGAAAATACATGATTGAATCGTTGAATCAAGTCTTGTTCACTATCATATATAGGTATAAGCCTAACTATCTATCAAACTACAACATGACTTACGAAGTGTTCTCTATTGGCTTTTCCTTCTCAAGCAACTTCCTTACTCTGTTCTCAAGATCGGTATCCTTCTTATCAACAGGCATTGAAAAAGTCACAATTTGATTCTGGTTAGCATTTTTTCCCTTGTTTTTTTTTTCTCTCTGTTTGTTTGGTTATTAGAATGAGCCTTATAGATCAAGTCACCAATCAACTTGCCACAATAGAACTAAAAGGTGATTCTCGAGCACATCGATCAACTTGATTAACCCAGTTCATGTAGACGAAGACATTGCAGAGTATATTACGGGCATTCTTGAGGATGATTCGATTGAAGATGACGAAAAGCGCGAAGTCATGTCAGAATTCCTTTCTGAAGCCACAGTAGGTAGTTTTTGTTCAAGAGAGCCGAGTTTGATCTATCTTATAGGACAAAGATACCGAGCATTTGATTGGTACCTTGTTGGAGAAGTCGAAAAAGCTACAACAGGATCAAATCAAGGAAGCAGAAGAAAAGAAGTCAAAGCTTATTGAAGAAGCCCGCGGTATTGAAAAGCATATAGAGATAAATCCATGGACTCATTTCTTCTTATAGCGCGCGAGGAAGAGCGAAGAATCAAAGCTGAAAAAGAGCAAGAAGAGAATTTAACACTTCGAACAGCACAAAAACAACTAACCAAAGAACAAAAGGAGGCACGCGAAAAATTAATGCAGCAATATGGTTATGTATCTGAAGGAGAAGATGATACAGAAAAGAAAGAGGAAGCAGAACCTTCACCTAGAGATCGCCGTAAAGGCAAAGCTGCACCCCTATCTGGTATATATCTGTATATTTGTAGCTGTATTTATCTTTATTTTAGATCCATTGTTGGCTGCCAATCGTAATGCTGATCTTGTAAGAGAAAAAGAGCAACAAAGACGTGAACAAATGAAGAGTGCTGCAGAAAAAGAAAAAGAACGCAATAGAATGTTGCAACAAAAGCAAAAGAAAGAGAAAGAACAAGACAAGGAAAAGAAAAAGACGCAAAAAGGAGAGAGAAGAAGAATGTAGATTTTATCGTTTTTTATACAAACAAGGCTTCAATAAAGTTTGAGATTTCTTTTGTAACTTGCTATTGGATTGAGTAATGCCTGCGCCTTTTTTGAGAGATCTGATCTGTGTCTTGGTTAAACCAGCCAACATTTCTTGATCCAAGTCTTCTTCATAATTGGGCCGTTTAGTAAAGTAGAGCATGACAAACATCTTGTTGTCATCATCTTTATCCATAAAATCATATCCTAAACCTTCCAACAAAGTAATAAATTGGTCTAAATCGCTGAATCGACTGACAACTTCGGCAATCTTCAATTCACCACTAAAGAAGAAAAAGATTATTAGTGTCATCCACAGATTGAAACAGTAACTTACCCAACTTTGAGTACACGATGTGCTTCTTTCAGAAAATCAAGGTAGTTTGTACCCATAAGAGACAATGAAAAGACAGCAACATCAATGGAGTTTGCTTCCAGAGGCAATTTAGAGATATCGCAAGCAGTGACTAATTCGTTCTTTGCAATCAAATCAAAGCTCAAAACTTTTTGCTTCTTGAGTGTCTGAGCAATCATGGCATCACCACAGCCTAAATCAGCAATCACAGTGTTCTTGGGCAATGTTTTGAGTTGCTCAATAACCACATCGACAGGATTAACTGGCCATGATTCTACTTGATGCCGGAAGCCTTCATGGTACTAATATACATGAGTCATGATTCATTATTTTACACAACATACTTCGTCAAATAATTCAGGCTTTTGTTGGAACAAACTAAACGATTGCTTTCCAGGTGTAGTATAGAGTTGTTCATTCAACCAACGGAAACGAGCACCTGAAAGCTTTTCTTTCATTTTGCGCTGAAGAGGAGTAAGTCCTTCATCTGATATTTGTTTAGCAACGGGCTTTGTTTCCTTTGGTTGTTGTTGTTGCTCTTTTTTATTAGTCTCTGGATTTTTCTTTTTTAGGAGCTAGTGACTATGATTAGATTAGCTTTTAATGCTTTGTTACTTACTGCTTGAAGCTTCTTTTTTGCTCTGCTTTTTTGTTATTGTTGTTGTTTTGAGCAGTGTCATTTGTCTTTTTAGGTTTCTTTTTCATGTTTTCAGCTGTTTTTTCGACTTTTTCTTGGTCCTCTAAAGCTCTTTTTTTGTTGTTTTTCTTTTGAGCTTTCTTGCTTGGTTTGACAGCTTGATCGTTTAGTTTGGCTAGATCAGCTTGAAGTTGATCGGCTTCTGTTGTACTGTCAGGTGCTGGCTTGTTCTTTTTCTTATCATTTTTTACTGCTTGTTGAGCAATATTCTTAGGGAGTGCCCAACCTGAGGCTTCAAACAAAGGTTGCATTAAGAAAAAGTGAAGAAAAAAAATATATAAAAAGAAATGGACTGCTTTTATTATTGCATTTGAGGTAACAAAATATGGCAGAAAGTACCTTGAAATAAACTATATTATTCAGGAATGAAAAGACTATATACGATGGATATGTCATGAAAAAAGATGCATTATATGAATATATATATATGTATAAAAGGGTGGTATCAAAGATCAGCTAAAAGAGCTGTACCCATTTGTTTAAAATTATGAACAGATGTTGGCTTGATAAAAAGAGGATTCTTTGAAAACGAGAGTCGAATTCCTCCCTTGATGGAATTGGATAAGGGGTATCCTTGATAACAACGCATGGTTTGAGTGGCAAATGCAATGTCTTCAAACTCGACAAAACACATTGGGCCTTGAGGCTTCTGTCGAAAACTCATGCGCCTGTATCCTTTGCACTTAACAAACAATGAACGCAATTCATCCACATTTGTATTGACCGGAAGATTACCAACATAAAGCGTATTACAAGGTGGGTTTTGGTCATTGGATGGAAAGGCATTTTTTCGGTCACCATGAAGGTGTAGAGTTGACAGGTAAGGATCAGCTTCTGGTTCGGATGATTTACGAAATAGAGTAAACGTATTGTTTTGTTCTTCAGGAGGAGTCATATCAAATAAATACGATGGAGTGTTGAGTAATGATGTCCCAAAATAAGATGTTTTCCTGGCATTTTTGCTGATAAAAGGATTTGTGTTGTTATGATCCTCAGGGGATAATAAATCACTAGGCAATGGGGAAAATGATTCATAGGTATCTGGAATGTCAGACTGAGAAGCCAAATTGGTATAATAGGAATCGGACAATAAGAAGGAAGCAAAAGGTGAGGATGGTTTGGTAGTATGAGAAGACACTGAGTTTATAGGGATTTGCTTGATATGAAGGTTCTTTTTGGCCATCTCTGCCTTGAGAATACAGCCCTTTTCAGCATCTAACTTCTTGCCATTTAAATGATTTGCTGCTTCTTGAGCCTCTTGCCGAGTACTGAACCGAGCAAACCCAATCTACAAAAAAAAAAAAAAAAAAAAACTATCAATGAAATGTGCATTTTCTCAAATAATAGCATACCATTTGCAATTTATTAGCTACAGAGACAATGCTTTGATCTTCTTGGTAGTCCTTGCAATGCCATTTTAAAGAGGCTGCTTCAAATCCTTTAGAAAATGTAAACATATTTCTAAATTCTCGTTCTTGTAAATCATCTGGAAATCCAACCACAAAAATAGTGCAAACATTGTCTATTGGTTCTGCAGAAAGCGGCGGTGAAGAAGGCAGAGATGATGAAGGAGAACTATCAAGGCTGGTATCCGTTAAGGAAAAATGCTGATAGATGTCATGAGTGCATGATGGCAGGTTTGTTTGATGATAATAATGATTGCCTCTGTTGTTTTGAAACATGCTAAACAATAAAGAACAAGTAAAATAAAATAAAAAATATCTAAAGAATTGTTTATATATTTACTATGATTTGGGGAATGAGAGTAATTTGGCTTTATTGAAATATTGTCTAATTGAATTTTTGCAATGTCTTTCTGATTCAAAAAAATTCTTTTTAGTTATGGGGTATACACACACATATATCTTTCTCATCAATCCTCATGCTGATTCTTTTCTTTACCAGCAACACCTACTCTTTCTTGCTTTTTAGAAGATGTTTTGCCTATGCCTTTATGCTTATGAGGGTCCTATCATTGAAACATGAGAATCCATTTTAGAAAAAAAAAACAAGTGATTACCTTTCGACTCATTGTCTTTTTGTCTCTTACACCTTTTCCACCTTCCCAAAAGGCACCCTTCAATGGAGCCTTTTCAAATTCATTACCACAGACACAAGGCCTTCCGCTTTGAATAGTTTGTTCTCTTGAGCATAAGCCACATACCATTCTTTTGGCCATTTCCATAGGATGATCTTGTTGTTGGTCATGACAATGATCGCAAGGATATAGCTTATTGCAACAAGTGAATCGAAACCAACGCTTTGACTTGCGATAATGAGAACAAGTGCCTTGATCTGGCAAAGGCTCACCAATTGTCAATGGGCTGTCTTTTGATTTCTTTTTCTTGAGCTTCATGACTTGTTGTTCAGTAGCCTTAAGGCGCTCACCACCTTCGCTTCCAATTTTGACGAATTTGTAGTCACCTAATCCACACGTCATTTTAGCATGACAAGAGAAGCAATTGAGTGTACGTGGTGCATCATGCGGCGATAAACGAACAGTAGATGTCATATCTACCATACAAGATCCACAGGTACCAATGTAAGCTGAAGGCAAGAGATCATAAGCAGAACAGCCAGCAAGTTGTAATAGACCAATAGACAATGCGCCTTGATGAACAAATTCTATAATAGACAATGCTTAGTACCTATTTCAGTCCCTATGCATATATTCACCTCCTAAAAATTTGACACCCAAGATAGAAGTACAAGTAGGACAAGTCGTCCATCGTTCTGTCTTTTTAGACTCTGTTTGTTCTTGTTCTGGCTTGATGTTCTCAATATCCACCGTATCTTTGCAGCGAGCACATTTGACTAAGACATGTAACAAAGTGCATCGAAACAAGGAAATGTTTTCCAATGGAGGATCAATCAACCGAATTTCAGTTCCTTTGCGCACATTGGGTTTTGCCAGATTAACAACAGCTGACTCGTTTTCATTTGTGTGTACTAATGCTTCCTGCTCAAAACCTTCTGCTAATTCTACTTCGACTTCCTCTTCATCTGCTTGTTCGTCTACAACCAAACTAGGATCATTCACAATGATCACTTTGTTTTTCTTGACAATGTCTTGTTCATCAAACAAGGATTTTTTGGCAGGTTGCTGAGGTTTGAATTCAGCTGCAGTAGCGGATAACTGAGTGGTCTTGACAGGAGGAATCAAATCTTTTTGCTGTATTCTTGCCATCTTATCTGTCTCTAACTGTTCTTCTGTCTTTTGTGCAGGAGGAGAACTCAATAGAAGTTCCAAATGACGATTCAACCAATTCAGATTTTCAAATAAAGAATAATCACCATTAGCTACATGTTCATTAAAACCCAAAACAATCCAGCTAGATGGTCATCGTTAGTCTTTTTTTTTTTGGTCATGCTTGTCTAGTGCAGCTTACTTGGATCGAGTCTTGTCTAGCTTTTTGTTTTCAATTTCAATTGTACAAGGTTCTAAAGGATAAAGAGTAGGTATATGGTATTTGATAAAAAGCTCTTTTCCTCCAATCATCTGTTCATGCGTAAAATCAGTGTCATTGATGATCATGGTAAGTGTAATCATTGTTTCCTTGTTGGAAGATCTAATCCATGCTATATAAGTACATGTTTAACCTAGATTTTATATTTTGTACCTGAAACTATCACAAAAGCGTGTCTGAAGTGTATGAAGCTCTTGCTTGCGTCTATTTTCAGCTGCTAAGAGTTCAGCAGGTGTAAATATAGGTTGCTTCTGTGCTTCTTTAGGTTCAATACGTTTGTTTTCTGTTTTTGGAATAGTCGTGGCCGGTTGAGGGGTTATGGTCTTGTTGATGTGATGTGGATTTAATGTAACAGGCGGTTTAGAGGACGAGGATTGGTTACTGGAGCTGATAGGCGCAGTAGTTGTGTTGTACTGCGGCGCTGAATGAATGTCTACTGCTGCGGCTACATGACCCATCTCCTCCTTTGTTTGACGATGATTTGATACAAAACGAACCGTTGCTGCGGGAGCTTGTTGTAGCAGATTTTCCATGTTGCGATCAAGCCAATTCATTTGACGAACAAGTGTTTGATGTGCTGCAGATCGAGAAGGATCTACGTGTGTTGCATAACCCTTTTCGAGGTTACTAACAAGTTGTTGAATACATTTACATAGATATAGCAAGACTTACAATGCAAATCCTTTAGGAATATCCGAGTTCAATACTTGGACAGAACAAGGTTGTTCAGGATAGTCTTTTGGTATAGTCAATTGAAGTTGAAGAGCATCAAGTTCATAAGGAAAGTCAGGGTCAGAAGGTTTAATAGCAAGTCGAATAATAGAATTCTTTTGGTTTTCTCTAACCAGTAAATTAGTAGGATTCTCTCGAAAAGATATGTATATATATATATATTTACTCGATAAGGCGATAGGAAGACTTGTAGCGCGTTTCCAATTGAATCAATTCTAAACTTCTCTTTTCCTTGCTGGTTTTGTTCTGTATGAATGATAAGCATACATTTTATCTTTCAATACAATTTTACCAAAGTTGTGTTGGGGTTAACAACCGTTCTAGGTCCTTTTTGTACCATTTTGTTAAAAAAGAAAAAAAAAAAGAAGAGATAAACCATGCAAGTTCTGACTGTCTTAAATAGATGTTCAACGTCACATGAATTTAGCAATCCTCAATTCGTGTCACAATGAAAAGTAGGGCAAATACAAACTGTTACAATCAACAGGGATGAACAAAGAAGCCAATTGTGCTAGAAAATACACTACTACTACTACTACTACTACTACTACTACTACTACTACTACTACTACTACTACTACGACATGATTGTGTTCAAAAAGATTTCACCAAAAAAAATAAAAAAAAATAGAGCGGGGTGGGACTTTGATTTCATGAGCCGTGTGTAAGCAAAGCATGATTCACTTTTTATCTCTTTTTTCTTTGCCATGAACACCATCAAACCAGACCAGATTATTGAACTTGAACCCTCCCTTTTAAAGGTATGACTGACTTGACTCGATCAGCAAGACTTATCCTACATAGGTGCCATATGAGCAACTTCGTAAATCCTTCCGATATCAACATAAATATGTTGAAAAGGAGCTTATTTCTTTACACGATAAAATCGAGCGCTGTGTAAAAGACACGGACTTGTCACCAGAAAAGGCTTCTCAAGTTATAGATGAGCTACTGAAGCAAGTAGACAAGCTGACACGAAAAGTAGGCAACTAAAGAAATGATCATGATGCTTATATGTTACTAGCTGCAAAAGACAAAAGAAGAAGACTTGCAACATGCTCATAGAATAGAGAAAAGAATCCATAATCTAAATCAAATTGAAGGCGTTACTTTAGCAAAATCACCCGAGTTTACAAGTTGGAGCAAAACACGATTGGACCGAGTGATTGTAGACTATTTACTTCGAGAAGGTATGACAAATACAGCCAAAAAAGTAGCAGCAGTGGGTGGTATTGAAGACATGGTCGATATCCAATTGTTTACCCAGTCAGAAAAAATCGAACAAGCACTTCGGAATCATAGCTGTAAAGAATGCCTTGCATGGTGCAATGAAAACAAGTCAAGTCTTAGGAAAATGAAGGCAAGTTATGATGCTAGGAGAATACATGTTGCTAACATCGGTGGCATAGAGTACACTGGAATTTAACTTGAGATTGCAGGAACATATTGAATTGGCCCGAGCTTCTAAAGGCTTAGAGGCGATTGCTTATGCTCAAAAGTATCTGTCTCCCTGGAAGGCTGTCGAGAGTAGAAGAATCGGACAAGCCATGGGTTTATTAGCTTATAAGAGCGACACACAATGCCAACCCTATAAGGACCTGTACGATCCCAGTCGTTGGCAGGAATTGATAGATCAATTTAGAGCAGATAATTATACATTATGCTCGCTTACTTCACATCCATTGTTGTTAATTACTTTGCAAGCAGGTCTTTCAGCTCTCAAGACACCACAATGCTATGAACATGAGAATCAGAATGTCAACTGTCCTATTTGTGACAATAGCACGTTAGGCAGTTTGGCTGAAAAACTACCACTGAGTCATCATGTCAATTCTACTATTGTGTGCCGTATCAGCGGTAAAATCATGAATGAAGATAACCCGCCCATGCTTTTACCCAACGGTGTCGTTTATAGTATGAATGTAAGTCGGCAAGATGATTTAAATAACAACTAAATATTTTCTATATAGGCTCTTCAAGACATGGCTTCTAAGTTTGATGGTAAAATCACTTGTCCAAGAACTGGATATACATTTACTATGGATCAACTTAAAAAAGTCTTTATTTCATAATATACAGTTCTTTTTTTGGTAATGACCTAATGATGTGTAAGTTTTTTTTCTTCTATAAAAAGCGGGTAAAATCGTTATTTGTTTTTCTTTTTCTCTTTCTTCTCTTTTGTTTCTTTGTGTTTTCTCATCTATAACAAATGCCACCTATTGTTCTTAAAATCCAAAGCAACGATTCTCTTCCCTTTTCTGACCTTGACCAAGACGAACTCTCAAAGACTTGGAGAGTTTGTACTAAAGTCAAAGATGCACTTGAAAATGGGTCTAGACTCGAGAATTTATCTTGGCGACTATGGTTTATCCAAAACGTCTTGAACGCCAATGACGCCAAATTCAGGTCAACCAAAAAAATGGAGACTGAGCCAGTCTCTATAAAAAATGACGACATGATTATGCTGGAGCAACAATCGGTATTAGACACGACAGAAAACTTTATACTCAACCAATTCACTTCTGACCAAGAGGGTAACCAAATGATTGAATTAAAGGATATTTTTCCTTTTGGCATGCAAGAAGAGGCCATAGTGTCTCAACCATGCTATACGCATTATGCGTATCAAGAGCCATATAACAATTTTGATTCTTCTGTGCCTGTTTATGACACGCCTTCGGATCCTATTGTTGGCATTCAGTCACTCTTTAATGCTGATGCCAGTACAATGCCTTCCATGAGTATTCCGAGCGATGATCACAATATGACACAATTGCAAGAACAAAACATGGTGGCTGATTATAATAATGCCGCTTATGTAGCTGCTGCTGCTGCTGCTACTGCTGCAGCATTTACATCCATACCCAATGCCACTCTTCATAACAAATTACTCGCCACATTACCTCGACAAACACTTGCTTCAGCTGAACGACTATTATCACCTGCCAAAAGACGGTCCGCAACAACCGTAAACAATAATAACGAACCACTTGGTTTTGTACCAGATAAAAACAAACAACCACAGCACTACTTTGGTTCATTTCAACTGGAAACATCAGGCAACCCAACACATCCGACACGGAAACGATCCAGTACTAATTCGTATAATACGTCTATGTCTTCTAGCAACTCAAGTACAACAAGTAGTGAGGACAAACCACCCATTTGCAGTAACTGTGAGACGACTACAACACCACTTTGGCGTCGATCGACGGATGATAAAATACTCTGTAATGCTTGTGGCCTTTAGTAAGTTAGCATGCTATTTTAAATCCTTACTAAAAAGAAAACATCACGCTAGTTTTAAATTACATAACATACCTAGACCAAGACACTTGAAACCCTCATTTGGAAAGAACAACGGCCGAGACACAGAGGACGGTACAGAAAATGAAAATATAGAACAACAGAAAGCGATTTGTTCCAATTGTGGTACAAGTAAAACACCGCTTTGGAGAAGAGATCATCAGGGTGCTCCATTATGTAATGCGTGTGGACTATAGTAAGTAAAGACTATCTGATCACAGGAATGCTAATTTATTTAGCCTCAAGTTACATAATGAAAAACGACCCTTGTCAATGAAGACAGACGTAATCAAGAAAAGACAAAGAACAGAGGCGCTGATTGCCTCTACATCTTCTTCTGATGACACAGCCAAGAAACCAAGGTATTATGATCAACAGTCTTTATATGCAGCCAATGATCAAAATACACCAGGGTATCGAAACACAGTTTCATCACTTCCTGGTACCGGTATACTCATGATGACTAACAATAAATCTATATAATTTCTGTACATATTCTTAGAAAAATAAAAATAAAAAAAAGCTTTTGTTCTTGTGGATGAGTTGAACTCTATACACATTTCTTTAACTTGACACTCTGCCTTTTCAAATGACAGATAAAGACCAAAGGAAGAACCTTTTACCCCATATATGCATCTTAATTGTTACACACTCATATTTTAATTTGGATTATCAATAAGAAACATGCTGTGGAAAAAAATATTATAAATTGACTTCTCCTTTCTTTTTTGATTTCTTTCTTTCCTTCCTTATGACTCAGTATAAATTTGATCAAGTCACAACAACACAATTTCTTGGAAAGACAGATAGAAACACGTTTGTTTATACAAGTGTAGCCAGTGATGTAAACTAAACTAATGTGTATATGTGTGTATATACTTATCTATCTTCAAAATAAATAAATAAAATAGAAATGGTCCATAGGCAATGTCCCTAATGTAAGCGTATAAGATAGACGTGTATACGAACTGACTTTCTATAGGGTGGTAAAGTACACTAACATCATCATGTTATAGTAATAAATCATTAGGCTATGTCATGGCTATCATTCTTGATAGTGTCATTCAACATTTTGCTGATAAGTATCAAATTGATCCAGTGGCTCTCAACTGTTTCTTCTTCAACAAGACAATTCCTGGTCATCTTATCCTTGAGATAGACGAATTAAAGATGAGCAAGAAAGGATACTGTATCGTTCGTTGTATTCTCAAGCAAAGAAAGGATCTACAACCACTTGTCGATCTTGCTACGTACAATCCTTCTGAATGGCAAGACAAAGTACAAGGTATTTTCACCATGGGCAATATGGATAATGAACAAGGTGTCACGTATTACTACAAGGCACCTCAACCCCCTAATCCAGACACACTAAAGCCTTATCGCTACATGTTTATGAGTGAGTACTTGACGACTGGATTTGATTTGAGCACCATGCCCAAGAGTGATACTGAACCTGGTAAGCCTGAAGTGATGCAGAAGATTGGGTTCAACGATGGCAGGCCGATTGATTACAAAAGTATACCTTATTGGTGTGATATGTTCACCACTCCTCCCACTTTGTTGGGACCTAGTGTTTTAGGAGGACCTGTGTGGTGCCCTACGATGCAATTAGAAGTACAATTTAAGCGCAAGCCTGTTGGAAAAGAAGTGTTTGGTCATTATGTAGCAAATCATATTATCAATGGACGCTTTGATATTACAGGTGAATTGTGGACTGAACAAGGTGATATTTTGGCTTTAACTAGGTAAAATATTTGATATCACTGTCAGTGAAAAAAAAAAAAAAAATGCTTATGTTTGGTAGACATCAATGCTTGGTTGTGCCTTGGAGTCGTAATTCTTCTGATGAATCATCAGCCAAAAAGAGATTAGATGCTATGAAGACTTACGCCAACAAATTATAGACTTTTCCATTAGAACAAGCAACTTATCTGTAATAAACCCCTTTTACTGTATCTTGCCATTAAAATTTTTTTTTTTTAGAAAAAAAACAAAAGAGAACCGCTATTCACTTTCATGCCTATGATTTATAAGGGGGCGGTCGCTTTGAGCGTCTCATTTCTATGAGAAGGCGTAAACTGTACTTTTGTTTATGCATTCTTGTTTTTTATAAGAATAAATAGGCGATTTGATTTGTTCTACCAAGTTTCTACATGCCTATGCATATCTACAATAAAGTATTCGCCTTTTTCTTTGATGCGTTGACATAAAAGTCATGAAATAAAGTTTCATTCTACATCCATATAGAATATCTACTCCTAATATATTTGTCTATAGATTCATATAGTTTACTTAGGTCCTTTTCAAGCTGTCAGAACTACAATTGATGTTAGTTTAGTATAAAATATAAAAGTTTTATGATCAAAGCTTACAGACCAAATGTTTCTAATTGATTTATAATTAATAAATAAAGCTTCAAAAAGAGGTGACCATAAGATTTTGATATACTTGTTTCCATTCAGCCACTACCGATAAACTTTTAGAGCAATGCTCCAAGTATGATGCATAAAACGCCAAATAGATTTCAATCCCGATGCACACTTAGTGCATTGCTCCAATATAGGTGTAAAGCACCAAGTAACTCTTTGTGCTACTTGGCACTTGAGTACCTACGTTGTAGTCTGTAGACGCCAAATTGTGTCATCTTTTACTCAATGGAATGGTGGATTCGTGATGCATATCTGGGACGGGCTATAACAGAGTCTTTGTGATATTTTCTTTTGCCTTTTTTTTCATCCCTCTAGATTGAATGTCTTTTTAGCAGAGTAATTTATGTGGATAAGTAATGGAGTAGTACATTGCTTATTTATGTAGCAGAGACAACTAGGCAGAAAATTGCTTCAGCTATTCCTGCAAATCTTTTTTTTTTCCTCGGGATATAAAGGTAGTATAGGCCTTGTTTATACACCCATGAATGCTCAAACTGCCTACAAACCATGTTTACTAACATCCATGGTGCCTTTTGAGTTGATTTGAATAAAAATAGCGACTTGCAAAAAAAAAAAAAAAAGATCAAAATGACCATTCGATCAAAGGGTATTACTCATGAAAAAAGTTCGTTTAATAGCTTTGGACCTTCTTTTTGATGCTTTGGAATGAAAAACAGAGCTATTGACAAGGTTAGATACTCAAAATGTGTGTTGAACACTCTAGTTTTTGATAAATATGTCTGCCTGTCAGTTGTACTATAAAAGCGGTACGATAAGAGTGAAACCCCTTGAAAACGTTTCTGCCTATTTACTCAATGTTTTAGTAGCAAAGTTGTTGTATTCATTATACTAAAAGACTCAGAAAGCAAGGATCTACAACTTTTGTCACTACACCAAAGCCAGATAACCACGTCTTTATGCAGTTCTCAGCAAAAGCCCAATTTCTGATGCGGCGGGATAAAGAATGGAAGTTGCCTTCCATTTTAATCTCTGCACACTGCCATCTGGTACATCTTTTGTCCCTTTACCCCCCACATTTTCAGTATAAAATGCCTATGTTCCTACTTTCCTATGTTCTCTGGCACTCAAAATAACATAAGATGCTTTAGAGAAATTGATTGCTTGCAAGTTCTATATGACATCTAGAGTAAAAATGCTCAAAACACAGCTTAAACAGGACATTCTTTGATACATCATTACTCGGCAACCAGACAGCTAAAATGGCCTCTTTCTTCATTTAAAACATGTTTTTTTGAGTCAAAGAATTGAATGGTAGCATTAGTCTTACTGTTTTGTGAGATTCATTTTTTTTGACTCATGGGGGATTCACGGAGGTTTGTGATAAAAAAGAATTTCTTGGAGTGACCCAATGTAGGTCTGATCCAACCGAAATGAGGAAAGTTCACCTCCAAGTACTTCTGAAGAAAAGAGAAAGAGTTTACTAAGACAAAAAAAGGTTAACTTGATTTGAGCATTGCATTCAAATCTTCAATCAAAGCTTGTTGTACACTGCAAACAGTATGAAAGAGGCCCTTTTCAGTAGGCATTGACTAATAAGTGGGCACTTATTTCTACATCAATCGATACGCAGAATGTGTGCGAGTAAGAAATAACATAATACATGCTATTTTTGAGGCCAAAGAGAGTAGCTTTGGACATGACAAATGATGAATACCATACAAAAGAAGGATTGGCTATTCAAACGCCCATTTTCTTTTTACCTGGGGTACTAGATTCACACTCTAATTTGATCAGCATTCTTTTTCTGTTTGCCAATAGCTCAAACTGTATTGCTGGATCCAGGTACAGCTGTATGTGTCTGATACTGCTACTTTGTAAGCCTTGGCGGCAAACAAAATCCATGATTATGCAGCTATATGAAAAAAAGATTGCTATATAAAATAGTGCTGTTATTACTGTGTCAACTCAATACACTAGGAGAACATAGATTATATGTTTCTGTATTCGATCATGTAGTCTCTATACCTCTAAAGCCCTCAATAAGCCTTTAAAACAGGGGTTTAGAAAGTTAGCTGAGTATAACTGAGTCTGAATAATGGTCAGGGAACTTATCAGAATATAAAAACAGGTTCCCACCCTTTTTTTCTTTGCTTTCTTTTTGCAGCGTGTTTGTTTTCTGTCCTTTCAGGATAATGTACCAAACGTACTTGAGGGGGGGGGATTGACCACCTGGGTACAAGTGCATTCTCTGTCAAGATAGTCTGCCTTTTTTTTCACTAAACGGGTCTTTGCCGAATTTGATAGAGAGCAAAACAGACGCGTGTAGAGGGTTAGCTTATGGTCCTGTCCGAGGGGATATTCCATCTTAGTTATGCGCACTGGCAGTCCAAGTCCAAATATTCCCAACGCTGGAAGGCTACTATCTTTTCTTGGCACCTTCTTCTCACTTGTGGGGAGGGAGGGGAACCTATCGGATAGTAATAAGTTTAACCCTATTCGTGGTATCTTGGTAGTCTCATTTCTTTGTGTGTGTGACTATTAGGGTATTGCAGCAGTCTTGGTCGTTTGCTACTGTGATAGTGCTAGAAAGCGGTAGTGAAGGTTACTGGGATTGATAGTCATTCGCCTTTTCTTTTGTGAATGCCCTTTAGAGGGGCTTATTTTAGTCTGATGGCTAGAGTAGTCTTTCTAAAGTTAAGCTTCACTTTTGAAGGGGTATCTGTCTATTCGTGGCAAGCTCTATTCATTTAGGGTCGACTATCGGACAGAGTAATGGCTTTTTATATATAGTGTTCGTCCATTCATTCGTTTGAGTGGATCATCTATTGAAAATGATAGGCATTCCATTTTTTTTGATAGTGTGAATACTATAGTGGGGATCTGAGGGGCTTTGTGCGTACGCGCACCATCTTTTTGGGAACTCAATTGAACTGGTTTAGGTCCTCGTCCTAGTTCCTGGAAACAAATACTCACAGTATTTGGCTAAAGTACCAGTTTCTTTTTTATCTTTTTATTCAATAAAGTATATACACTAGTATTTAAAATAATTGATAACGCGTCTATTATTTTTCCTTGTTATATAATATGGAAAACAGGCTTATTGAGTGTGATTAAACCAACAGCCGAAATTAGTGGTCATAAATTTTATAGACAATCTTGGCTGTAATATTGTTTCCAGACATCAGCATTTTTTTGAAATTGTCTTTTGATTCATGCAACTATCAAATTTGGCGATAGAATAATGAATGTATCCTTTTGACCAAGACTTCTTTTTTTTTCAGACAGCTTCATTGAGGCATGTGAGGTACAGCTTAATGTTGATTCAGGTACTTTTTGTATATATATATATATATATATATATGCGGTCACATACACAAAAAAGAAGGGGGGAGGGGCTGGTATCAAAAAATCCTCTTTTTTATGCTTTCTTTTACTTCTCGTCATTTGCCTAAACGTCTTTTTATACGACGTTTTTCTTCTGTTCACGATCCTCATAAAGCAAATATAGAAAAATACATTCAAAAACTTCAAAACGACCTTAAGCCTCGTTTAGAACCTTATTTGACCAAGATCCACAAGACCTCAGAACAATTACGTCGTTTGACACTTGAAGTCAACGACTCTCGAGAAGCTTTGAAAAGAGCCTCTAAACTATTAAATGAACTCACTGGATATGACCACATAGAAATCGTAAAGCAAAAAGTCAATCATCAAGGCAGGTAATAACCCACATAACGTCCCATAAAGAAGGGCGCCTAATACCTTTATGTAGCTCATTTGTTTGAATCTGCTCGAGAACAAGTACAAGCAGCGAAACAAACGTATGCCACTGCCATTGAGACTCGCTCCAACACACAACGGGGCATCAATGAACTTTTGCAACGCAAACATCTCTGGACTTCAGACGATGTCACTAAATTCACAGAACTCTATCGTCTTGAACACCAACATGCACAAGCAGAAACGGCTGCTCGAGAGAACTACCAGACATGTGAAAAGCAAATGGACCGAGAATACATGGAGCTTGCTCGATCCATCATGGAGCGGTACCATGAAGAGCAGTTGTGGAGTGACAAGATTCGAAGTGTGAGTACCTATGGTACCTGGGCTTTGATGGTTGTCAACTTGGTCTTGTTTGTCATGGTCCAGACTGTGTTTGAGCCTCATAAACGTAAACGATTGACAGATCGTTTTGAAGAGTTGTTGGTTGCTAAAGTGAATGAAGAAGAAGAAAAGTTTAGAGGTGTATTTGATTCGTTGAATGAAAAAGATCGCTTGATAATGCAACAACAATTGGCATTAATGGAGACAGTGAATGGATTGACAGAGCATCCATTGTTTGATGAAGATTTGATACATGTCTTGAAGCGATCTGCATCTGAAAACGTAATACCTGCAATAGAAGCACCCATATCTTTAGTTGAGCAACCTATAATGGAACAAACAGTGACGGAACAAACAGTGACGGAACAACCCACAATGGAACAACCCAATGTCATTGCGGTTGAACCTAGTATAATGACTATTGATAAACAACACATTGAACTCGAAAATGAGCTCTTAAGACAACAGTTAATTGGCCAATCACAACCCAATTTATTACTCTATTCAATAGAAAGTGCCATCGCTGGCGGATTGGTGACAGCCATTGCTATCTATACATTATTTAAATAAATTCAGTTTCTTTCAAAAGTGTATTGGATCTTGAAAGCCATGACTGAAGTTGATGCCATTTTGCTTTGGATTCAAACAGGTTTTGCTCCAATTGAGCTTTCTTTTGATCTTTGACACCAATCATTTGGCCAATACGATAGAGCATGTCTGTCTGCTGCGTTTCTAGTACATGCTGTGCTTGTTGAATAATACTAGACACTCTGGATTGCTTGATTTGTTCTTTTTCAATCGCCTTTTGGAACTTGTGCTTTAAGTTTTCTTGTACAGCTAATGGCATATCAGACAAGAACGAATACACAGTCCAGCTCACACTCAACAGACCGACACAGGTCAATGCCCATCCTAGAATACGGTGTGAATGTGTTTGGGCCACACTACCCAACAGAGGCTTCAGACAGCTAGACAACCATCGCGCAGTGTGATCGCCACATGCCTCTGTCTCCAGTAAAAGAGCCGCAAGACTGGCTGTTGTCAAAGCAATCTTTTTGTCGTCCATTTTATTGATCAGGAAATCGCTTGCTTGAACATCAATCTGGATTGGATGATCATAGACTGGCTTTATACTGTCCATTCTGGCCAAGACCCTAGAGTTATCGATCAGTTGATCTGCTGTCACTGCATTCATGCCTTCAATGCATGCGTGTGTCTCTCTATACGCTTGGAGTTCAATGGTTTGTAGATCAGACTGCAGTTGTGAACATAATGTATTGGCGATAGTAGAGGCATACTGCCAAATGGAATACAACCCCGGATAAGGCACTGAGGAGATGGTGCGACTCAAAAGCGTATTGATGGAAGTATCCAATGCTTCATTCACTTGTTGTTCAATCACCCGCATTTTTTTCTGAATCAAATCAACACAGGTGTGTTTAATATGATATTGCGTGTCAATCAAGCGAGAGTAACCCGCCAAAAAGGTCTTCATGTCGAATTCCAATGCATCTACTTGATGGTGTATTTCTGTTTCTTGGTGATTGGCTATATCCACCATACGTCGAGTCGTATCCGACACGTATTGTTTCGCGGGCACTAAGCGAGACGCCATACCCAATTGAAGTACAAAGCTGCATAACTTATGTTCCAACTCGAGAAATTCAGGTGCGTCTGTACCATACCCAGCACTGACAAAATGCACTAAATCATGGGCCTGTTCAAACGTACGTGGCGAGACATCTCTGATTTGCTCCAAAATCAGTCGTTTGCATCGCTCTTTGTCTCGAATATGGTCGAATTTGTTGACTGCGATAAAGACGTGTTGATCGACTGCATTCGACAAGAATTCTCGGCCAGATAATGTAAAGTGATTCTCTGCATTCACCACAAATACGATCACATCAATATCTTCTTCTTGTGCAAACATGGCTGTTGAACGAATGGAGTCTGTATTAAGACCAGGTGAATCAATCAGGGTGATATGGTGACGAGACACCATCGAGTCCGTATCTAATAGGTTGGTATATAACTTGAGGATTTTATAAGCGGGTTCTTCTTGTGTTAGGAGATCATATAAATCGCCCAATGGGATAGTGTCATATGTGCTAGGGTCTTGCTTGTTGTACAACTGAGCGTTATTTAATGCATGTAATTCATTCTGTTGACTCGCGTAAACTTCACAAAACATCGAAGTGCATGGTTGCTGGTCTACAGGCAAAATGTTTTTTCTCAAGAGTGCGTTGACCAAGGTTGATTTTCCTGAATTCAAGTCGCCTGTGACTAATATTTTTGAAGAACTGTTTAATAAACGCTGTGCATACACATCTAATTCGCTTGCTTCACAAACAGGATTCTCGGCCAAGAGTTGTTTTACAAGGGCAATGTGCTTCAAGACAGCTTGGCAGTTTTCTTGGTAATGATTCATTGAATCTTGATATAGTGTTGGATCTGCCATAAGCTTCAATATAGAACAAAAGAAAAATCGAAAAAAGAAAAAGAAAAAAAAATTGTACAAGGCTATGCTGGCTTTTATGTCTGTTTTTTGACACCTTCCTCATTTAGAACGTCTTGATCTGACTTTGATCCATCATGAAAAGCACACAACTTCCCCTTTTTCAAACTGAAATATTCAGATATCAAGCCACACTATTTCTTGAAAAAAAAAAAGAAGAGACAAATACACCCATCCTAACCTGAATAACACTTACATCTTTCTAAAAGCCAAATCCTTATTCAATGCAATAACTAAAATTAAAAAACAGGCTTCTGCGTGTTCCTTTATCTTTTTTTTCTCTCTCTCTCTCTTCTAAATAAGTTAATGGCAGTATTTTAAAGATACCAATGACTAGGAATTGGGTCAACATGTCACAGGTCGAAATAAAGGCCTACTATCAGATTCATTCTCAAGACACTTGAACTTTAAACCCAGTCTCAATTGCATGACGATATAAACAATGACAAGGAATGCCTCGAGCGTATCCCAACTAGTGCCTTGACAAACATAAAAGCACATATACATTCAACTCAAAAAAAAAAAAACTTTTTTATAACATCCCCTAATGTGTGCTTTACAAAAAAAAAAAATCCAATAAAACGTATTTAAGAGTCAGATGTAAATCTTGTCCGTCGTTACATGTGGGAAACTCAACCCTTTTTTTTATTATTTCCTGTTGGTTTCTTTTTCTGCAAAATGATGAAAGGATTGAAAGGCGTTGTAAGTTACTGTCTAGATTTGAACCCACTGTATTTATACTACACTAGCTTTCTAGGAGTAAATCTCAAAAAGAAAGTAAATCACGTCAGACCATCAAGAACAGACCTTCTTCTTTTATCTCTCGTTCTCTTTCTAAACCAGAGACTAAAGCAGAAGATAGTGTCAATGCACCCACTAATGTAAGCGAATAGACTTAGATGTATTCACTCATATGTCTTTGTAGCCCATAGTTATCACCAATAATAGCAATAATAGATCAACAGAAATTACGAATAAAATACTTCAAGATACACCCAAAGATACCATTCCTGCTGTACGAGTGCCACGTAGACAGCGTTCATCAAGAATCTATATTAACCGTGAAAAGACTGACTTGATTAAAACACCTGATTTCAATGGTACATGTTAGTATATCTATGCCTTGTTTTTTACTCACTCTATACATTAGAAGTGCCACCTACAAAGCGCCAAGAATTGTTTATATTGAAACTACAACAATGTCAAGTTTTGTTTGATTTCAATGACCCTTCTTCAGAACTAAAAAACAAGGAAATCAAGCGACAAGAATTGCAAGAAATGCTTGAATATGTAGCTACTTCAAGAGGGGCTATTACTGATCTCATTTATCCTGATGTGATTCGAATGGTAAAAATAGGGTGTCTTGTTCATGCTATTGACATACTTGATTAGTTTAATGTCAATACATTTCGTACTATTTCACCACAAACATCGACTGCCAATGAAGGATTTGATCCAGAAGAAGATGAGCCTGCTTTAGAGACAGCATGGCCACATCTTCAACTTGTGTATGAATTCTTTTTACGGTTTGTTGAATCACCCGAATTCAATCCACAAATAGCCAGGAAATACATTGACCAAAAGTTCATTTTACAGGTAAAAAAAAAAGGGGGGGGAGAGGTGATGATTGATATTCACTCATAATTAGTTGCTTGACTTGTTTGACAGTGAAGACCCAAGAGAAAGGGATTTCCTCAAGACAACACTTCACCGTATCTATGGCAAATTTCTCAATCTAAGAGCATTTATTCGAAAATCCATCAACCATATATTCTTTCAGTTTATCTATGAAACAGAACGTCATAATGGTATTGCTGAACTACTAGAAATCTTGGGCAGCATTATCAATGGGTTTGCACTCCCCTTAAAGAAAGAACACAAGACCTTCTTGTCCAAAGTACTCATTCCACTTCATAAACCAGCTTCTTTGGCTGCCTATAGCCCACAATTGACTTATTGTGTGGTCCAGTTTCTTGAAAAAGATCCTGATCTTGTGCCTGGTGTGGTTCAAGGTCTGATGCGCTACTGGCCTAAAGTCAATAGTGCAAAAGAAGTCATCTTTTTGACTGAATTTGAAGAAATCTTAGATGTTGCTGAAACAGCTGGATTTGAGACCATCATGATTCCTTTCTTCAAAAAACTAGCTCAATGTGTCTCTAGTCCTCATTTTCAGGTAAGTAACAAGTCAAGAGACCTTTACTCATTCCTTTGATAAGGTGGCAGAGCGGGCTCTGTACTTTTATACGTATGAGGATGTGATTCATATCATGAATGATCATATTGAAGTAGTGATGCCCATCATATTCCCCTCACTTTACAAGTATTCGAATGACCATTGGAATAGAACAATATATGGCTTGGTCTATAACACACTTCAATTGCTTATGAAACTAGATCCAGCCTTATTTGAGAAATATGTAGAGAAATACAAACAAGGGCAACAGAAAGAATCAGAGTAAAGTCATTCATTTACTTTTAAATGATTCACTTATTGTTCACTATAGAAAATCAAATAGAGATCTTGTATGGGTTAAAATCAAAGAAAAAGCATTGCAACAAAAGACGATGGATGAAACAGGCTCAGTAAGTATTATGTCTGTTACATACGTTGCTTACCTTTAACTAGATTGATTCTGCTTTGGCTATTGTTCATACAAAACAAGAAGATTCTGATAGTGAATCATGGCATTCAACATAGAACTCATAATAAAAATCAATCTCCGTACATACACACACGCCTTTCTTTTTCTCTCTCTTTTTTTTTCTTTTATCATCTTACCCCCTCCCCTTTTTTGTATGACTTGATGTCATCCAACTACCATTTACCAACTATTGCGGCAGTAGCAGGGTTTGCACTTGCTGCTTCAAGTTATGTTTTGTCTACCAACAACAGCTTTGAGTCAAAAAAGAGAAGAAGAAGAATACGATCTAAAATTCAAAAAGGTTTGCTTGTCTCTTCTTTATAGATGACTGATAACCCTTATAGAACGTGATGGAAAATATATCCTTGGTCTTGTAAACTCACAAAACTATTGCTTTGTGAACTCTGTCTTACAAGTAAAGTATGGTTTTATATAGTCAATCGTTTAACGAGAGAAAAAAAAAAATTTTTTTTCTTAGGCATTTGCTACTCTGTCTAGTTTACGTTCTTATCTTGTAAGTTCATGTTGACCCGCTCATATTGTATGTATGTATATATAACAAAACTATAGGCTGAACGTGTGGATGAACAAGGAGATGAATCAGCGCCTGCTGTTCCTCAAAATGAATTTATTTTACAATCTGTTGCTTGTGCACTTTATGCAACTATTGAGCGTAAGTACAATCCTATGGCTTGCAACTTTTTCTTTTAATCTGATCCTATTCCCTAGTTTTGAATAGACCCTTACCCAAGCCAAGATCCATTACTCCCTCAGATTTCTTGACTGCTTTAGAAAGAAAATCAGGCGGTACGATTAACCGTGAACAACAAGTAAGAAATACTATCAGAAACCATGAAACTGATAGACGTCTAGGATGCCCATGAACTGTTTCAAATTATATCCAGTGTATTGACTGCAGAAGAAGAGATTCAATATAAAGAAAATGCCGCCTCCTTATTAGATGCTACAACCCTCCGAGGATTTGCAGTAGGAGAGAATGTAAGTGATAAAGAAAAGAAGACAATAAGCTCATTTGAACATTAGGATCCTAATGGTGATAATTTCGAAACATCCTCTGTGTCTTCATTTGGCACAACAGCTTCCATGTGGAGTTCATTTTCAGTATGTACAGTAGGTGGACATTTACGTCCAAGACGCAAGAGCCCAAGAAATCCATTTACTGGCTTAGCTGCTTCCAAGATCAGTTGTATTAATTGTGGATATACAGTAACGTATTTCTATAGAAACAAACAAGATGGCTAACATTACTTAGGCACCTATAAGACATCATACGTTTGATAATATATCTTTAACTGTTCCTCAGACTGTATGTGTGTTTCTCTATATATATATATATATATGTATGTGTATGTGTTATTTACTTTATGATAGCCAAGTTGTACTTTAGAAAGCTGCTTAAAAACCTATACAAAAGTCGATATTTTAACAGACTACCAATGCAGAAAATGTTCATTGGTTGCCACATTAGAATCCTTAACAAAAGAATTAGAGACAGTTCAAGATGAAGAAAAAGCTACTAAGTTACGTATAGATATAGGCAGAATAAAAGATGCTTTACGGTCTAATGTAGAAGCGACTTTGGTAAGTACAAATAATGGCTTGAATTTTTATTGATATTGTTTAGTATGATATCTCATTATGCCCGCCAAAAGATGCCCCTCGTACAACAAAACAAACCATGTTTGCTAACCCACCTAAATCGTTATGTCTGCATCTCTCTCGAAGTATTTACCATCCTTCTGGTATCATTCAAAAAAACCATAGCCAAGTCGAATTCCCTGAATACCTTGACTTGGCTCCTTATACAACCAATGGCTATCTCAACACTTCAGAACCCACTGCTTCCTTGAGTTCACCACCTCCTACACCTGTCTTACCACACACACGTACCAGTCGTACAAGTCTTGTTTATTTGCGTAACATGACGGGTGGTCATCGATTCACTCACTCTCATCAAGACGGTCTTGGTGTTGCTTTACTCGGCAACACAAAAGATATAGCAGATCGTCCTGTTCAAAACGCATTGCCTTCCATTGTGGTGCCTGTAACTCGTGCGATTCAGTATCGATTGTGTGCTGTCATTGTTCATTATGGTAATCATGATTCAGGTCATTTTGTAACCTATCGCCGTAAAAAGCTACCTACAGGACATGAAGTCAGAAGTCCCTTGGGCGATACTAAGCCTCGACCTCCTACTAAGTTTTGGCGTTGTAGTGATGAAGTGATTGAAGAAGTCGATCTGGACACTGTGTTAAAGAGTGAGGCATACATGTTATTTTATGAGCGCGAATAAATTATCTATAAATTATCTTTTATTGATTGACAAGCAGTTCATTTGAGATCAATATGAACCATTCCAAAGAACTGACAATACAAAGCATATCATCTCAACAACACTAAATAAAAAACAGACAAGAGAAATGTCCGTTGTGTATCGTATGAAGGCAAACACTTTCAATTTTCTTAGGGGCCACCGTTTTTTTTTTGGGGGAGAAGAGGACATAACTGTCAGGGATCTAAAACAGTGACCCTCAAGAAAATTTAGGAATCCTTTGACGTAATTTTTTATTCGGCATGAAATCCATTGCCTTAACCAAGTTGATGCGGCGCTTTAACAATTTAAAACTCACGAAAAGGAAAGCAAAAACGTAATTCTTCTAAACTGAGTTTTTGTCTTGTTCAAGGCATTATTTCTATATAAATAAGCTTCTAAACAAAAAATGAACTTTACTTTATTATTAACATGTCTTTTGAAACTAAAATGAAATACACTCGTCTTGGTAACACTGGTTTAAAGGTAAAAAAAAAAAAAAAAAAAATGATGCAAACGTATTTAAGACTTAATGTTTAGGTTTCCAAAATTTGTCTTGGTTGTATGGGTTATGGTAACCCTAAATGGAGTTCCACCAATGCTGAATGGGTCAAAGGTGAAAAGGAATCCATTGAGGCTATCAAGCAAGCTTACAATGTGGGCATCAACTTTTTTGATACGGCCGATGTCTATTCCAATGGTGAAAGTGAACGTGTTCTCGGTAAGGCATTAAAGGAATTAAATGCTCCTAGAAGCCGTGTGGTCATTGCCACCAAGGTCTTTTTCCCTGTCTATGATGGAAGTGCTCGTTTTGGTGCTGTGGATGAAAGCCGTGATCCTGATATGGTCAACAACTTTGGTCTTTCTCGTAAGCATATCATGGATGCTTGTGATGCTTCTTTGAAACGTCTTGGTGTTGATTACATTGATCTTTATCAAATCCATCGTCTCGATACTGTAAGTGAATCCTTTTGATATCTATTTATTTACTCATATGGGTGATAGGAAACTCCTATGGAAGAAATCATGGAGGCTTTGAACGACTTAGTTCGTGCTGGCAAGGTAAATTATATATCATTAAAAGACAAGTAATCTTACAGTACTCTAGGTTCGCTACCTTGGCTGCAGCTCTGTATATACCTGGCAATTCGCTAAAATGAACCATATTGCTGAAAAGAACGGTTGGGCCAAATTTGTTTCCATGCAAAACTTGTACAATTTGCTTTACCGTGAAGAAGAACGTGAGATGGCTCCATACTGTCTTGATGCTGGTATTGGATGGATCCCTTGGTCTCCTTTGGCTTCTGGTGAACTTTTGGGCAAGAACAGAGATACTCAACGTGCCAAGTCCAAGTGGGTTGTCTCCAACATTCACCCTGAGGTCCAACACTCTGCTGACGATGAAATCATTGACAGAGTAGCTGTTGTTGCTGATAAACTCAAGCTTACCCGTGGTCAAGTGGCTATTGCCTGGCAATTCACCAAACCTTATGTTACTGCTCCTATTGTAGGTATCAGCAAGATTGAACAATTGTACGACTTGATTGGTGCTCTTGATATCAAGCTCTCTGAAGAAGATGTCAAATACCTTGAAGAGCCTTATGTTCCTAAGGCACCTATCATCTAAGCAAACTCCCTCTCCTCTTTTTTTGAATAAAATTGCGTTTAAATTTTTGCCATCATTTAGTTTATTTTTGTTTCTCTCTCTCTCTCTCTCTCTCTCTCTCTCTCTCTCTCTCTCTCTCTCTCTCTCTCTCTCTCTCTCTCTCTCTCTCTCTTTCTCTCTCTCTCTTTCTCTCTCTCTCTTTCTCTCTCTCTCTTTTTCTTTTTCTATGGTCATTTGTTAGACAAATACCAAATCAAAGCCGAGGCACTTGAGCCTGACCCATGGGACTCCGATAACTGTTGTTGTGTCTGTAAATTTACTTACAAGAGTACCAAGATATACCGAGATCATCATAGACGTACTCACCAGATACGAATGTCAGAGTTCTGTCAAATGAATGTCCATATCAAGCCTAATCCTGAAGACCCTGACAATTACTGCAAATCTTGTATGCCTCAAGAGACTCGTTTATTAAGCATCTTTGGAACATGCATGACATATCTTCCGCGCGCAAACATCATTCAAAGAATATTGATTTTTACTGCAGTATCTGTCGAATGACTTATGCCAATCAAAACAATTATGACCAACATATGAACCATCCAAATACTCTCATATTACACCAAAATTAGATAGTCCTAATTATTTCTGTCATGCCTGCGCTATCTTTTTGCGGAACAAAAGAGAATACGAAACACATCTTTGAAAAGTGCATCAAATACGCGTCAAGAATATGATGGGTTTAATACCTGATATTCATGATCCCAATCGTCACTGTCTTCCTTGCGACTATGACTTTAAAATCCAAAAGTTATTTCATAGCCATCTTAAAGAAATGCATGGCCTCTATAGCCAAGAACTGCGCTTGAAGCAAAAGTCTCGACCATCCAATCATTGTCGTCTTTGTAATATGACTTGCGCTTCAAATGAAAGATATCTTAAAGTCAAACACCCTATTTAAACTTGAAAAAAAATATATTTTTTTTTCCTCTCTTCTTTTTTTTTTTCTTTTCCTATTTAAAAATGTTTGGCCCTACGTTTCTATTCTTGACTGCAGTCGTTTTGGCTGCCATCCTCATGTTCTCGATGGTCTTTTTTGTAAGTGACATAAAGCGTGTTTTCAAAATAAACTGAATGGTGCAGGTTATTATGTTTTCTGACTTGGAATGTGATTACATTAACCCTATTGATCTCTGTAACAAACTCAATCAAGTAAGTTCATTCCTATTCCTGTGTGTTGTTATTGACTCGGTCTAGTTTGTCTTGCCCGAGATGGGTCTTCAGGCATTTGTGTTTTTCATCTTTTTAGTCACTGGTCATTGGTTCCCTATGCTTATTAACTTGCCCATCTTGGTACTGAATGTTCAAAAGTAAGTTTCGCTTCTCTATATGAATATACTTATCGTCTTTTTTTTTTTAAAAAAAAAAAGAGTCTTGAATAACCAACATATGTATGACGCAACTGAGATTTTCCGTACATTGTCCAAACACAAGAAAGAAAGCTTTATTAAGCTTGCATTCTATGCTCTTGTAAGTAAAATACACATCATTACTTCTATGTCTGACATGTCATGTCTAGTGCTTCTTTTATTATCTTTACCGTATGATTGTTGCTTTAATTGCTTCAGACTAGAAAGGAACAAAGAAAGAAAGAAAGAATGAATGAATGAATGAGAGAGAGAGAGAGAGAGAGAGAGAGGAGAGAATAGAAAGACACTCTTTTTTTTTGGAATTGTGTGTATGTACATTTAAAATAAAAACAAGGTATATTTAACTAGTCATGGTTTTCTTCATCTTCATCTTCTGAATGATCTTTTCCTCGAAAATCTCTTTTACATAATGGACATTTTGAATTGAGCCCCAACCATTCATGAACACAGTCTTTATGGTAATGATGTTCACACCTAAACCAACTTAAGTATCACCATAAACACATAAGGACACATACCATAATTTACAAATCAGATCTTCATCTTCATATTCACATAAACAGATAGAACAGACAGCATCTTCAGGTCGTGATAAAGTCATTGTCTCATACACTTGTTCCTCTTCTTGTTTGTTCTTTTGATGGCGTTGCATAAATCGACGTATCCAATGAGGCTTTTTGATTTGTGCGGTGCTCATGATAGACTTGTTTGTGTTGTCTTGTATATCTTCTTGTTCAGGTTTCTTGTATTTGAAGACAGGTATATTGGCAATTTCTTCTTTGGAACCACCTACCATCACATTTGAAATATTGATATTGAATGCTCTTAATGCAACCAACACACAAGGCAAACAAAAGATAATAGAAGCACAAGCCAAGAGTGGTACAAGGACTATCATGTATCCAAACAGGATCCAAGCCAGAATAGTATAGTAGTACAATGCTGCATGCCCCAAACAATCAGAAGGAGAGAACAGTAAATAATTACCAACGATAAACCAAAGAATGGCAAATAAATCCAACAATGATTTTGCTCTAATAAAAGTAATAGTTTAATCTATATGTCCTTTTTTTTTTTTTTTTTTTTTTGTTACTTGTCTGCCCAACCACTGATTAAATGGCTGGATGATGCTTCATTTTCTGCTGCTGCTGTTGTTCTTCTTGATGTAAACAACAATTGATAAATGGACAATGGAAGAGATAAACCAACTCGAACGACAAATATAATTAAATACAACTGAAATGGTTTATCGCATGTTAATGCTTGTCCTGCTCCAATCACTAAGACTGTGATTGTGGCTGCTATCTATTTTGTTTGGTATGTATAATCAATTCAAGAATTTTGCTTTTACCTGAATCATGGCTACTATAAATGAAGCAATAAGCAAAATTTTACTTGAACTTGAAATTTGACTCCATGAATAGCGCAACCAATTTGTTCTGACTGTACGAGTAGGTGAATGAGTAGCTTCTTGACTTGTGCTTGAAGTTTCCATAGTATAAAAAGAAAAAGAGAAAAAGAGAAAAAAGATGGCTAGTGTGGGGAATAACAAAATGGCTGAGTTTTTATTTGATAATCTCATTTTTTTTTATCTTTAGTAGTGGAAAAATAGTTTATCCCATATGAATTCATGCTAGAAATATCTGTTTAATTACAAGCTTTTTTTTAAAAAAAATAAAATAAGATAAAGTGGGGATATGTGCTAAATGTATTACAAAATAAGTTTCTTTACAATTCATCCTTGACAGGCTTCTTGACATCTTCGTCTTCCTTGATGGCTTCAACAATTTCTTCTTCCTTGGCATTTTGGGCTTCTTCAGCAAGAAGATCGTCCACATTCAAGTTGAGCTTTTCACCTTCTTCTTCTTCAAGAACACCTTCAGCTTCTTTCTTAGCCTTAGCTTCAGCAGCCAACTTTTCCTTGTAGTCAGCCAAAGCCTTGTCTTCATCAGCACGAGCAGCCTTGGATTCTTCACGCACCTTCTTGGCTTCTTCAATGTCGTCTGTGATCAAGATGTTATCAAAGATAGTACCAGACTTGACTTGCCAAACATCAATACCAACATGACCAAAATCATAAGCATAAATCTCATGATCCACCTTGTAATCAGGGTTATCAATTTCAGGATGCACCCATTCGCCCTTGTAAAGAGGGTTCTTGACTTTCTTGGGAGTCCAAGGACCATTGTATTCAGGGTTAGCAATGGATGGGGGTTCCCATTCACCGTCCATATCGTCATCCCAGTCTTCAGGCTTCTTGGCGTCCTTGTCAGGAATAAATTCAGGAATGTCGTCGTAACCTTCAGGCTTGACATCGTTCACATCGTCAATCATTTCCTCGTCTACCCAATCAGCAGGCTTGCTGGCATTAGGGTCTTGGATCTTTTTGGGTGGCAAAAAGTCCCAATCTTCTAAAAGATCGCCAGAGGCTTCTTCCTTACCGTCGACCATGATGGAGTAGGTTTGGTCAGGCTTGACAGTGAGGGTGTAAGTGTGTGTTAAGGTGTCTTTGGGAGCAGAGACCGTCTTTTTCAAGTCGTGGTTGGTACCGTTGTAGTTAAAGATAGCATGAACCATGGCTTTAGGACCACAGATATCAGGGCCAAACATGATATTGTATTGACTATCACCATTGAATGTCTTTTGATCCAGTTGGTTATCAAAGATCTAATAAAACGCGTCAGTTATCCGATGAGTAAGCAATATACACTGTACCTTAAGATAGCTACCACCACAGTCAATGTCTTGTTCATTCTTGACATCGAATTGGATGACAAGGTCCTTGCCCTTGCTATGGAAAGGCTTGGTAAGCTTAGTAGAAGCAGCATAGAAACGGTAGTCTTCAGAAGTTCTAAGGCCAGCTTGAGCAGCTTCATTTACAAACCATTTACCAGAAGACACTTCAAGTTGACCAAGGTCTTCGCGATAAGTAGAAGGAGTCCAGCGGTCTTTCCATCCTTCACCGTCAGAGAAAGTTTCGTGAAGGAAGACTTCAGCAGAAGCAACAGCAGCAAGGCCCAAGACAGCAGCAATAGTAGGAATCTTCATGGTAACGAAAAGAATAAATTGGAATAAAATAAAAACGAAAAGAAAAATAGAAACAAAGAAGAGGCATTTATAGTTCTTGAGGTTGCAATCTATTTTTCAGCCAATCATGGACTTTGTAAAGCGTTGCATTTTTTGATTGGATAAAATGCCATACATGTTCTGGAAGAACCCTATATATGAGAGTGTTACACGTAGCGTGCTTACAGTTGTCATAAGCAGGAATGTACATTCAGTCTTGTATCACGATTTCATATAACCTTATAAATGATAGTTGATTCAGACAAAACTTTGTCAACTACATGAACAATTTAGGAGGCCCTTTTTAAGATGACTTTAGGCTGTCCTTTATTGGATTGCATAATCTGACTGCTTTTGTGACAGCTCCCCCTTTTTTTTTTCTTTTTCGGTTTCGAGAAAGAAAAAAAAACTTACTTTCTCTTCTTTTTCGTTATGGTCAAGTCAGTCAAGAAAACAACTAAAAAAGCAGATAAAAAAGGATCTTTGATAAAAAAGAACTCTTCTTTTAAAAAGCAAAAACAAAAGAAATTAGAAAAGGGTGTTGATGGTGTAATTGAATACGAAACATTAGGTGATATTGATAGTTGGGATTGGACTGAAAGCACAGGTGCCGATGTCTTTATGGGTGATGATGCTGGTGGATTTTTGTGTTTGGAAGAAATCAGCGATGTTGAAGTTGAGTATGAAGGAGATGATACAGTTGGCAAAGTGGCTACATTCAAGGTAAAAGAGAGAGAGAGAGAGAGAGAGAGAGAGAGAGAGAGAGAAATAAAATAAACTGACATGGTATATGTTAGAGAATCAAAAAAGCAGATCGTAAGAAAGGGAAAAAAGCAGAGCCTACAGCTCCTCTTACCGTGGAAGAGACTGGAAAATATTTTGATTTGGATACATTTGATGAAGAATTAGCTACTCAACAAAAGGAGCAACAATCTGAAGAACAACCCTTAGAGCAACAATCTGAAGAACATCAAGAAGTAGAGGCAAAAGAGAACACTCAAGAGGAACCTAAAAAGACAAAAGCGCAAAAGTTGCTTGAAAAAAAAAGAAAGAACTCGAGAAATTAATGAACCAAGTTGAACAATTAGAGGCTGAAGCCAAAGATACAACGGATACCAACAAAGATAAGCCTAGAGATTCCAACAAACCTTTAAACAAAAGAGAACGTTTAGCAGCTAAAAGAAAAGCACAAGAAGAACAAGAAGAAGAACAAGAAGAAGAGAAAAAAAAGCTCAAGCCATCTCGTCCTACAGTAGATGATATAGACCCATCTGTGGATATCTCTGCCTGGAAAGATTTACATCTTGCTGAACCCATTCAGAATGCACTCAAATACAATCAATTCACATCACCTACACCTATTCAAAAGAACGCTTTGCCTTTGGCTATGCAAGGTCGTGATATCATTGGTTCTGCAGAAACAGGTTCTGGTAAAACCTTGGCCTTTGGTCTTCCTATCATTCACTACCTTGCCTCTCATGGTGCTCGCCGTGGTCTCTGTGGCTTGATCTTGACACCCACGCGTGAATTGGCTATCCAAGTCCGTGACCACATTGAAAAGATGTCTGTATTTACAGACCTCCGTGTAGTAGCTATTGTAGGTGGTATGTCTATTCAAAAGCAAGAGCGTTTGATGAAACAAAACCCTGACATCATTGTGGCCACACCCGGTCGTTTATGGGAAATTTTCTCCAACAACACCCACTATATGGACATGTTGAAGCATATCAAGTTCTTAGTGCTAGATGAAGCAGATCGTATGCTTGAAAAAGGTCATTTTGAAGAATTAAGCAAGTTGTTGAATTCGTTATCCAAGAAGCGACAAGACACGACTGAATGGCCTGAGCATGTAGGCCAGGATGCAACCAAACAGACCTTGGCTAGGGATATGGGTGTCCATCAGACATTTATTTACACAGCTACATTGACCAAAGATATTCGTTTTAATGTCAAGGCCAAAAAGAAAAAGTTGCCAGTCAAACAGACCAACAGCTTAGAAGATTTACTTGAGCGAATTGAATTTGCTGATCCTGAGCCTGCTCTTGTAGACATGACGTCTGATAGCGTCGTTGCTTCTCAACTGTTGGAAGCCAAGATTGATTGTGTCAACACAGAAAAGGATTTGTATGTCTATTATTTTGTCACACGTTATCCTGGTCGTACAATTGTGTTTGTGAACTCGATTGACGCCATTCGTCGCCTTGTGCCTGTGTTTAAGTTGCTGAATGTAGAAGTCTTGGGCCTTCATGCTCAAATGCAACAAAAACAACGTCTTAAGAGTTTGGATCGGTTCAAGAACAACCCCAAGGCTGTCTTGGTTGCCTCTGATGTCGCTGCCCGTGGTTTAGATATTCCCTTAGTGGACCATGTCATTCATTATCAATTGCCCCGTTCAGGTGAAATCTATGTCCATCGTAGTGGTCGTACAGCCCGTGCTAATCGTGAAGGTATTTCCCTCCTGTTGTGTGGACCTGAAGAAATCAAGATTTATCAAAAACTATGCCAAACACTCCGTAAAAACCAAGATTATCCTAATTTTCCTGTGGACATGAGTATCTTACGAGCCATGACAGAACGAGTAAAGCTTGCCGCTCAGATTGATAGTATTCAACATCAAGAATCCAAGCAAGCACACGAAGTGAATTGGATGAAGAACATGGCTCAAGAAATGGATGTTGAGTTTGATGAAGAGACCATGCAAGGCAAAGGACACAACAAGTCACAAGAAGAACTACAAAAGCAGAAAACAAAGGCTGCTAAATTAAAGCATCAATTGGCTGGTTTACTTAAGCAGCCTATTCTTCCTGCTGGTGTGTCTCCCAAGTTTTTGACAGGTGGTATTGTGTCTGATTTGGCTGAACGATTAATGAAGAACACAAGTAAGTCTATATCTCTCCTTCTTTCACTTATCATTGTATGGTAGATCATGAACTTTTGCCTGGTACATTAGATACAAAGGCTATTGAAGACTTGGGTTCTGTCAAAAAGAAAAAAGACGTTTATATAAAATAGAGGGGGGGGAATATTATAGATCAGTACTAGCATTATCATCTGCGGGTTCTAATAAGCTATTATCATGATTAAATATACATATATAATCATAAACATTTACCTATATTGTTTGAGAAGTACACATTCGCCTCCACTCTCTAAATCAATATTGTATTGATAAAAGTAACCTTCAGAAGTAACTACCATGACTTGAGGTGTAGTACTAACAAAACAAGTGTCAATAAGAATTCAAAAGGGTTGTCATTATTTTTAAAATACCTGCTAAGAGCAACTAAGCTTCGTACACCAGCACTTGGTAATTTCAAAGAAGCAAAATCTCGAGTAGGTTCCCACATTTCAGTCAACATATCTGGCAAATAAGAACCCATGCTGCCAGCCAAATTACGACCTAAATGCATAGAAGATCGACGCAATATTTGACTATAGAATATGAGCTTACTTTTTTTTTTTTTTTGTTATTGTTTTACCCAACACTGGAGCTTCTTCCTCTTGGTTCTTTATCTTGTTGAGCTTGTTGTTGGTTTTGTTGTTGGTTTTGTTGTTGATTATCATTGGCATAAAATGCACCATTACCATAGCCATTGCCATGAGTTAATCCAGGACTACCATTGGATGCTAATTTAAAGATATGAACTGTATCTGTATCACTCGAGACACACAAAAGAGAACTGACAAGGTTAAATGACATGCTATAGATTTTAGCAGCATAAGTTCCACGTCTGAACTGATATACTTTGGTAGCATCTAATGTAGAGAAGATGCGAATGACCGTTCCCTGCATAATATGAATATCATGACCCTATATATATATATATATATATAGTGTTACCTTTTCACTGGCTGTGGCTAATAAAGTACCCTCTGAATTCATTGAAATACAACTGATAGGTGATTTATGTGCCTGTACAATATTGGTCGTTTGAGGACCAAGAGCATCAAATAACTCGACATCACCCGACAAATAATTGGATGAACCATGATGAGGAGAAAAAGGTAAAGAAGAAGACCGGGCAGGATAAGCAATAAAGCAATTCTCGCTTGAGGGAGATAAGGCACAGATAGCTAGATAAAGAGATATAAACAAAACAAGAATGACAAGTATCTGTGTTTACCATTGGGATTTGGGTTTGTTTCAATCGTATGCAATAATTTCATATTGCTGATATCGTATAAAAATATCAACTCTTCTAGGACTACAATCAGTCTTCTTCTGTTCATTTTTACAGCAAGAATAGATGTAGGAAAAGATAGTTCACATATAGTTGTTTGTCTCTGTATCTTATGTTATTCTTATGTACAGTAACATACTTACTTGCCTTGGTGTTGATAATTTGAAGTTGTCGAGGAGAGAATGCAGGATGTTCTCCAGCACCCACTAAAGCAACAAGTGATGTACAAAACAACATCTCAACAATACCTGTTCCTCCCGCAGCTAACAAAGCATGATGTTAGACTCCTTTTTTTTTTCGCACTTTTACCTTGAGAGTAACATTTGCCAAAAGGATCACAGTTGTAAATGCGATAACCTCTTTGAGTACCAATCGATATACAACTAAAGTCTTGGTTAAAGTTTAAGAAGAGAATCTCGTTATTGCTTTTATCGCCTAAGTTCATGAAATAAACACACAGTGAGAAAAAAAAAAAGAAGAGAGAAAAAAGGTTGAACCTGAAAAATACGAACGAGTGCATGTAGATCATCTGACCAATCACACCCCCTCTATTTTATTTTTATTTTTTACTGTTTAGAGACCACTTGGATATTGTACTTTTTCTGAAATTCGACAAACTCTTCTTCTTTACGCTTATAAGACTGTAATAATGACTCAATGACTTGTTGAATCTATCCTGATATGAATACAATATACACACACACACACACATATATATATATATATATGACTTACACCACTGTAGTTGGTTTCTAAAGCAGGCAAGACTTCTTTCACTGTTCTCTCGACCAATACACCACCTACCATACGGAAACATTTACGTTCGGGCTCAAGTGGTGAAATACTGTCAATCACAAGCCTAAATCAAAGCTTATTTAATATGTCGGCCTAATAGGACTCATCTTACTTGTGTTCCTCTACTTCTGATTCCAATTCGCCTACTTTTTGTGCTAATTGTTGAAGTTCATTCTTGTATTGGTTATACTGTATATGAGATAAGTATAATGAGTCCTTGTTGCATCTAATACCTTTTGAGTTAATTCGGCATCGGATGGTCTGTTGGAAGTCATGATGATACGCGTCTAGATCTCGAAAAAAAAAAAAAGAAAATAAATAAAATATAAAACGGAAAATGAAATGTTTAAAATTTTTAATTGAGTTTTAATAAACTATAGTCAAAGGATATAAAGAGAAGGAGGAGGGGGTATACATCATTATAGATAAAAGGAGACAAGTCGGTTGATAGGATCAGTAGTAATCTTGCTGCTTGGTTGAGTGACAGGCAATAACAATGTTTGTTTGACAGCTTTGATTGTACTTGTTTGTTTCTTTTCTTTTGTCTGTTGATTGACTGTGAGTTTTTGATAGGATTCACGTAGATAGATAGGATCAATATCAGCTTGAATAAAAGTCATGTTACTAAATATAAAGAAAAGAGGAAGAAATAGGAATAAAAAAAGAGGTGCTTTTATAGTAAGAAATAAACCAATCAAATGCTATCCAATCAGCTTCCTCACGTGGCAAATGTAAATATGAAATTGACAATCCATTGTTCTAATACTACACGTGTGACTGAAGTCTCTTTCTTTTTTTTTTTTTGCCTTTACTCACTATGTTTCAACAGCAAAAAAATGGGCCTAAAAAGTTCAACTTTGGACTACTCAAAAAGACAGAAGGAGAGAAAAGAAAAGCAACAGATAATGTGTCAACCAATAAGAGACAAAGACCTGCTTTTGTTGATGACGATGAAGACGAGTTGTTAGCCAGTGCTGGTATAGGTAAAAGACACGGTATAAAAGCATAGACTGACTAGATTAGACATCAAGCAAGACACAAAAGACGAAGAAGACGATCCTCTTGATGCATTTATGGCAGATATGAGTGAACAAGCAAAGAACACGAAATCAGAACCCAAGGTAAGTTGAGTAATTTATCCTTTTTGAATAACATGGGTTAGATTCGAAGAGACGATATTGAAGATGAAGATGACTTGGAGAGTTATGTTCGTCACATGAAAGAAAAGGGCGTTACTTTAGGCAACTCGAATCAACCTATGCCTGTCTATGACGAAGTAAGCACCTTGTCTCATACAGCTTTAATTGATCCCTGTAGAATGCCAACTCTGATGATGAAGTCTATGCAACAGCAGCAGCCATTGATGCTCGCCTTGAGAACAGCCATGAAGACCCACTTGAACCTGTCAAGAAAGAAATCGAGCCCTTGCCTCGTGTTGATCATGACAGCATAGACTATCTTGAAATCGAAAAGGACTTTTATCAAGAACACCCTGATATTGCAGCATTGGATGACATGCGTGTTCAAGCCATCCGCCAAGAATTAGGCTTGCATGTCACAGGTCATCAAGTACCTAAGCCCTGTGTTTCTTTTGGGCACTTTGGATTTGATGAGGATCTGTTGAATGCAGTTGTGAAGGCAGGGTATACAGAACCCTCTGCTATTCAAAAACAGGCCATTCCTGTGGCTATGTGTGGTCGAGATATCATTGGTATTGCCAAGACAGGATCTGGCAAGACAGCTGCCTTTGTGTTGCCCATGTTGATTCATATCATGGATCAACAAGAACTTGTTAAAGGTGATGGTCCTATTGGGTTAATATTAGCACCTACTCGCGAATTGGCTGTGCAGATCTATCAAGAGACACGAAAGTTTGCCAAGGCTTATGGACTCAAGTAAGATATGTCTATACATACACTGAATCACTCATGATAATCATGACTAGAGTGGCTGCTGTCTATGGTGGTGCGTCTAAACTAGAACAATTCAAGGATTTACGCAGTGGCACTGTAGAAATCCTTGTGGCTACACCAGGCCGATTGATTGATATGATCAAGATGAAAGCAACCAATTTAAGACGTGTAAGCTATCTTGTATTGGATGAAGCAGATCGCATGTTTGACCTTGGTTTTGGTAAAAGAAAGAGATGTTTAACTAAGGATTAATATGCTTCTATAGAACCTCAAGTGAGATCTGTGTGTGATAATATTAGACCTGATAGGCAGAGTAAGTTGACATGGAGATGATAATAGTATTGTTTATTTACTAAACATACAAAAAGCTCTTTTGTTTAGTGCTACATTTCAAAAGCGTATTGAAGCTTTGGCTCGTAGTGTCACAACAGATCCAATTAGAATTAATGTAGGCACAACAGGTCAAGCCAATGAAGATATTACACAAATAGTACAAGTATTTGAAGAAGACACGATGAAATGGGACTGGCTTATCTATCATTTAGCTGGCTTCTGTGTGGGTAAAGTATACGCAAAGAAGAGAGAGTGTATTTGGTTTACTAAGCATACATAGGTGGAAGTGTAATTATCTTTGTTGGTAGAAAAGATGCTGTGGATACGCTTTCTCACAACTTAAATCAAGCTCATTTTGAATGCAAGTATTTAGCCTGTTTAAAAAGATGGTTAATCGGTATGTTGTAGGTGTGGCATTGCATGGTGACCTACAGCAGTTTGAAAGAGAAAAAGTACTTGGAGATTTCAAATCCAATAAGGTCAAGATCTTAGTTTCGACTGATGTAGCTGCCCGAGGTTTAGATATTAAGACAGTCAAGACAGTCATTAATTACGATATCGCTCGAGACATTGATTCACATACGCACCGTGTAGGCAGAACAGGAAGAGCTGGTGAAAAGGGTACAGCCTATACATTGATCACACAAAAAGAAGACAGATTTGCAGGAGAACTTGTTCGACATTTAGAGACTTCAGGACAAATCGTACCACCTGAATTGATGTCTTTGGCCATGAAGAATCCAAGGTTTAGAGACGCACGTAATTCAAGAGGCAGAAGAGGAGGAAGAGGTCGAGGTCGAGGTCGAGGTCGACATCATCCTAAAACGAATGCTAATTTTGAGCCTATTCAATTCCAAAGATCAAGTACAGGCGGACTAAGCACAACACCCAATGCAGCCAAACCAAGTCGATGGCAATAAAAGCCTTGCTTTTCACTTTTTGAATTTTAGTTTTTATCTATTAGAGAGTATTTGGACTGGTCTAAGCAATGCAGTTTACGTCCAACAGGTTTAGGTGTAGTTTCTGAGTAGGACAAAGAAAATCGAGGTTTGAAATGCCGAACTCTCCTTGTTCAAGATGTTCATTGATGATCATGTCCAAAGCTACTCTCTTTAGCCTCAAAAATAGCATTTATTATGTTATTTCTTACTCGCACACATTCTGCGTATCGATTGATGTAGAAATAAGTGCCCACTTATTAGTCAATGCCTACTGAAAAGGGCCTCTTTCATACTGTTTGCAGTGTACAACAAGCTTTGATTGAAGATTTGAATGCAATGCTCAAATCAAGTTAACCTTTTTTTGTCTTAGTAAACTCTTTCTCTTTTCTTCAGAAGTACTTGGAGGTGAACTTTCCTCATTTCGGTTGGATCAGACCTACATTGGGTCACTCCAAGAAATTCTTTTTTATCACAAACCTCCGTGAATCCCCATGAGTCAAAAAAAATGAATCTCACAAAACAGTAAGACTAATGGTACCATTCAATTCTTTGACTCAAAAAAACATGTTTTAAATGAAGAAAGAGGCCATTTTAGCTGTCTGGTTGCCGAGTAATGATGTATCAAAGAATGTCCTGTTTAAGCTGTGTTTTGAGCATTTTTACTCTAGATGTCATATAGAACTTGCAAGCAATCAATTTCTCTAAAGCATCTTATGTTATTTTGAGTGCCAGAGAACATAGGAAAGTAGGAACATAGGCATTTTATACTGAAAATGTGGGGGTAAAGGGACAAAAGATGTACCAGATGGCAGTGTGCAGAGATTAAAATGGAAGGCAACTTCCATTCTTTATCCCGCCGCATCAGAAATTGGGCTTTTGCTGAGAACTGCATAAAGACGTGGTTATCTGGCTTTGGTGTAGTGACAAAAGTTGTAGATCCTTGCTTTCTGAGTCTTTTAGTATAATGAATACAACAACTTTGCTACTAAAACATTGGGTAAATAGGCAGAAACGTTTTCAAGGGGTTTCACTCTTATCGTACCGCTTTTATAGTACAACTGACAGGCAGACATATTTATCAAAAACTAGAGCGTCATGGTTCTTTCGCCTAACAAGCCAACCCACAACATGACATCCTCCAAAGGGCGTCGTAACAACGATAATATACCCAGAACTTGGTCTCAAGTAGCGGCTAGAACTATTGTGTCTGCTAACCAGCCGTCATCATTGGCTGCCACAGCTTCATCTGCACGCACTTCTGGTTCTTCCCAGTCGAAGTATGCTAGTACCAACACTCTTTCTTCAGGCACTATTACGCCTTATATTGTCGGTTTAGAGAAAGATAGTGTATTGATTGATATCACCAATATTCGTGATGTGAATGGCCTTAAACAGTTTCTTGGGTCACTTAATACCCATGAAGAGTATTATTTCTTTGGCACTTTACTTGTTGAGCGCAAGTATTTGCAGAGACGTTTTATTGAAACTTGCTGGGACACCAACTCAGAAGTATACAATAAGTTGATCAACACCGGTTTGCAGATGGAAGATAATAATATTATTAAAGGTTACCGCAGCTTGCCCCAGAATGCAAAAATTGCTCGAGTTAAGGTTGAACGACTCCCCTTGATTCATCCTTCAACTCTCCGCGAGCAAATAACCAAACGTTTTTCCCATTTTGGTGAAGTCCTAGATCTGGGATTTCATATGGACGGTGCTGTATTTTTCGGCCAGGGCTACGTCGTTCTTGACCTGAACAATCCTCACAAGTCTGAGCCTGAGCAACTTGGTCGAGTAGTGGATTGGCCCAAATTTGATCGTGAACTTCTGCTTACGTGGGATGAAATGCCCCAATTTTGTCGTTTTTGTCAAAAATCTGACCATTGTCGAGCAGATTGCATGGAACTCATTAATACTCGTCGTTGTTATAACTGCAATGAGCGTGGTCATATCAGCCGTGATTGTCCTCGTCGTAGTCATGGATCAGGCCACCCTCCTAATAAGCGTATTGGGATCACAAAAGACAAGGCTAGTAGATCAGGATCCAACCTGCCCAATGAGCAACTGGCACAAAGTGCGAAGCATAAGCAAATTGTCCCTCCTGCTGCATTGACTACTGTTCCTCTTAGTCAAATAGCAACCGAGACTATTCAAACACTTTCAAACGATATTACAGTAGTCGAGCATGAATTGATGGATCATTAAATGAAAGAGCAAGGAGATAGTGAAGTAGAAATCATTGACTCCGATGGAGAGGATGATGATGAATATCTTCAAAATATTCCAAGCAATAATCCAACCCAAGAGGCTTTGGACTTAGAAAGGTTTATCCAGGAGCGTAAAAAGATCAAATTTAATCATGACGATGAGAGACATAGAGTGGTGCCTAATCATAATACAGGTGGATCAACAGGTACCTCTCCTGACTTTCAATAAGATAATCTATGCCTAAAGACTCTATGCAAATTGCCACCCTTAATTGTCGTGGCCTTACGAAAACTTCATATCCTTACAAACAGTCCTTATTCATCCGCTTTCTACGTTCAACTAAATATGACATTCTATGCTTACAAGAAACACACGCATCTACACTTAATATACAGAAACAGCTCAATCTCAAGTTCCAGACTAAATTTAGTCTTTGGACAGAACACTGTGGCATTGTTTCCTTAAAATCTCACTACAAAATTACAGCACATCCCACCATCAATTCTACCAATGGCCGCTTTCTCTTAGCGTCTATCGCTCATGCCTCTGAACCCTCCATTCCTTTTATGTATATCCTCAATATTTATGCTCCTGCTTATTGTAGTAGTCGATCCACATTCTTTCGCATGTTATCTTCCAATCAACCATTAATATCACATTTACAGTCAACGTCTTTGCCTATTATTATTGCTGGCGATTTCAACTATGACATTTACCGTAAATCCAACATTGATACGTGCTGGAATGATCTACTTCTTACTTCATTCCAGGATTGTTTTCAAAGTGATCCTCTTCCTACATTTGTTAGTACCACTGGTAGTCGCAAACATATTGACTATATATTTTGCACTCTACCTCATGCTGACAATGTAATTTCTATGACTCAAAATTTTGTCAACTACAGTTGGACTGACCATGCCTTGCTTTCTATCAACTATCAACTGGTGCACACTCCAGCTGGACCTGGTCCTTGGAAAGGTAATCCTAATCTTGCTCGACTATCTGCATATAGAAAAGGTTTGACAACACATATTGAGCAATACATGGATAACATCAACCGTTTGGATCCTGATTGCCCTTCAGTTCAAACTATTTGGGATGAATTGAAAGAACAAGTCAAAGTTTTTACTCGATCCTTCCAGATCGAGCGTAACAACTGTCGATCCAAATCTCTGAAAAAGCTTCAATCCAAACGCAACAAAATTTTACGAGATCATAAAAATACATCTATTTTATCATCTCTTTTGCCAAAGGTTGGAAAAATGATTACTATTTTGCAGGATGAATCTGCCGAAATAGAACATCTCAAAGCAGGCAAATTTTGGCGAGAAAAAGGTGAACGATCTCCTGGTCTTCTCAAAAAACTTGCACAAGATAGGTCTACACAGCGAACAATACCAAAGCTCTTTGATCCCAATTCTAGACGATTGGCTACTAATACACAAGGGAAAACAAAGATGATGGTTGCCTTCTATAAGGCGCTATATCGTCTTGACAAGATCCAATCCTCTGATGTCAATACGCTTTTACAACGTACCAACAGCCAACGACTTACTAAAGAGCAAGCATCTACCCTTGAAAGTCCTATCACTTGGCTGGAGATATCGAAAGCAAGTAGACGTTCACCTCGTCATAGTAGCCCTGGTAGCGATGGTTTGCCATACGAAATTCTAGGTATTCTACTTCGTGTCCCTTGTTTAAGGCAGCTAGTTCTACAAGTATACAATGATGCCTTAGCTCATTCTTTACTCCCGAAATCATGGCTGCTATCACTTATGACTCTTTTGCCTAAGAAAGGTGATCTAACGCGGGCAGAGAACTATCGTCCTCCAGTTGGTGAATACAGATAACAAGATCTTAACTCGGATAATCAACCACAGGATTATGACAATAGCTGCTACACTTATCAATAGACATCAGCTAGGCTTTATGCCTGGTAGATATATTGCTAAACATGGCTTGCTCACCCAAATAATCATGGAAAATGCAGCAACAAACTACCGCCGACCAGAGAAAGACCTTGGCATTCTTTTAGACCAAGAAAAGGCCTATGATCGTGTCAACCTTGACTATCTCAAGCAAGTGTTGTTACACTTTGGTTTTCCAAAGACCCTGGTTGTCAGCACTATTACCTTGTTTAGAAATAATTCCATTTGTATCAACATCAATGGTTGGCTCTCTAAGCAGTTGGTTCCAAAGCGTCGAGACCTCAAACAAGGTGACCCACTCTCTTGTATTTTGTACAATTTTGCCTTAGAGCCACTTCTCCAGTCAATATTGAATGACACTCAATTTTCTGGCTATCGCTTCAAGCATAATGATTTTAGTCAAGCTATTACCTTACCTGCTATCAAATTGCTTAGTTATGCTGATGACACTTTAGTTTTTCTTCATAATATCCGTGACCTTCGCAGAATGCAGTTTTACTTGCAGACCTACAGTAAAGCATCCAATGCCAAGATTAACTACCATAAAGTGCGAGCAATCTCTCTCTCTGGCCACAATCTAGATGATAAATGGCTGACTACTCTACAAGCCATTGACATTCCCAAGATATGGTGCCGTACAGATGCTGAACCCATTATCTATTTAGGTCTTCCCCTTATCCAATCCTTGGACCAGCGCGCTCACTTTTTTTCGTCTCTCACTCGATCACTGACTCCACTGGCGGATATTCATGCCTCACGCAATCTTTCTGTTGTTGGTAGAGCTACAGTTGCCAGTTCGCTTTTATTGTCTAAATGCTGGTATATTTTACGGGTGATCCCTACCACTCAAGCAATCCTTAATACCATTCGAACTGTCATTACTTCTTTTGCCAACCGGCAAATCTTTCCTCGCATTAGTTGGCAAAGTGGCATGGTGGCCTTGGCATTCTTGAATTGTTTTCTCAGCAGAAATCACTGTATTACCATTGGCTTCATCCTTTTTTGTGTCCTCAAGCTGAACGTTCTCTAATACAAGACTTTCTAGCAGCACATATCCGTGCTTTGCTTCAGACTGAACATCTGTTCTTGGGTCTGCTCTTTCCTCGTTCTCGCCCAGGCCAACTCAGGCAATTGGCAAGTAATAGTGTCACAATGTGCTGCCAGACAATGGATGCTATTCCTAGGAAACAGTACTCATACATGCCAAACTCTATCGAATGCCTTCTACTGCCATTACGCTCAATTGTTTTGCCATCTGACACCTTTGATTTGCCTCTCAAGCTACGCACAGTAGCAGTTTCCTATCTATATGAGTACCATCCACAGGGTCACTATTTGGCACCAATACCAGTTTCTTCCTTTCCCCTGGATATCCGTCGTAGTGTCAGAAAATATATTCAAGCAGTGAATCAAAATCATTGTCAACTGGAGCCATTCTTTGGTCAATGCCTTGTTCGTACTTCATTAGGCTTATACAATCCTGTGCATATTTCTGCAATCCAGCGGTCTCTTGGTTTCTTTTCTTTTGTGCGTATGTTGAAACTGCCTTTTGACAATGAAAATTTCATTGCCCTCAAAAAGGGTGGCTATACTTTCCGTAAGGTCATCACACAAGCTGCCTTGTCTGATATCATTGCTCGGCAAGAAGTTTCTTCTGCTGCTTGGAAGTACTTTTGTTGTATACCTATCACAACATTGCAGAGAAATGTGATGTATCGATTTCTGACTCGCAAGATTCCCACTCGCTTATTTCTATTCAAGGTTTTTCCTGCTCGCTTCCCTACTGCTGCCTGCATTTTGTGTGGTGATCAGGAGACTGTGTACCATTTCTTCTTTCGCTGCCCCCAAAAATTTCCGTTCTGGGATGCCTTGATCAGGGAATTTTTGTGGCCAGGCACCTCTCTGGATCTAGTCTCTGATGCACTTGCATCTTTCAATTTTTCTCAGATTCGGTCTCAAACAAACTGTCCTCTTTCAGTAGCCATGGTAACCTTGATCGGTCTCTCTGAAATCTGGAAGCCCCATTGGGCCCATACCATGCAGAACCAACCATTCCATTATCTCTCTGTTCTTCACAGCGCTCGCTATCAAATTAAGCGTATAGCTGCTGAAAATGACTTTTCATCTTGAGAGGTCTTTTCTCGCAATAGCTGCTCTTCTTTCTTTTTATGTTTTTCTACTTTCGTACTATCGTATCAATTTTGTTTTTCTTTATATTTTCTTACAATAAATAATTGTCGAGCATCTCTTTTAATGGGTCTCTCCCAAGACCACTAATACGTGCGGCAAATAAAATCATTAAAAAAATCGAGCTTTTGCTAAGAACTATATAGAAATGCAGTTATTTCGCCTTAGTATAGTGACAAGAATTTTAGGTTTCTGCTTTTTGAGTCTATTGATGTAAAGAAAATAGTAAATTTGACGTTGAAATATTGAGAGAAGTGGTAGAAATGTTATCAAGGTTTTCATTTATATCTCATTATTTTTATAGTACAACTAGCAAGTAAATACTTTCACCAAAAACTAGAGCTTTTGACGCACATTTTGAGTACTTGATCTTATTGATAGCACTAATTTCCGTCTAGTAGCATAAAAAAAATAAGAGTTGGCAAAATGAGGATTTTCGTGAAGAGCACCCTTTAGTCAAAAAGCCAAAATGTTCAAATTTTACAAGTCGCTTTTTTTTAGTCCATATCAACTCCAAAAGTACTCTATATACTATTAAGCATAGTTTTTAGGTTGCTGGAGCATGTATGCATGCATAAATATGCTTTATGTTACTTTTGTAAACGTAAAAAAAAAAGACAAAGATGCGTTTAAAGTGTTGTATTCTTTTTCACTGTTAAAACATCCATTTGTCTAGTGTCTTTGTTCCCTGAGCAAGTAATGTGTTATTAAATAGCTTGTCCAAATAAAAAACTAGATTAAAAACACACACACATACACACATACTTGATCTATTGAGCTTATGAGTTTGATAAACCAAATTTAAGTCGTATTGACTTAATTTTGTGATGAGTTGCTCGATAAGCATTTAATTGAAATTTAAAACAAAGATGCAAGCAGAAGTGAGGAACATCAACTGATTCGTTAATTGCAACTTATTGACCATCTAAAGAAATCCTCTTTTATGAAGAAGGGCATTTTCTCCATGGGAGAACCTCTTGTTATTTCATAGTTGGGAATAATGAGAAAAAATATCAAATAAGCAAAAATTAAATTCTAGAGCAAATAAAAAATATATTGTTACTTACATTAGTTAATGAGAAAGAGCAGGGAATAGAAGAGAGATAAATTAGTAATAGATCTTAACTGAAGGGAATGATCATATAGGTGCACAAGTCAAGGCATTGAAAGGTGTACTTCAACAAGAAATATGCGACATGCTTGGTCTGAAGCATACCACGCTGTGATAGATGCAAAAGGTGGTCACAGTAAATATTAGTTCCTCGATTTTTTTTATACTGTTTTGACAAACAACCTACACTTTTATTCTACGCGGCCTATAGTGTTAACCTACTATGTTTGAAAAGCTTACTCAAGGGTGGAAATCACGCAATTTTTTTTGTTTTAAGGATCATCCGATATTTCTAAAGTCTTCTATAAGGGTCTATACAGGTTCATAGCTCGATGAATGAATTCTTCTAAAGATAATGTGTCATTGACTTCATGGAATGATGCAGAAGATATGGTACCTTTTTGAATCAACGCACCACTTTGGTCAGGATATGTATAGATTTTCTTCAAACCAATGATATGACTATATTCATTACAGTAGCAAGCTAGTAAAGAGGATTATACACAAAAACAGATTACATGTAGATGCATGTGCTTGTTTATGTTACCCTTCCTAATTCAATTCGGTAAACAACAGTTTCTCTCATTATTGCAACAGTCGTACCTGAATCTAAGAATAGCATGGATGTAGTAATACGGCTTAGACCCAATAAACTACATGACAAGACTCAGTTATATCTGAACCAAGAAAGTCATTTAATCATTCGATCTAAGAAAAAAAACGGCATCTTTAAGACATTATTCTCCTCGAGAGTATGATTGTTTGAAAGCGGGGTAACGATACTCGTTAGACAAAGGCCTAACGGTGACTGCCAAGCTTTTTTCATTTCGCTCTCTCCTCCTCCTCCCTTTTTTCACTTCTTTTCACAATAACTAAAGAATGCCAAATGAAAGAGTAGAACAGGAACAGCGAATGTCTTGTTCTCCACCACCGTATTCTTCAGATGAGACTCATCTTGCATCTTTCCCCGGAAATCTTGACTTGAGCCACTTGGAAGAACAAGTAAGGATATATACACTATTGATTTTTTCATGTATTTATTTTTAGAGCTCAAGCATGTCTTGTTTACAACTCAAACTAGTAACTTCGAGCATAGATAATTGGAATTCAACTCCTTATGAGTGCAGTTGTGTGCTTGAGGATCGATTCTTATTGTTGGGCCATATAGAAGGTATTCAAGTAGTAGATTTGCACGATACAAACCAACAGCCCAAAACCATTATTTGGACAAGAGCACGCCAAATGATCCATATTGAATCATGCCGCGTTGTATTGATTTTGGCAGGAAGATATAAACAAGTACGCTGTTATTCGTATGATGCTTTGTTGCGACTCGTTTATGCAGTTTTGTCTTTAGAGTGGACCACACGACGTGACACAACGCACGATATCCCAACACACCAAGCCTGGGAGTTGGTTGCTTCCTTGTCTGGCAAAGCACCTGAAGACGATATACAAAGTGAGCCCAATATAGCTTCCATTCAACCAACACCTATTACATCGCCTTCGACACCTACTACTATGAGCAACAGTAATGGATTTGCATTAAATCTAAAAGAACGTTTGGTGAAAAAGAAAGAGGAAAAGATGCCTTCCAAGCAAATCTCTCTTGTGGATCAATTGACACTTTCAGGTATCACAAAGCTCTTTTATGTATGCAATGATATTATCCTACAAGACTTCTACTACAAACTGTCTGAATCTAAAGATGCATTGGATATACAGACTTATCAAACAAGTACCTATGTGTTTGCAGCCATTCGTCACCGAGATAAAATTGTGCTTTGGCAACGCAAGCGAGATCACCCATTACGTCCTTTTTATCGTCTCAAGGTGTTTTGGATTCCAACTGAAGCAAAGAGCATTGCATTCGCAGATGATCGCAGTACACTTCGTCATATTCTAGCTGTCTTTTCAAGTGAAGCCACAGCCATTGAATTAAGAGACAGCAAAGTACAATCTGTGCCTATTGATCCTACATTAGAACGCATCTATCAAACAACATGGATTCGAGATCAATACGAGCATCAACTTGGATCACCCAAATCACCCATCAATTCACCTATACCCCAATCGCTGAACAACAATAATGAACCTTATCCCACACTGCCGGCCAGTCTTTCAGTTCCTCCTATCCAATGGACATCACTCATCCAGCTTCCATTTTACCCTGATTCTCTTCCAGCTACCATGCTTACTACTGACTATTCTATTCCTCCTTCTTATGCTACTGTAATCACATCGCTTAGTAGTGCTGCTCCACCTGATCCTGTTGCACTACCCTCCACTGATTTGCCTCAACTCTTCTTTGCCACTTTGTCAAAGCAGAGTTATATCATTGATCTTTCAGGTGCCTTATTTTCAACCCAAGTCTATCGATGGACTGAAGCACCTGTCCATATTGAGTTTATTCAGATTGATCCAAACACAAATGATTGGTATGTGGTTGGATTTGGAACAGAAACAGTTGAAGTGTTACAGATTAAGACAGGCCAATCGATCCAAAGTGTAATGCGTGGTGTACCTGTCAAATTTCTGGGCCGTTGGGATGTGCCTGTTCCAAGAGAAGACAATAAGCGAAAACCCAAGCATGTATTTCATGCTTTGTTCTGGAGCAGTTGTGCATCGAGTGAAAGAGTGCATGTATACATGTTAAAATCCACTAAAAGTTATAGATAAAATTTTATTGAATAAAGAAGTATTTTCACAAATTATTTCTTGGCTGAACCCATGTCCATGTTATGTTGAGTATTTTTGGATAGTTATCCGAGGTGAAGGCATGTTCTTGTGAAGGCATTACTTGGCCATCTTGCTTTAGTTTTTGTAAATGGAGCACAATGCCTCTTGCAGCTGGAATATGTAATGATTCAGGGTAGTTTTTATACAAAACTTGAACAATTTCAAGAGGTGTCAAGCCTTCATGGCGAGTTTTTATCAAATCAAGCACTTGTCTCTCGCGCTCAAGACGATGACTAATATACTCTTTCAACTTACTTACGCCTTGTTCAATAACAGGCCCATGGCCTGGATAGAGTTTATCAGGATTCAAGTCTACTAATTTTTGTAGTCCAGCAAGGTAACTTGTCAAATCTTCAAATACAGCTGTTCCTTGTCCAAGTACACAATCAGCTGTAAATACACTTTTTTCTTCCTCAAGCCAAAAGGTACAATGATCTGCTGTATGTCCAGGCGTATAAATCACTTTGAGAGTTGTGTCATCAGCGTGAAATACTTGATTGTCATACAATGACTTGACTTGAAGATGTTTAGGGAATTTCTCCATATGATCGATATGGTTTCCTTGAGGTAGAGGAAATTTATGAACTTGGATATCTCGATTGAGTGTTTTTGAGTTTAAGATGTCTTCAAGCCCGCCCCAATGATCAGCGTGGCCATGACTGATGATAATGTCTGAAATATAAGCTTCAGGATGTGTTTCTTGTAAAGAACTTTCCAATAGTTTCACATATTCAGATTTGCCTTCTCCGCAATCCAATAAAATCTTTTTTGGGCCAGCTCCCAAAAGATAGGTATTTGTACCTAATATGTTTGTCAGCCTGTTGCATATTCGCATAGATATTACCTTGAAGCGTAAACTTGCCAGGATTCAGGCCTAAGACACGCCAAACGCGACGAGATAATTGTGAAAGTTGAGGCAAGTGAGCAAGTACTTCGGTCATATCAAGCAAACAAAAAAAGTGAGAAAAAAAAAGAGTGCCCTGATGTTTAATAAGCAGAAAAGCTACAGCCAATCATTGAGTTTCTTGAGTACGAAAAAAAAATTATGCAAACCATTATTATGATAAAGTGTAGATTCTTTATTGCATGCATAAATATATAAAAAATAAGAGGGTCATTAAATAGAATATAGTACAAAGAAATGAATTAATGCTGAAACCAAGGTAAATGCTCAATGTCTTGTATTAAAATCCGTTTCTGGGGATTTCTTTCTAGAATAGAATGTACAACTTGTTTGGCTTCTTCACTCACGTTACAGTCAGTTGGCCATTTGACTTGAGCACGAACAATCCGATAGAACAATTGAGACACACGTTCTTGTTTACGTGGATCATAGCGAAATGGTAGATAGCCCACCAAGAGACTGTAGAGAATGATACCTAGTGCCCATGTATCTGTCTTTCTGCCATCGTATGGCTGTTGTTGAATGATTTCAGGTGCTGCGTATTCTTCACTACCACATCGGGTAACCAATAAAGGTGAATCGGGGTCTACCACACGAGCTAGGCCGAAATCTGTGATTTTTAGAATAGGCGTTTCATCGTCTTTCTTGTGCATCAAAATATCTAGTATATTGATGAGTAAAAAATATGTTTGAGGCATTGATTCTTACTTTCTAGCTTAAGATCTCTGTGGACAATATTATGTTCATGTAGCCATTGAACAGCGTGTAATAATTGAAGAAAGATGGCCTTAATCATATTTTCTTGAATAGCTGTATGTGATGCATGATGCATTTTTTGTACAAAATCAAATAGTTCGCCACCTTCAACATACTCCAAAACAATACACATCATATGCTCAGTTTCCATAGTTGCTTCCAAATGAACAATATTTGGGTGATCAATATACTAATCAACCATGGGTAAGAATATATTCTATTTTTTTTTTTTTTTTGAATTTCTTACCTTTAAAATACCAACTTCTCTTTCAATGCTTGAACGTACTCTTGGATCATCTAGTAAAGTACCTTTTTGAATTGTCTTGATAGCAAAGAATTTTTGAGTTTGAATATGATTAGCCAAATACACCTTGGAAAAAGCACCCACGCCTAATTCTTGACAGATACGGAATTGTCCAATTTGTTTGCCAACAATGTCTTGATCTTGTTGGTAAATTTTCTTCTCTCTTTTAAGTGTAGAAGACGGTTTCATTAAGAGGTCTCCCAACATAGGTTGCTCTGATAAGATAGGAATTTGGTGAACAGGGTTGAAAAAAGTGTTATGAATAACAGGAATTTCTTGAATTTGAGCTGTGGTAGGAAATACAAAATGCTCCTTCTTTGTCTCTTTCACATGAGGGGTAGGCAATGCAATCAAATCTTCTTCATTAAGTAAAAAATTGGGTGTTGTAGGTGACTCTTTACTTGTTGGGTTCAGGTAATGTGGTATAGGTGAAAGCTGTTGTTGTTGTTGGCGTGTAGAAGCAACCAGATTTCTTAATCGATTAGCATAACTATCATGATGATAAATATCATCATTAGCATCACCTAGTATTGTAGGTGAAGGTGGAGTAGGTGGTTGTTTAGATAGCGTGGATTTAGGCTGCTTTACAGAAATCTTGCGTGAAATAGAAGGAGGTGGACGAGGTGTAGAGGAAAGATCGGATGTGTGAAAAAATGCGTTTGTTTTCGTTGTACTTGTATCGATTTCTAGACCACGCGATGCTTCACGTCTATGACTAAGAGACTACAAACAGATGAGTCATATTGTTATTAAAGAGGAGAATGCTTACTTCACTTTGTTGAGTGTCACTATCAGTCAAGATGGTTTTTTGTAAAGAAGTAGCCTAAATTAGATAAATAAAAATGTCGTTTTTTAATAAAGAACCCTTACCATGTTAATATATATATATGTATATATATATATAAATATATATATATAACAAAAAGAAAGAGGGGGAAGGAGAAGGGGTAAAAAGAAAGAAAGAAAAAGAGAGGGAGAGAGAGATAAAGTGAGAGATTTTTTTGAAACAAAAAAAAAAAGAGTACGGTCACAGACTGAAATTAATGCACCAATTGTTTTTAAGGGATTTTTTTTGTTTTTGTGTAGTCTCTATTTTCTACTTGCTTATGATGGTAAGTTTATTATGATGAAGAGACAAGTGAATTAAAGCAAGTTTTCTATCCCCTTTTTTTATGTTCCTGACTGAAATACCAATAAGAAACCATGTCGATCCTCTTGCATGATTTCTAATTGGTTCAACTAATTTTTTTTTCTTCCTCGGGTTGTTATGTTCCGCGGAAAGGACTAAAAAAACCATGAACCAATCTTTCTTAATGTCTGCGATTGATGCATAGGTGTTGTAGCTGTGTCTGTATTTGTCTTTTTATGAAGTTTCTTATATTTGAGCCATTTGTTGAATCGATTATGAGTCAAGAGAGGTGAGGGTAACTCGGAAGGCAATGGCGTTGTTGTCTCTTTTGGTGGTACAGGTGGTGGTGGAGGAGGGTGTGGCAGAGCTGTATTGATATAATGAAGTGTGGGATTTTCTGCAAGACAATTCATAGATTCTCTTAGTTTGGTTGTTGTCGGTTCATCAGCAAAACAGGTGGTTTCCTGCTTTTGATTGGCTTTTGATTTTAAAATTTCCCTCAACGCATAAAGTCCTATTGTCCTGACATGAGCTGATGTGACTGCATCCATAAGAGGTAAACAACGCATTAATGTACACCAATGAGCATACTGGGTATCTAGGATATCTTGATTTGTTGTCTGAAAAGGCTCAATTGGCTTTGGCCATGGTATACCTTCTGCTGAACCTACTGTACCTATATTGGCACAACACTCATTAGGGCATTTTTGGAGCATATCCACATCTTCTAATCGTTGCAATAGACCAGCATAATTTTGAGGTACACAAGAAGCCCACGGGTCAATTATGGTATGGTTTAATGCCTTTTTGTTTTCTTGTTCTGTCTGACTCTTTGTCTCTAAATCTTCAATTTGAACAGATAATTTTCTAACAAGAGAGGCTAAATCTTCCAAGGAGATACTTTCTTTGACAGGATCTACTTTTGATTTCTTAGAATGATGAAATAGTTTGAACTTTCTGAGTGGCGATTTGTTTGCCAACATGATAAATAAAAGAAGAAAAAGAAGTTTTCGGAAACATCTTGTTGAAGAAATCATTTTTGTTTATTCTCCTAACACATTTTCAGCAATATACAGTGGTATAGCTGTTAAAGAAACAAAAACCTATTAAAGAATGCTTAAGGTGAACAAGAGAAAAAAAAAACTTGTGATGTGCTTAGTTGTTTAGAGAAATGAGGACTTGTAAAGAGATTTTTTTTTATAAACTTATGAATTATCAATTATATACAGCACTGTTTTCTTGGAGGTAATAAAGGCATTGAGAAATCAAGAAGCACTCTGTCCATTCTATTTTTGCATGAATTTAGTGATGCTCAAAGTATGGTTGTTACAAGCTGTAAAGTATGCCGATTCTTTCCATTTTTCCTTACAATGTCTTTTTTGCTTGACACAAACAGGACACAGCTTGTTCTCTTATCGTTAATTCGTACGCGTTTGCTAGATTGCAGGTCTCTTTGATAAACAACAATGAAAAGTGATAACAAATAGACTTTTATCTTTTTTTCTAAGAAAACACTTGAAACTATAATTTCTTTTAGATCAATATATTTATACAAAATGATTGCTTTTTGGAATGAATATTGGAATGGATAAAGTGTTCTCCTTCATTGTTTATTATTTTTTCTCTTACTACTGTCCAAGTCAAAACATGTCTTATTGGCTCCAGTTCTTTCTCTTTTTTAAAGGTCAAATGATTTGAGTTAAAGAAGCAGATGGAATTTGTCTGGCTCAGTGCACTGGCTAGGCTGAATCGTCAGCAGGTAGAATATTTCTTAATGGCCTTCTTTACATTAGAGCTTGAAATTCGCAAGCGATAAAGGACTAATAGCAGTTAAATCAAATTTTATTTTCTTCTTGATTTTATGAATTCATCTTTCATTGTTTTTGGCTTTGTTTAAGCATGTGTTCCTCTTTAAAAAGCAATGTCTCAGAGTTAACCGCAACAGGTTCTGGTTTTTGGTGAGAGAACATTTTCCTTTTATTCCATAATGCAAAAAGGATTCTACATTATGTTTGTTTTGGTATTCAATTAAATTTATTTTAAATAATCACAGTATAGATATCAAGCGGCTCTTTCTTTGCCTTTTGAGCTTTTCGTAGCAGCTGTAGTTGTAGTAGCAGTTTCTTCTGCTGAAATAGCAGATGCAATAGGCGGAAGTACAGGTTTTGCTTGAGGATTACCATGTTGACAAACAATACACTCTTGTTCAGTCCCTAACTGTCTTTCTAAGCATTCAGTGTGGAATCCATGTCCACAGCGGAACAAAACGTATCTCTTTTGAACAGCAATAGTCTCATTAGGGCGAGTTTCACCTTCTGAGCTGCTTGAGTGATTCTTTTCTTCTTCCTCATCAAATCCCCAAGCTAAAGGAGGATGCAATAGGCCCAAGTCTAAGATATTTGCACCACAAATTTCACAAACAGCTCTATCAGGTCTCCAGCCTTTACTACGCTTTGTCACCATATCTTGTAAGCTATCAAACAAGTCACGGTCAAAAAGCCGATTGGTCATTTCTAACAGTTTGCCTTCGTATTTGTAAGTATCGAGCATACTAAGAAAAATGTCGCGGAAATCAGCAAATGTTGTGTCACCTCTTGCCTGAGAATGAATCAATCGTAACAAGAGACGAGGTAGAGAGACTTGCGGTGATGTAGACAACAAAAGAGATGTTAAAATGGACTGTACAAAAGATTTGAAGGATGTAATGATGCGGTGGCGGATTTCAGCAGGTGCTGTACTTTTGGCATTGTCAGGTGTACCCAAAGCATTGTACATATCAATAGAGGCTTCAACATAAGCGTCCAATAAACGAAACCAGAGTGTCTCCACTTGATCATTTTGGGTAAAGTCTTCTTCATGATTACCAATAGATTCATCACCAACAGAACTGTCTTCTCCTCCACGACTTAGTTCAGGCATGTTTTCTTCTTCATTGTCTTCAATTCCAGTTTGATAAGTGGCTGTACTTGATCTGCTACTACTCTCACAAAGTCTTGTGCTAACTCGCAAGACACCATTCAGGCCAATTAGACAGCTGTTGATTGTATTTTGTTCTTCAAAGGTCCAGTTAGCATCAGATTGTTGATGCTCCTTCAAAATAGAAAGAATAGTGCTGTTCTTGTCTTTGGCAACTCCCAACATCCTCTCTAAAGCTCCTTGAGTATTGCCGTTCTTCTCCATGATCCAAACTACTGCGTCTATCACACCGTATTCTTCACAATACTTTTGCACCTTCTCCAATGACACATTGTCATTCAGCCTGGTGTTGAAGTAGTTAAAAACGCCGGAAGGATCAAAGCGACACATGAGTTCAATATAACGCTCTTGAATGGAGCCATCCACATGAGGTATTTGTGTTTCTTTAATAAGACCTTGATGCAGTTCATTATCGTTATCCTCTTCTTCTTCATAAGGCTCCAATAAGCCTCGCAAATAAGAAAACAAACGTTTGTCGGCAGTAACATGATTTTCTTCATCGTCAAATTCTTGATCTTCTTCCAGTCGACGAATAGCATCAGCATGGTCACCGTTTAAAAAGTTCTCGACAATATAAGCTGTCTTTTGACCATCCGTCTCAACAAATTGAGAGATTCGAATCATAAACACGCGCTTAACCTCATCTTTTTGTCTATCTTTCAAGTCATTAGAACCAAGTAAGTTCTCAACACAGTCAAAGACCATTTCACGACAGTCATCATCCTTAAGATAGGCCTCTACCAGCTTGCCATATTTCTTATCACGACGATAAACATCTTCTAGCACTTTCCAAAACCCTGCTTCTTCATATAATCCTACTATTTGCTCTTGATTTGCAGGTGTAAAGACAGTCAATAAATTCTGTACAGCCTTTTCACGTTCAATACGGGTATCGGGGTCATGGTCTTCGGCTAGTCTAATAAGGACTTTGTGTAATGTCTTGGGCGGTAGCAAGATGAATGTGGTATACATATGGAGATTGGATGCAATGAATATATAGAGCAGAATGATATTTTCATTTGAGATGTAGTCATAAGTAGAAGAGAGATAGTGTTCTCCATGAGACATAGATGAAGAAGGCACAGTGATATGTAAATTTGGACGGTTTGTGCTGAATGATTGTACTGTTGATGCTGAAATGGATTGCTTTGGGCGTGGAGGTGGTAGTGGTAGACTATTGCCGGTGGAGCCACCACCCATGACATCCAGCAAGGTATTGACAATGATTTGTCGAGAAATTACTTTACCAGGCACTTCATCTTCAAACCTTGAGCTCAATATGTCTTCACCACCATTGAGCCATGGATCTTCAAATGCAGTTTCTAAGGCCTCCAAAAACTTTTTTGTGCTAAATCGAAGTAGCAATCGCAAGTAAGGATAGGTAGGTTCTGAAACGCCTTCGTCTTCATCTGCTGTCAATACCAATTTGCCCCCTACAGGTGGCCAAATCACACAACGACCCGAAAACACAAATGAATAGACAGCACTTCGAGCATCACTTGCTTCATCTGGATCCAAAATAGCAGATCCTTCAGGGAATGATCTTCCTGTCAAAATAAGCTTGAGATAGTCAAATAACTTCTCAGCATTTTGACGAACTTGTAATTGTTGCGGGCTATCAACATCATTACGAAGAACAGTTCGAATTATTTTAAGCATCTCTACTACTGGGCTAACATAGTCATGCATGCTCTTGTTCCAGACATACATCATGGCTTCGTACATGCCTTCACGATGGCACATGCTTACAACTTGGTCAATGTCTAAATGACGTGGATTGACATGCCAAATAACTTGCTCCAGTTCATCCAACAAGCGCTTTTTGCTGTAGTGATCAACCAAATCTTTCATGATAGATGGTGGTACGTCAGGTATACGGTCCTGAACGATACAAGGCTCCAATACTTCTAAAAAGACGCCCTTCACCTTATTATCTGCAAAACACTCATAGACTACATCAAATAGGAAGTCTGTATTGTTCATACTCAAACAAGCTTCAACACAGCCTTGTGCCAGGTCACGAAACAAGACCATTTCACCACCAGAGATTTCATTTGCCATGCCTTCATAAGTACGTGTTGAAGAAAAGGCATAATTGAGAGAAGCTATCAACAAATCCATCAATTTCTCTCCCACAAGAGCTTTGCGTGCCTTTTCTTCTTCAGGTAAGCCGATGACTGTTTGAATACCAATACCGTTGTAGAAAGAAGTAGCCAGTTCAATGCTCTCTAAGAAGTCGCCTGCTTGAACCAAAGCCAAGATTCGATCTGCCCAGGATAATAAGGTACCAACATAGATTTGATTCATGCCCAACAAAAACAGCTTTCCTTTATAACCTTTAATAGAACTGAAATAAGCCATTTCTACAGACTTGAGCACATTTGAATTCTCAGGTGAATCTACTGTCAAGTTGGCTGCGTCTACAACCAAGTCTTTCAACGGTGTATTAAACCAATCGTGATAAATAAGTTGCTTATTGCGAATACTCGTGTGTTGAGTCTCTTTCATGTTTTTGGGATCAAAAAGGATCATCTCCTCATTTGGTGTAAACAATACAAGAATTTGTCGATTAATCCATTGTATTCCTACAATAGCGTCTTTACATTTCCATTCTCCAACCTTGACAAATTCCAAAGTAACACCTTTTTTGTTGACCTTTGGCGGCGTTGTAGGTATTCTTGGTACTCTTCCGTTTGTTACGGGCTGTTTGTTTTCATGATTGACACAGACACGTAGAATAAAGAGATGATTTCCCCAAGCAAAAGCAAGCATAGGGTCTCCAGTGGGTGGTTGCTCTTTGCCTTTAGAGACTTCCTTAGCGGCGTTGTTATGCCCTGTCTTAAGAACTGGTAGCCATGCTAAACAACCAGACAGAGGTTCAATATTCGCTTTTGATCTATCATCTGTATTGTTGTTTTGTGAGTGCATTGTTTTAGATTTCAGGAACTTGTAAAGAGTTTGTACAGTAGGTTTCAATCCAACAATAATCATCTGTCAAACACATTCAATCAGTATCTTTCTTTCTCTTTCTCTTTTCCATATAACTTTACTTACTTTGTATGGTGTCAGTAAAGCAACAAGGCCAAAATTCTCGGCAGGATGGGGTATCTGTCCAAGTGGTAATGGTTGCATAGCAAAAACAGTACTGGGTCTTCTGGGTTTTGGCAAGACAGAAGGTGACTGCAGTCTCATTCTAGCGTTGGCTGCCACAGTCTGAGCACGTTGAATTTCTGGTGTCAAGGATAAGTTTTGGTATCGACCAAGAATACGTGTTGTATCAACTGCGTTCACCATGATTACTTTGTACAAGGTATGATAAAACGCCATTCCTTGGTCGTCACCCGACACAATATCTGATTTCTTAACACTTACAAATCCAATATGAAGGATAGATGCACCTTTAACATGACCTTCTTTGCGCGGCACTTGTTGCTGAGGCGTTGATATGGCACCTGCAACTTGGTTAACCGAAATAGGGTCGATTGTCCGAATGGGATAAGCGGGTTTTCGAATATCCCATACAACAATGTAGCCTTGAGAATGCCCACATGCAATGGTGGTATGATCTGCAGAAACAGCCAAAGAAGTGACTGAACCGAGTTCAATGGCTCGAGTGCTATCACCCAAAATGCACTTTAGGTTTTGCGAATAATCATAAACAAATACTAAACTACGTGTTGTGCCAATAGCAATAACTCCACTCACTGCCATAACTGATATCAGTCCACTTTCTCTTTTGATTTCTTCAGAATAGAGTTGATCTGAAATTTTGATAAGTGGTGTCCATTTGAATGCTTCCCAAGGTTCGATATTGTCATTTCCACTATTTTCAATCAACATAGAACCAGCGAAATCTGATGATGAGTGATGAGAAGCAGAATCATCACCAGAGGCCTCCAATCTTTGTCTTAACAACTGACTGCTAACTGGAGAGTTAAATCCAATGTGATGAGAAGAAGCAGGAGAGGATAAAAATGTTGGTGTTCCAGGAGATGTCTTTGATAGCTCTGAAGGAGAATCCTAGTGGCTCTAGCTTAGTTAACCATAAACATGAATTTTAAACTGTCTTACAAAGTGTAGTAAACTAGAATCAACTTCTGCTGTATCAGAGCAATCTTCACCTAACTCTTCTTCTGAATTATCAGACTCATTCAGAATGTTTTCGAGTTCAAGGTAGTTGGCTAAAAGAATATATTAAGCATCTATCATTTCAAAAGAAAGTCTGCAGTTACCTTTTTTTATGAATTCTTCATAAAGACCAATTTCCTTAGATACTTCATCTAGTAAATTCAATACTTTTTGCTTTTTCTTTTCGCCAATATTGTTTTGTGTAGAATTGTTCACAAGAGGACCGCCGTTTAAATGGATATATAAATCTTCTCGTATCTTGTAAAGGTTATTAAGTCGTGTCTGAATGACAGTATCAGACACAACAGGTAAATCCAATTCGGGAATTCGGAGTGCATGAAACTTTTGCTCTAAAATTGTGAGTGAAGGAACACCGTTGATAAGACGTGTATGGTATGGAACAGCATCAAGCACTTTAGACAATGGATCTGGCTGAGCACGTTCAAATTGCTTGGGTGATAAAGGTTGGTTAGAAAAGGTTGCTTGAAGCGGTGTATTGGGTCTATCATGATTGAGTCTAACTTGCAGCAATATGTAAATAAGACTTACATTGAGAAATCCGAGTTGATAGACTGAGACCTCCGGTGACTCATAAAATTCTTGAGGTTAGCCAGGTATTTATCAGCAAGAGATCGATCTTCCAAAGCAGCTCTCAAGTCTTCTGGTAATTCGGCAGTCGCAGCATTCAGGTCAATATCAATCTGATTGAGCATATCTTCTTCGTCTTCTGAGCTTTCTTCCAATACTTCCTTTAATAAGGCGTCATAGTCTCTGCGAAACGAAGTGGTGCCTGTACTAACACTAGGCTCCATTGCAGGAGGAACCAGATTAGCAGGCCTTTTCTTCTCTGGATTCATATTGCGCGTGAATAAAGACGAGTGTGTTCCTCTATCGATAAGTAGAAGAAAAGAGAGACAATACTAGTAAAAAAGGCTTCGATTTGGGTATTATATATATATATATATATATATTATAATGTATTTTATATATGCAAAGCAAATATTCTTGTGAAGCTCCAAGTGTGTGAGTGTTGGAAAGGAGAAAGGAACAGAGGTGGAGTTGGAAAAAGTGAAAAGCTGAGGGCAACTTTTCTTCACTTCAAATTCAGATGTTCGGATCACAGTAAAGCATAGAAGCATCACATGTTTTGATGGATTGCATTTGACTCTTTTATAGGAATAAGCATCTAAGAAAAAATTTGATCATAAAGCTTTCTGACACTATCATTTTTATAAGCAAACATTCCATTTGACTTAGGGAACTAGGTGAATAAGCGCTTTTGCATCGTACAGTATCATAACTTTTTTTCGACAAAGTCGTTTTAAATGTCAGACAGTTTCTTACTAAATTTAGATAAGCGCCTAACCGGCTTTTTTTTTCAATCAATGCAAGTAAACACCATTCGTGAAAAGCATGCTGCATTTTCTATTGTAAAAAATTCAACCAAGAGAATGTCCAAGTCTGTACTGAAAGACTAGCAAAGATGGAGGAGGTTGACATTTGTAACAAAAGTAATCCAAAGGAACTAGAGTTTGTATGTGAAGCGCAGATATTTGGTGCTCCAGGTCTATTCAGCCTATACAAATCAGAAGAAGAAATAAGAAAAAAAAAAACTATGAAGAAACTGAAAATAATAAAAATGAAAAGGAAGACATCTTGTTTGGTAAGCAAAAACAAATGCGAGAAATGAAACTGTTACTAATGACTTTAAATATAGACAATATTGTAGATTTCATAGACTATGTATATCGAACAGAAATAGAATTTTCGCCAGACTCTCTATACAAGTTAAACTATGTCTATCACAAAGAAATCTTGGGAGATATTTGGATTTTTACCAAGAAAGTTGACAAAACTAAACCTTTGGCATTCACCCAATAGTTGAACAAGCAAAACATTGATTTTTTATCAGATCCATCAGAACGTAAAGTTATAAAAGGAAGATACAGTCGCACCTGGATATAGTCATACCGTCGGTCAGGCCAAATCCTATGACTATACACTATTTTCACTAATTATTGAAGCAAAAAATAAATATAGATTGGTACAAACAATGATTATATTTATTAAATGGGCTTTCTCTGTATACAATTATTAAACCTAGCTACAGAATATCTACAGAAACCTTGCAAATCGCTTACAAGGATACTGTTGTAGGCGTCCCGAATTCTGGTAGTTAAGGTCTCTTCTAAAAGTGCTTCTCTCATAAGTTTGCTCTTACAAACAGACCAAAACTGCTCAATTGGATTTAATTCAGGAAAGTATAGAGACAAATAGATACAGTAGCACTACGAATAGACATTCGCTTCTCGTTAACCAAGAAGAAAAAGTGCTCCGTGTCCTCTTTCTTGTATTTGCGATATGTTTTTTTGCTTTTGACTTTTTCAGATAGAGACCTAGGCTGCTTCTCAAGGTTTTCTTTAGGGTTCTACTACATCTTCTGGGGTGGCTTAAGATCAGTATATTGGTCGAAGTGTATAGCATTATCCAGGAGATAATTGATTTCACCAACTTCCATCTCCATCTCAAAAATTTCGTCGCCTTCATCATTAAACATGTTGTCTTTCCTGTCTTTGTAAATAATAGAGTCCATTTTAAACAATGCAAGTAGCTTATATATTTGAAGAAAAAAAGTAGGTCTATATAATGCCATCACAAAATTTTCGGTAACGTTGCATCACTTTTAAATGTTTTATTTTGGGTTGATACTAAGTATTTATAATCATCATAGTACTTTGCTAAGCATATTACTGAAAGCAATTGTAAAAAACTTGAATACTAGAGATGAAGATGTTACAGTAAAGGATAATTCAGATACAAATGGAGTACTGTTTGAGACTATATTTTATTCTGAAAGAGAAATTGGATTACAATCAATCTCTTTGTGTGTTCTATTTATATGGATTTAGGATAACTGCTCGTAAGAATATCTTTTTTAGTCACAGCTATTCTTGAAAAAAGTATGTATGCTATAAAATCAAATCGCGAAGTTACTCAAAAGGAAGAAGCCATAAATGAATACTTAGATTTGACAAGCGCTGAAAAAGCCTCTGCAATTGAATACGTCGAAAACTCTAAAGAAGTAATGCATAACTTGTTTCAGCTTCCGGAATACGATCAGGGGGCTGAGGTGAAGGTTGCGTCCATTATCCTTTGTATTTTCCGTAGAAGGTGAGTCAAGATCACTCCATACAGTAATACCCCGCAATATTGGATCCGATAAGACAGAATGCCTTACTTTATTAGTATGATATTTTCTATATCAAATATCAACTAAGCAGTAGCAGCATTCTAGCAGGTTTTGCAAGCAACGAAACTTTCTAACTGTCAGAGGTCTTAACGTTCATAATAAATACCGTTATTGCGAGGTATTGCTGTAATCCAATTCATAAAAGTAACATTAAAAACTAGGAAGATTAATGTTAGTCATGAGTATGATGAGCTTTGTGATTTGATGAAGAAAATACACAAGCCGAGCAAAAAAAGAAAAGAAAAGAAAAGTAGAGTTAATCTCTAGCTCTTTACCAACAACAAACACGTTGTCATCTTCAGGAGTAATGGTTTAGTTAATCATGAGTAATAAAGGTTATTTATCTAACATGCACTATAGACTGATGATAATAGTAGAGGCATTATCAGAGAATTCATCAGAAAATGCAAACTAAGCTCTGTTTGGGAAAGCAAGTAGTAAGTGCATACCTCAACAGAATTCAAGTATGGTTTTAACAACTTGACATACAACTTCAATCATTTTTACCCAGTTTACTTGGAGCTTTGCCTGATTTGCCAAGATTTTTACTTATTAACGATCAGACTTTGGCCAGTAGCTATTTCAAGGAAATCAAGAGCCATTTAAAAATGGTTGAAATCCTTAAGCCTGTTGATATGGACGAGTACGAAAAGAAGTGCATCGGCAGCTTTGTTAAAGTAAATAGCAAATACCACACACCTTGCAGAAGATTAAAGTATTATAGAACGAAACTGTACCTGAATATGACAAAACTGCCTTTTCTTCTTAAACACAATGTAAGTCAAACACGAGCGATTCTAATAATTGGCATTGTTGCTTAAAGCTTTGTTATAGACATAAGCACTACAAAGCTCACTACAGGAGATTATCATTGCTGCTTGAAAATGAGCTTATGGTTATTGTCCAAAATTTATTTTCTCTCTTTTTTATTGATAAATACAGATCTGAGCCTAACGTTGAAGTCATGGGGGTAATGTATTGGTTGACTTGAATTGAATTTATGCCAACATTTTTCTCTGTTCCATCAAAGTACTAATCTGAGATCAAGTGGTAAGAAAAAGGCTGACAGTGGTTTGCTGCTGAACGATACCTACACTGTTTTACAGTACAAAGCAAAGTCGAGCATGGCCAGTAAACATAATTTGCGGGGAGACTTTGAAAAAATGAGTAAAAGTGCAGCCAACAACATAGAAAAAATGAAAAATGAATATGGAGACCCAAAAGTGACCCTAGTGCAAATTTCTGGTAAGTTTAAAAGTATAGTGTTTATTTCGTATAAAAACTTTATTTGTTTTTTTTTATGTAAAGGTCTGTGTTTGGATTTCTACTTGGTCGATTATTATCTTGATGGTCCCATATACAGATGCATACATTTTGAGCAATGCTTTTTACCGGACAATAGAAATGATTACGGCCGCCTTTTGAAGCTATACAAAGGTTTAGGAAAAGTATCAGTAAGTAAAGACTTAATAGTAAATGAGATCAAAAAATATAACCTTTTTCTTAGGCTGTGGTGGAACAAGTAATAAAGCATTATATTGAATAAAGACATACCATCATATAATATACAACGTTTCATTTAACAAATCGTGCTCGAACTCAACTGTATCTCATTTTTATCCCAAATCTACAAACGTTTATTACTGTTAGCAGAAACTAGAACTGCAAAGCTTTACATCATACAACTTGTTATTGTCAACAGATCCTATAGATATCATTAATACATACATATTCCATACGACATCAGCAAAAGACTAGTTATCTTGATATCTTTGCTGAATAGACATGGACGATGTCTTTTCTTTTATTTCAGAGAAAAGCAAATCAGGCACATTTTTGCTCTTTGGATCAACCAGTTTTCTAAGCAGATTTCTTTCTTCTTTCAAACATCTAAATTGCATAACTCGGAAGCATATTTCTATGGCGTAAAATTACGATAGCACCCCCCCCTATATAATTCATTGTTATAAAATTTGTGCAAGCATCTCAAGTCCAACTTTTATTCTTCTTTCTTTTTTATTCTAAAATGTCAAGCTATACAGCAAATGCTTTTAAATAACTGCCGGCAGATACAGGCAATAAGAAGTCGAGAGAATTATTTTATTGTTTAATTTGCTTCAAGAGCTTCAGTAGGCTAAGCCAATTGAAAGCACACAGCGTTATTTATACTGGCGACAAGCCTTTTGAATGGTAATAAGGCAGTTTTTTGAATGAAATAAGAAAAAACAAAGAGCTGCAGTGCCTAAACCATCTAATTCTTAGTTCTAAGTGTAACCGATGCTTTTCTTTCGTTTCCAACCTGAGACGCCATATAAAGGCTCATTTGAACACTTCAAATAGAGTTATCTTATTTGCTGGAGACAGAGAGTTATGCATTCGTGGAGTAACAAAAAGACACAGACAGCCTTCATTAAAAAATAAGCGTAAAAACCGATTGGAGCATGGTCGTCGTAATCATGCTGTTTTTCTGCAGCATCCCTTAAATCTGCCGAATCTCGACAAGCAATTTTTATTTTATAGAATCATCCTGCCTGCTATTTCTAATAAATAGCTTATCACATAAATAATACATTATATTCTGCTTTCATATCGACTTTACTACTCTCATGGAACAGATTGCAAGTAAGAGAGTTTATTTTCTTTATTATTGTCGCTTGCCTCAACTAAATGATATATGACAAGCGAAATCTAAGCAAGAAAAAGTAAGGTTGACACTTTGGAAAGCGAGTAAATTTATTATTTAGATTTGGTTGCAAAAGGCTTCATCAATGCCTTTATCTGCAAGCTCTTCTTATCTCTATTACCGTGTGCGTCAGAAAAGCTTTCAATGTATTCCATTATAAAATAAGCTTGGTCGTTGTTTATGACAAACAGTTGAAGAGAACGAAAGGATTCTATTGGCCCATTCCTCACTATAAATAAATACGTCACCTGGGAATATTTGAATGAAGAAATTTTTTTATTTATTTATTCCTCCCTTTTTGTATCTGTTCATCTACTACTAAAAAGCAAGTCTCTGTTTGACTAGTCATCTACTTATAGCGCTTACTGAATATGCGTCTCATTTTGTTGTATTGTTGATAAACTAGCCTAATTTTAGCTTTTGTCAGGTATGTTTCTTATTCTGCTGTGATGAGAACCAACTGAATATGAACTGAACACGAACTGAACACGAACTGAACACCAACATAGTCTATCTATTGCTGCTGCTAATACTGCCTGCTGTTGTTACCAAAAGCCCTCATACCATATTCACATCATGCACAAGTCATTTGGACTAATAGTCACCCCCCCGTCCACCGATTATCGCCGTGTGTGCTGTATACGATTAGAATACTCGTGTACCAAGAGACTTTTCTCGCTTTTTGGCTATCCTGCTCACTCTGCTCACTCTGCTCACTGCTCATTCTGCTCACTCTGCTCACTCTGCTCACTCTGCTCATTCTGCTCACTCTGCTTTTTCCACTCATGATATCCAGTTGAGCGCGCATCTACCGGTCTTCGTATCGCTTACAGTGCATGCATTTGACTTTCGCTGGCGGACCCATAGGCCTAGGAGACACTGGCTTAGCTGGTGGCTTCTATAGCTTTAGAATGAAAGCCATTTTGGTCAGTAGTCACCCCCGTCCACCGATTGTCGCCGTGTGTGCTGTACGATTAGAATATAGATGAACTGAGCGCCAAACCATATAATTCAAATATGCTGCATGTCTTCTACTGCTACCTGTCTTCTCTTTTTATATGTTTGTGTTATAGGCTGACAAGTCAGCGTTGATTGACCGTATCAACAAAGATACTCTGCTTTCAAAGTTCCTGAACATCATGTAAGGCTATAGTACTCGTATGCAACATACACTAGACTAATTATCCTTACAAGCAGCTATGATTTTTATTTCCTTGGAAGTAAAAAAATGACCTCTGCATCAAATAACAGTGAATGATGATATCAAGCAGTATGTGAAAAGCTTAAAAGACAAATCCAAAGTCGATCTCAAAAGGATTTTCTCTGAAATAAAAAGTTTGCACAGGTTTTAATGAACTTCTGTGCTCTTTACCTTTAACTACGTTATATTCTTGATCTCACAACAGTAATTTATGACATTCTTTATCTCATCGCTCCTTAGTTTCTACAGTACAGGTCTATAAACTTCTATACACTGGTTGAAACAAAGGACATACATTGCTAGAACCATCTATAAACAGGATGTTGATGCTCTCCTTTTGTAGAAACATCTGGCTTGCCAAAGAATAGAACAAGTAAAAAGGAAGCAAATTGTACCATCAGTTTTTAACAAACAAACAAAGCCAAAAAATTTTATTTGTTGTCTAATAAGGCTTTGTTTGCTTCTGCAATGTGCCTTGCAAATGACTACATCAAATGTCAAGTGGTGAGTATGTCTATACAAAATACACAATGGCTATAGTATATTACCGAAAATTTCAGAAGAGTTCCATACAGCGTCGGCAGATGGTTTTCAAAGTCATTTACATCGGAGGGAACTTGGCAAGAGCCAAGCTTCACTACCTTGAATATGCCTTGAAGATCACATACCATGGTATAGAAAGACAGAGTCCCAGCTGTTAGCAATGTGTAGATAAATAAATAAATAAAAAAAAGGAAGAGAAAGCGAACGTTAATAATCAAAGCACATCAAATTTGTAATACAAACATACCAAAACAAGTCATCATCAAGCAGCAATAGTTTCTGCTTTCTTTTGCCACTTTTTTTGAAAACCTAACTACTTTTCTGAAATCATTCTGCTGCTTCTCTTTGTCTTTTTCACCAGGCTTTTTGACTTCAAAAACATACAAGGGCTTACCGAGAAAAGTAATACCACCATCTGCCTTCTTGGCACAAGATTTTTTACGCCTTTTGTTGTCAGAGAGGTAGTAAAAGTTTGTGCTTTAAAGAAGCAGGATTAACCTTTAGTACCTACACTATTAACTTTAATACTTCGTTGCATACCTTTCGAAATCGACTTTGGATGTGTCTTCTAAGCTCTTCACGTACTGCTTGATATCATCATTCACTGTTATTTGATGCAGTGGTGATATGATATTGCACATGAATGCTGCTTCATCAATTTCTGTCTTTTTTTTTGCTTCCAAGAAAATAAAAATCATAGCTGCTTGTAAGGATAATTAGTCTAGTGTATGTTGCATACAAGTACTATAGCCTTACATGATGTTCAGGAACTTTGAAAGCAGAGTATCTTTGTTGATACGGTCAATCAACGCTAACTTGTCAGCCTATAACACAAACATATAAAAAGAGATCATTGGTTAAACAAGAGTCAGCTTGTAAGTACAAATACTTACAGAGCGACAAAAGGCATTGATCAGTTCCTGATCATCATCAGCAGAATTGTTTGTCTGCCAACCTTCAAAAGAGTCGACAAAAAAAACACGTTCCTCGAAAGCACTAAAGTTGAAATTGTTGAAACAAAATTAGTGAACCAGTCTTAAATAACGCTTGAAAATGCTTTTGTTGATCAAACTTACACTTTGAGCTCAAGCGATCTTTGTTTTCTCTTGAGCCTTCTTAATTCTTCTCTTTGGGCTTTGTACAGAGCTTTGTAACCATCCATAACTTCCCAAGGCTAAAAATGCCGTTTTAGAGATAATCAATCATTTTGTCTTTATCACACATACCTCCTTGGAAGCAGCACCAGTTATGGTAGATGATTGAAAGCTGTAAGCGCGCTAGATAAGGGTTGTGAAGCTTAGTAAGTGGTCTTGGGGAACGGTATGAATATCGTACTATACCTTTCTGTTGCGCTCTTCCCACTTCTGTACAATCTCCCAGCAACGATTTGCGGTATCGAAGTGAGGCCTGTAATCTTATTAGTACTTGAATAGCTTTGCTCTTAAATAAAACTTACAGATCAACTTCAAATACCCGGCTCATCGCAGAAAGGATAGTGGAGCGATTGCTGCTCAGGTCATCTTCACTATCCATTTCTGTGAGAGCATTGTAGACAAGTTTGGTATACTCGCTAAAAAAATGCTCGAAATCAACTTTGGAGGCTCCCTGCTTATACCATTTGGTTGCTAATGAAAATAACGAGTTTATTGATGAATTTTCATCCTATCCCTTTTGCATTCATAACTTACCGGCTAATAAAGTAGCGAGATTATCGTGATTTTTAGAAATGGATGATAAGAAGTTAGACATTGAATAAAGAGTAAAAGAAAGCTATAATACATTCAGCCATTCAGACACTTAAATGCATAATGGTGTGACAATAATTAAGTATACATTTTTCACAATCAATCAAAATCAATGTCACTGGTCAATCAAAAATGAGTCATTGGTTAGCCAAAATTGATGTCACAACACAAAGGTCATGTATAAAAATATGTCTTGTATTTAGGATAAGCGATGACACAACAAATTATAGTGTGATGTAGTACATGCTTTTGATAAAAAGAATATGTTCGGTAGGAGGATGCGTAATGAATCAGGTCTTTTTATTCTATTCAACTTATTCTTTGTTTTAAATGTCCACTAGGACCCGAAACCGCTCTCAAGATAGGTAATACAAAAGCATTGCTCACGATAGAAGATCAATAAATTAATCATTTCATAACAGCTGCTAATTTATATGAAAGTAAACATGATTCTTTTTATGTTTATGAAATCAAACAGCCAAGCATCAAATCCAAAGACTTCCAAGCCAAAGATTTTCAAAAAGTAGTATCTTTTTTAAAAAAAGCTACTAATAAAAGAGAAGGCTATTGTTGCTTGGGAATGACCTGTTTTGGTACGTCCACTTCAAGAACATAAGAACTCTGACAATAACTCCTTTTTTTATTGGAATAGATGCTGTCATGACTTTCTACAGCATGTCCTGGGGTACAAATGGCGTATACAAGATGATAGAGCTGGACTCCTGCTGCATTCCTATTGATACAGCAGAGTTCAAAAAGTATTTGACACTTAGTCTAATTCAGGCACGCTGGCATACGCAGCATTGTTTACTGCATAGTAAAGATCGAATAAAAAATTCAATGTATTGACTTTTTTTTATTGTTTAAAAAGAAAAGAAAATGTAATGTACTGATTTTAAGAAAAAAAAAAGAGAGAGAAATGTAAAATGTGTGCACACCATTAGGCTTACTTTCTGTTGTTCTTGCCATTACTTGTACCATAAGAAGGCGATGTAGGGCTGTAGCTTGGAGAAGTAGGACTGTAACTAGGCGATGTAGGGCTATAGCTAGGAGAAGTAGGGCTATAACTAGGGCTAGTGGGCGAATAACTTGGACTAGTGGGACTATAGCTTGGACTTGTAGGGCTATAGCTGGGACTAGTAGGCGAGTAGCTTGGGCTTGTAGGAGAGTAGCTGGGGCTAGTTGGACTATAGCTAGGGCTGGTAGGTGAGTAGCTAGGAGATGTTGGACTGTAGCTAGGACTTGTGGGGCTATAGCTTGGACTAGTGGGTGAGTAGCTTGGACTAGTAGGAGAATAGCTAGGGGATGTGGGTGAGTAACTTGGGCTAGTGGGTGAATAGCTTGGACTAGTGGGGCTGTAGCTAGGACTAGTAGGACTGTAACTGGGAGAAGTAGGGCTGTAGCTTGGACTAGTAGGTGAATAGCTAGGAGATGTTGGACTGTAGCTAGGACTAGTAGGGCTATAGCTCGGTGATGTGGGGCTGTAACTAGGCGATGTAGGTGAGTAATTGGGCGATGCTGGAGAGTAACCAGGAGAAGCAGCATAAGATGGACTGCTTGGTGAGTAGCCTGGAGATGTAGGTGAATAGCCAGGGCTCTGAGCATAAGGACTAAGATCGCCGCGCCATGGACTAGCAAGAGAACCTCCAGCACCAGTGTTACCCATAGGAGAGAACATGGGTTCTGAAGGGGAGGAAGGTTGTGAAAAGTCAACCCAATCAGGAGAACGTGTATCGTAAGGTGTAGCCATGTTAGGAGTCATGTAACCTGGACCAGGTGTAGCAAATCCAGCAGTATCACCAGCCATACCCATTTGAAGGTTTTGTCTATGGTCTTGAGGAACGCTCTGCAACATTTCTTCGTCCAACATAACATCAAATTCACCTGTACCCAAAGGAGCCATTTGACCCAACATAATATTTTCAGCAACACCACGACAGTCATCAAGTTCACCAACAGCAGCAGCCTCCATAAGAATTTCAACAGTTTCTTCAAATGAACAACGCATCAAGGCACCAGTTTCAGCTCTATTGATACCATGACGAGTGATGGCCATCAAATGGCCACGGTTAGTCATCACATCACAAAGCAATGCCAAGTGACGGTAGTTAACATAAGAACCATCGAATTCAATAACATTACGCAATTCCTTGAGAAGAGCCTTACGAGTAGCTTCAATACCAAGTACTTCCATGATTTCAACAGTGTTGTTAGAGTAAGTACGGGTTTCATCGACACCATGTTGACACATGACTTGTTGAAGATTGATACCATCAGTATCAAGGCCCCATTCAGTAGTTGTTTCAAAAGTGCCTTTTTCATTGAGGGTGGTATTCTTACGTTCAACAATGTAAACCTTCTTAATACCGGGTATACCACGAAGATTGATTGAGCCTAACATACTGGCTTCCAACTTGCGAAGGAAAGTGTCTTCTTCAGTTCGGCCCTCTTCGTCATCCATATCCTTCTCTTCGTGTTCATCCATCATCACTCTACAACGTACGATCAATTTCTCAGAGTTTTCATCACTACCAATCACGTGAAGATCGTTACGGAATTCTTCAGAAATCTTTTGAACCACTTCAGTAATATTGAGACGCTTATCAATCATCATACCACGGTTCAATTCAATACGAAGCAACCATGGAGAAACACGAGTAACGAAGGCAGAATTGTCATCTTCAAGTTGATAGTATGTATCAACAAAGTCAACATCTTCTTCAATCACTGTGTTGCGTGGATCAGGATCATAATAAATTTCTGTCACAGAAGTAACCTTTTGTAATGTAGTGTGTTCAAGGTTGACTTGGACTTCCTTTGCCAATTCAATATTACGAGATCGTTCAGCATCAAGCCATACTTCGAGACGGGGTGTCTTGATATTCTTAGCAACGTTGATGATTTCCTTCAAACGAGGTACACCAAGTGTAACGTTCTTACTGGACACACCAGCATAGTGGAAAGTGTTCAATGTCATTTGTGTAGCTGGTTCACCAATAGATTGAGCAGCAATTGTACCAACCATTTCACCAGGTGCGACAATGGAAGTCAAGAAACGAGATTCAATTTCTCCAAGAATCCTAAAGATATGTTAAGACAAGCTACATTCCTATTTAACTTACCATTCAAAGGCTTGAGAAGTCAAGTGGAATTCTTCAACTACACGCTTGACAGCAAAAGTAGAACGAAGCAAGATCTGGAAGAGTAATGTAGCATTTCTTTGTGTTTCGCTAGAGATCTTGTCATTACCACGAATAACAAGCAAACGTTGTGCTAGAGCGTTGATACCATCCACAATTTGCAATGGGTGGATATCAGAAGGTTTGCGAGGATCTAGATGGAAGATTTGCTGTGAGTTCGTGATAAGGCGCTGAAGGTTAACAGGTAAAGGCCATTTATCATCGCCATGCTTAAAGATTTGTGTACGCAACTTTTGACGATCTTCTGACAATTGATATAATTCATGGTCCAAGTAAGATTGAGCCTGTTCACTGCCTTCAATGCTCTTGAGAACATTGTAGTTGAGTGCTCCCTTCTTGAAACCTTGATTCATCACATCAATCTTGTAGCGCTTTTCAAATTCGTCTTCGTTGCACTTGAGAGAAAAGAACTTTTGACTTTCAACAGCCATGGCATCCATACCATCTTCACCATAACAGAATTGGATGATATCACCTAATGAGTTGCGGACAGTACCATCGTATTTGACCATCACATCTTCTAAAGCTTTCACAAGACGACGTTGAATATAACCAGTTTCAGCAGTCTTGACAGCAGTATCAATAAGACCTTCACGACCACCCATAGCGTGGAAGAAGAATTCAGTTGGTGTCAAACCTCTCAAATAAGAGTTTTCTACGAAACCACGACTTTCTGGACTGTGGTCATCCTTTGAAAAGTGTGGTAATGTACGGAACTTGAAACCATAAGGAATACGTTTACCTTCGACGTTTTGTTGACCGACACAGGCAGACATTTGAGAAATATTGATAAAGGAACCCTTTGAACCAGCAATGACCATCTGTTTGACGTTGTTGTCTTCCTTTAAACTGTTTTGAGCCATTTTACCAGCATCATCACGAGCCTTGTTCAAGGTTTGGTTAACCTTGGCTTCAAAGGATTCACGCAATGTCATACCAGGCTGGACTTCAAGTTTATCTTGTTGAGCAGTAATAATCACTTCTTGCACACGTTGCTTGGCTTGAGAAATGATGTTTGTGATAGTAGCCATGGATGGTTTATCAGCAATAGTATCACCAATACCGATACTGAAACCGTTTTGTAACAACCAGTAGTTGACAACTTGTTGAGTACCGCCCAAGAAGTTCTTGGCTGCTTCAGGGCCTAATTCGTTCATGATTGTGTGAATAAGACCACCACCAGCAGTACCAACTGTCTTTTTACAGACAATACCACATATCAGCTCACCATTCTCAATAATGACACGGGTATCACCAGGTGAGATCAATGTAGTCTCACCATCAGGATGTGTCGAGTGGAATGTTTGACAATTGATACCTTTGGGAATGACCATAGCCAGGATTTGCTTACCAGTCCACATTGGCTTTGGCTTAAGGATAGCGGGAGGTGGAATATAACCATCCCAGGAGGGAACCCACATAACGATATTCATCACCAAATCCTTTGTCAAGAAACAATCACGCAATGTAAATTTACGAATACCACAGAGCGTATCTTGCACAATACCCATAACAGGCTTGTTGGATTGTGGAGATACAATTTGCTTAGGTACCATACAAATTTCAGTGATTTCTGCTCTAGTTTCCAAGGACTGAGGTACGTGAAGATTCATTTCATCACCATCAAAATCAGCGTTATAAGGAGAAGTGACAGACAAGTTTAGACGGAAAGTGGAATAGGGCATCACACGGACACGGTGACCCATCATGGACATTTTGTGAAGAGAAGGTTGACGATTAAAAATGACAACATCGTCGTCATTGATATGTCTTTCGACTCTGTAACCATATTGAAGAGGAATTTCACCAGCACGCTTACGGTAACGCAAATCAATACGTTCACCGTTATCACGAATGACATATTTAGCACCGGGATGCTCTAAGGGACCATTGCGAACGAGTGCTTGAAGTTTATCGATATTGTATGGAGTGACAATTTCAGGATAAGTCAAGTTACGAGCAATACTACGAGGTACACCCACTTGATCTAAAGCCAAGTTGGGATCACCAGTAATGACAGTACGTGCGGAGAAATCAACACGCTTACCCATAAGATTACCACGAAGACGACCTTCTTTACCCTTGAGACGAGCACGAATTGATTTAAGAGGTCTGCCTGACTTTTGCAGGGCTTGTGGTTGACCTGCAATATCATTGTCCATATAAGTAGCAATATGAAATTGCAAAAGCTGCTCGAATTCTTGAACAACATGAACAGGAGCACCTTCGGATTCACAGCGCTTGACATTGGCATTTGCCTTCAAGATATCAGAGAGCTTGTGAGTCAAATCGTCTTCACCTCGACTGGTACCATCCATCTGAATGGAAGGACGCACTTGTGGAGGGGGAACAGGTAATACAGTGGTGATCATCCATTCAGGTCTAGCGAACTCTTCGGATAAACCCATATCACGAATGTCTTGATCAGAAATATTCTTGAGAATTTGCAAGACTTTAGACGCAGTTAAAGGCTTTTTGCCTTCATTATTATCCTGCGCAAAATGTCAGTATATAACAATCAAATCAGCCTGTCAACTTACATCTGCTGCGGAAGCACGGAAGTGAGCATAAAGCTTAAGGCCATCTTTACGAATAAGGGGTTGCTTGGAACCACAGCCGCCATGCTTACTCTTGCGCTTTCCGCTGTCAAATTCTTCTTTTTCTTCTAATCCTCCTTCTGTCTCATCACTGCCTTCACAAGTCATTTTGGATTTTGCAAGATCCCAAACTGCTCGAAGTTTTGCTTTTGAATCAGTAATCTTTCTTGCTCTTGCAAAACGAGGATTGGACTGCGCATCATTAGCTGTGCATCTTTGTTTGTTTGTTACCTACATCATCTACTTTAAGCTTTGAACAATGGAAACAGACACATTCAAGGATCTTTTTCACTTTGGATAAAAAGCCTAAACGCGGATATTAACAACAAGACCCACAACAATAGAATCGCAATTTACCAATATGATAAACAGGCTTGGCCAATTCAATGTGACCAAAATGACCAGGACATTCTGCCATGCCTTCACCACAAGTTTGACACTTGTAGTTACGGTCAATAGTACCCATTTGAGGATCTAATAGACCACCTTTCTTAGGTTTTTGTGTGCCTTCTTCATATAATTCAGGATATTCAACTTTTGCGACAGACATTGCTATCTATTGATTTCAAAAATATGTCAATAAAAAGAGAAACTCTTTTGTCTCGACACACATACAATCTCGTCAGGTGAAAGGATACCAAACTGAACGGCATCGACACGTCGGAGAGGTGCAGATGAAAAAGCAAAAGGGTGTCCACTCATCTTGTTGTTGCTGTTTTTTATATGTTATATGTAGTTTTTTTTTGTTTTTCTTTTTAGATTCACGTAAAAAAAAAGAGAGAGACGATTCTATTCAAGTGCTGCTAGTTGAAGAATATGTATGTATATCACTTGAATAATAATAGAGATCGTCACCAACAATCGAAAAAAAAAAAGCTGCTTTCTGATTTCTAGTGTTGTTGATTATAAATTAGTTAGATTAGAAGATAATCAAATAAACTATTGTTGAGTGAGGGAATCTAGTTGTTCGACGTTCGTGTCTTTTTAAAAAAAAAAAAAAGGAAAGCGAACAAGAAAGAAGACGCAGCAGCAGCAAGAAAAAAAAGAAAAAAAACAATTTATACTCTTACACACGTCATCCTTTCGCAACTCCGCTTGTGACTGTATTTTTTGGAGTTTATATAAAAAGGAAGTTGATCTTGTCTTTCTTTTTCTTCTTTATCGAATTGGATTCGATACATAGAATAAACCCCATTTGCGTTGAGCTAAGAAAACATCTGGGCTGCATTATGACGGAACCAAGAAAGTGGATGTATGACCTACTTTTTGTTCCGTATTATACTAAGTATAAAATATTTAATCAGGCAAAAGTAATAGTTTTGAGAAACTAAGTGAACCAAACATTTGTTGATACAAGGGCCGAATGGCTATCATGATTTTGCTATCTAGTTTTTAAACATCGTTTTATGAGCTGCAAAAGAGCCAGTATCAAAACAACATACATCAATAATCTCGTGACTGTCTTTTCTTTAATAGCTTTGAGCAAAAAAAAAAAGTATCCTTTTCTCTTATATTGATCAACCAACCTATATGCGTAGTTTAGAACTTTTGGGACAAACATCCTCCAAAGTCACTAGCGCTGACATTGAAGGTCGCTCTCTTATTACTACTGATCCTGAATCTTTGACAGTTTATGTGGCATTTCAAGATCTCAATGATCAAATCCGTGTCGCTGCTACTGACTTGGCACCTGGTGATCCTACTGCCTTTGTAGAAATTGGTCGCTGCCCCGGTACTTCTATTGTCAGCTTCACTTTCTTGGCAGATCAAAAAGTTGCTTGTCTTTGTACATATAATGGCGATATCATTCTTTTTAGTAAAGAGCGTTTCGAGAATGGGCAGGAAGCTGTATGTGTATCTAAAACGCATTTTGCATGATTTTAACAGTCTATAGATGGAGGTAATGGGTTCTGTTGATTCTGGTATTCATGCCATGAGTTGGAGTCCCGACCAGGATTTAGTTGTTTTGGTGACAGGTAATGCATACTGACAACCATTCCCTTTTTATTGATCTATTATGTGACAGGTGAAAAAAAAGTGTTGGAAATGACTCAAGACTTTGATACAATCACAGAATTCGAACTTCATGTCGAGAACCAAGGTGAAGGTGTCCAACACAGTGTAGGCTGGGGTAAAAAAGAAACACAATTTCATGGATCAGCAGGAAAACAAGCAGCTCAACAAAAAGTGGACGCTAGTAAATTCACTACTTCTGACGATGATGATTCCAAACCACGTATAGCTTGGAGAGGAGATGGTAGCTTCTTTACTGTATCTGATATTGATCCCAACAGATCTGCTCGCGTTATTCGTGTCTATAACCGTGAAGGTACATTGCAAAATACAAGTGAACCTGTAGATAAACTAGAACATACTTTGGACTGGAGACCATCCGGTAATTTGATTGTATCAAGTCAACGTCTTCCTCATCGTCATGACATTGTCTTTTTTGAAAGAAATGGTCTTCGCCATGGTGAATTTACCTTGAGAGAAACCCGTGATGTAAAGCAAAAGGTGTTGGAAGTGACATGGAATGCTGATTCTACTATTCTTGCTGTATGGATTGAATCTGAAGGACAAAAGACAGTTCAACTCTGGACTTCCAAGAACTACCATTGGTATATGAAGCAACACATTGTTCTTTCAGAAGGTAGAGACATTGTTGGTTTTGCTTGGGATGTTGAAAATTCTTTGCTTGCCCATTTGTTTACAAGCACTGGTGATTATCACCGCCATTTATACACATGGGATGTGTTTACCAGCACTTCTATTGATGAGTCTAATGCTGGCTATGTTGCAGTGATTGATGGGTCTCAATTGCTTATGACACCTTTTGCTTACATGAATGTTCCTCCTCCTATGAGTGCTTTGACTATTGCTACTCAGGGTGATGTGCAATATGTTGCATTTGGTCCTGATGCTGCAGGTCTGAAGTTGGCTGCTCTTACTACTTCCAAAATTCAATTGTTTGATCTTCCTCTTAAAGGACTTGGTGATGCTTCACTTCTTGGCGAATTAGCCTTGCCTGAGGTTACTGCAAGCAATGATTCTTATGCCAAGAATCCCATCCGTCAATTATGCTGGATTGATGAAACCCAACTTGTCTACTGTCAATATGATGAAGAACTGCAACAAGATATGTTCTGTGTTGCCAACTTCTCTTTGGACAACAAGGAAATGACAGTAAACTCAACCCCTTTTGATGGAAAGATTGGTCACATTTACTTTAATGTCACTCAAAAAGACCTGATTGTAGAGGGCATAAATGGTTCTGTCTACAATGTTGAATTGGAAGACAATTTGCCTATGATCAGCAAAATTGAACAATTCTCTGATTTCTGTCCCTGGATTGCCACTGCCCGTGCTGGCTTGCCTATAGAACAAACAGAGCGTGTTGTTATTGGTTTGACTAATCGTAGTAAACTATACATTAATGACAAGCTTGTTTCTTCAGAAGCCACTTCATTCTTTATCCGCGCCAATTGGTTAGTTTTCTCCACTACTTCTCACTCTGCTCGATTCTTGGCCTTGGATAGTGCCTCTGTTGAAAATCTCAAGTTATCTGATGAAAGCAATGATGCTTATGATGAAACTTCTAGACGTCTTGAGCGTGGCTCCAAGATTGTCATGGCCACTCAACATAAGCCTTCTCTTGTACTTCAAATGCCCCGTGGTAATCTTGAAACAATCAGTCCTCGGGCTTTTGTTTTGGCTACTATTCGTGAAGACTTGAAGAACCTTGACTTCCGCTCTGCTTTTATTGCCTGTAGAAAGAACAGAATTGACTTGAACATTCTCTATGATGATAGCCCTGAACGTTTTGTTGCTAATGCTCGCACTTTTGTTGAACAAGTCTCTGAAGTTGACCACCTCAATTTGTTCTTGTCTAACCTTAGAAACGAAGATACTTTGGTGACCATGTATCGTCGTGGTGGCCGTACTGCCGATCAATTAACCACTGCTGTCGGTGTAGAAAACAAAGTCAACAGCATTTGTGAATCCATTCGTAATGTCTTGTTTGACCTTGGTCGCGATCACTACATTCAATCCATTCTTTCTACTTATGTTAGAAAATCTCCTCCAGATATCGAATCTGCCATGTCGCTTTTATCTGAACTTCGTGAGACTGACTTACATGCTGCTGAAGATGCCTTAAAGTACACCATTTTCTTGTGTAAGGCTGACTTGTTGTATAATGTTGCTTTGGGAATGTACAACTTCCCTCTTGTCCTCATGGTGGCTCAACAAGCACAAATGGATCCTAAGGAATACCTTCCTTTCTTGCAAGAACTCAAGAATCTCGAAAAGTACTATCAACGTTACAAGATCGATGACCACTTGAAGCGTCATGAAAAGGCTATCAGAAACTTGAGCATGGCTGGTGATGAACATTTTGATGAGTTGCTTGAATACATGCAAAAGTACTCTCTTTATCATATCGCCATTGAAGAGTTTGCCAGCAAGAAGCAACAAAAATTGGCCATTCTTGAAGTATATGGTGCTCATCTTGATTTCAAGACCAATTATGAAGAAGCTGGTATTGTTTACACCATGGCTGGTAACTCTGCCAAGGCTTTGGAGTCTTACCGCATGGCTGGTTGTTGGAGAGAAGCTTTCTCTATTGCTAAACAATTAAAGTACTCGGATGAAGAAATTCACTCAATGGCGTATGATATCATTGAATACTTGAAAGAAAAGCGTCGTTTCCAAGAAGCCGCTATGGTTGCTCAAGACTATGCCAAGGATGTTGAAGAAGTAGTTGATTGTCTCTTGAAGGGTAGTCTTTGGAAAGAAGCTGAGCGTATTTCTTATACTTACAACCGTCCTGATTTAATTGAGACACACGTCAAACCTGGTTTAGTAGAAGGCTATACACAAATGGACGATGATATTGATGAGATGATGGCTCAATTCCATAAGCAAAGTGCTCGTCTTGTCGAATTGCGTACTCGCAAGCCAGAACAAGCAGTAGAAAACCCTATGGCAAATGATGAATCATTGGATAACATTGATATGTTCTCAGATACCACTTCAATGTATAGTCAGTTCACAAGATATACAAATGCTTCTTCTCGAGTGTCATCTGTCTCTTCTCAAGGTTCAGCAAAGACTAGAAAGACATCCAAGCTTAGAAAGAGAGAAGAACGTAAGAGAGCACGCGGTAAGAAGGGTACTGTTTTTGAAGAAGAATACATTGTCAATTCTATCAAGAAATTGATCGAAAAGGCCAGTAATATGCAAAGTAAGTTTTTTTCTTGTATAACTAAACATGTTATTCATCACGTTATTAGCTGAACTTGGTAACCTTATTCGTGCACTTGTTCCATTTGAATACGTTGAAGAAGCTAGAGCTATCCAAGTCAAATTTGAAAAGGCTATTCAAACACTTGATGCATGCAAAGACACTGTCTTTGTTCCATTACAATTAGCTGTGAGCTTGGTAAGTAGATAATTAAACATGACAACCATACTTATATTTTGTAGTACGCAACACTTGAAGAATTTGAAGAGGCCAAGAACAACCCAAAGATTATAGAAAAGCCTGTGATTGCCAAGGTTGATTGGAAGTTACAGTTGTTGTAAAATGCTTTGTTAAATATGTATAAAATAAATTTTCTTTTACGTTACACTGATAATGCAGATGGCGATCTCCCTAAAAAGTTATTGTAGTACAGCATTGATTACATTTTGCTTATTGATCAACGCTTATAAGTTCATTAAGGCAATATAGTATTACAAATACACAAGTGATGTTGGTTGAAAAAGTGTATCAACTTTTATTGTAGTTCTTTCTAGCTGAATTCATACTTAAAAAAAATGCTCTTTGATAGAGAATTTTTTGCAGCAAAACATGATCATTATAGTCTAATAAAAATATTGCTTCTTTTCATAAAAAGTGTCTGACTGCTCTACTGTAATACAAATGGGATGTTGATGACTACAAAAATTATCTTTCTGACAAATCCCTCGGTTAAGGTTTTTGTTGATCATCTTTCCTTCCCTTTTCACCTTCTTATTAATGAAATGTCTTTGCCGGATGATGACTGCTTCAAAAATCTATCTAAAACCCAACAAGTGGAACTGTATAAATTATACAAGAAGTTCAACAAGCCTTATGTGCAAGTAAACTATGATAACCTTGTGAAAGCACTTGAGTTAGCATCTATTGAAGTATCAATGAAGAGCCAGTTTGATCAGGTTCTAGACGTCTACAAAGAATCATTACAGGTCAAGTATGATGTACTCATTTTATTTCTGGATACGGCACTACCCGCTTGGATTGAATACATTGAATCAACATTAAGCAATAATATTCTCAACATTATCAAATTGTTTCTCAACGAACATCATTTGGATTTATCTGTGTTTTACCTTATTGACAAGAAAATCAAACATGCTGAAATCATTATGGCCTATCATGATTTCGTAGGCACATACTTTCTCAAAAGCTGTACTGGTATTCGAATCTATAGCTTGTTCTATGGCAAGAAATGCAGGCCCATTAATTTTATAAACGATAAAGCAGACAAAAAACGAAACAGCGAGCTAGAAAACGAGCTGAAAAGAATGAGAAGCTTCTCTGATTTTCTGCGCTCGCGTAAACGAATGAAGATCTTTCAAGCAGCAAGCAGTTCCTTTAATATGTTTGTTATTACAAATGACGAGCTACTTATCTGTTTACCACCTATTGAATCCATGATGAAGGGCATGAAAGGCATTATCAGTGTGGATTATCGTATCAATGTGTTCTTGGCTTCTTACTTGGGAACCTTGACAGCACTTATACCTACGTTTGAAGACTTTGAACTTGCTCAAAAAGAAGGCATGTTTGAACCTGAAATGAAGTATAGTGAATTCAAGTCTTTGTGTGCAAACTCATTTTTGGAAGTGGAAGATTATGATGAACATCTTTACTTATTTGTTTTGAATGCAAACAAATATTTTTACCAGTACTTTAATGCTTTGTGGAGGGATTTAACAAACAAGCTCATGTTTGAGCCTGTTTCTTTCTACTTGACATTGATGGCGACTATCTTTTCTCTACTTTCGCTAATACAAGTCTTACAAAATGCAAAAATCATACCACCCTTGTATTAATTACTTTTTTTAATCATATTATATCATATTTCTTAATCAATAAAGTTTATAAGCAGGGACAAGTAATGTTGATAGAGTCTCTTTTCCTCCCATAATCATCATGGCTTCCACTTATAATCCTTCAAAAAAGAAATACTACATTGTGACAAGTATTTTCTCTCCTTACAAAGAAGACATTAATCCTGGTAGTATTGATTCCTATTTGTTTGATTCCAGAAGCAAGGCTGAAATCTTTATGAATAAAGAAGCAAAAGAAGTCTACTATACACAAATCAAATCAGATGAAGAAGACTATGATGGAAACAAGACACCACCTGAAGAAGAAGAAAATGATGGTGCTTTTTATTATGCAAACAAAAACTGTATTTGTTTTGGTGAAGATAGCTCAATGGGATTCTCTTATCGTAGAGCTTGGGGTATAGTAAAGATTGAAGAAGTAAGGATGAAAGATTAATATTTTCTACCTATATGATAAATAAACATTGGCTTTATATATGAAATCAAACTGTATCATTGGACAGACAGGTCGGTTTATTCTATGTCTATACCACAGAGATCGACAGAAGTCTCTTTGTCGGTTCTCGCAAAAAAGAAAAAGAAAAAGAAAATAATAATTGTACAATAGTTTTGATGAACTGCCTGCCAATGCCCTGGCCAAGTTGTACAAGAGCATTTGCATTTCCTAAATTAACCAATGAAGCCAAGTTAGGAATCTAACCAATGAAACTAAGCAATGGGATAAAAAATGAGTCACAACAGCTTTCCTTTCAGTTCACCAATTAGATAAGAAGGCTCATAACATACCAATTCCAGAAAAAAAATCTTATCAATTTGATCGAGAGAATAATTTGGTACCTCTTTCTTTTCTCTTTTATCATTAAAAAAGATGCTCTATAGATCAACTCGTGGACAAGCCAAAGACTATACCTTTGAAGACGCTGTTATGGCTGGTCTCGGCCCTGACGGTGGTCTCTTTATTCCTCAGGAGATCCCTACCTTGCCTGCCAACTGGCGTCAAGCTTGGTCTCAATATAGCTTCCAACAACTTGCTGTTGAAATTTTATCTTTCTATATTGATGAAACTCAAATTCCTCGAGCTGATCTCGTTCAACTTGTCGAACGCTCTTATTCTACTTTCCGTTCCAAGGACGTTACACCCCTTGCCAAGGTTCATGATGGTCTTTATGTTTTAGAATTATTCCACGGTCCCACTTTTGCTTTCAAAGACGTTGCCCTTCAATTTGTTGGTAACCTTTTTGAATACTTTTTAGAACGCCGTAATAGTAAGGAACCTGCTGGTGGTAAGACACACCGTTTGACTGTTGTTGGTGCTACTTCTGGTGACACTGGCAGGTAAGACACATCTCATAGAAAAAAAAAATTAACCAATATTTATTAGTGCTGCCATTTATGGTCTCCGTAACAAAAAGAATGTCTCTGTGTTCATTCTTCACCCCAATGGTCGTGTCAGTCCTATCCAAGAAGCCCAAATGACGACTGTCTTGGACAAGAATGTTCACAACTTATCTGTTGAAGGCACTTTTGATGACTGTCAAGATATTGTAAAGAACTTATTTGGCAACAAAGAGTTCAATGATCGTCACCACTTGGGTGCTGTCAACTCTATCAATTGGGCACGTATCCTGGCTCAAACAGTCTACTACTTCCAAGCCTACTTCACTCTTCTCCGTTCTTTGAACATTGATCCTGCTTCTCCTGAAGCTGAAGCCATCAAGTTTGACTTCTCTGTCCCTACTGGTAACTTTGGTGATGTATTGGCTGGTTACTATGCCTACCGTATGGGTCTTCCTACAAACAAATTGTTGATTGCTACTAATGAAAATGATATTCTTTACCGTTTCTTCTCATCTCAAGCTTACGAGAAGCAAACTGGTCCTGATGGTGGTGTCAAGGCTACCTTGTCTCCTGCCATGGATATTTTAGTGTCCTCCAACTTTGAGCGTTTGTTGTGGTATTTGGTTCGTGAGACAGAAGCTGATCAAGGCAAGACACAAGATGATGCATTAAACGATAAGGCTGGTCAAACTGTTGCTGGTTGGATGCAAGAATTGAAGGAAAAGGGTGTCTTCCGTGTTTCTGATGCTGCTGTCTTGAAGGCTCGTGAAATCTTTGATGCTGCCCGTGTCACTGATGTTGAGACATCTGCTACTATTCGCTCCTACTATGAAACAAACAATGCTGGTCAATCTCCCTATGTTCTTGATCCTCATACTGCTGTTGGTGTTGCTGCTGCTGAAAAGTTGATTGAACGTGATAGCCTCAAGACTTACCCTGCCGGTAGTGATGTTCTCATTTGTTTAGCTACTGCTCATCCCGCTAAGTTTTCTGAAGCTGTTGAAGCTGCTTTGAAGACCTCTCCCGGTTTTGACTTTGCCAACGATGTCTTACCTACTGAATTTCATGGTTTATTAGAAAAAGAACGCAAGGTTACTCACGTTGAACGCGCTGATCCTCAATTAGTCATTCAAGTTATTGAAAAGGAATTACGTGAAGAAGGCATTTCTTTCTAGACTTCATTTACTCATACACACTCTCTTCATCCCTATCAATTAATATACACGCACACATTCTACATTTTCTTTTTAAAAAAGAAAAACTATATACTATATACACCATATAGGTTATGTCTAAATAAAACTTATTAGAAGCATCTATATACTTTAATGTTTTTGGGTATGAGAGGGCTCTTTTGTACCAAGAGGGACATCATCGTCTTCATCTTCGTCATCATCTTGAATGCTGCCATTGAAACGATTATTGAACATTTGTTGCTGTTGTTGCCACATTGGATGTTGACCGTATTGTTGTTGCATCATCATCATAGACACGCGGGGATCCATCATAGGTGGCACCATTTGCATGTTCATCATGCCAGGATACATCATCATGTTCATGTTCATCATTGGCATTTGTCCGCCCATCATTGGCATTATACCAGGATACATCATCATATTTTGATTCATCGCAGGATTCATGCCTTGACTCATAGCTGGATTCATGCTTTGACTCATAGCTGGATTCGTGCCTTGGTTGATACTTTGACTCATGCTTTGATTCATAGCTGGATTCATCATGGGCTAAGTAGACAAACGATAAGTACATTACTTTGACTAAATACTATTTTACCTGCATCATTTGCTGTCTTTGTTCTAGAAGGTATCGTTCACGCTCACGCTCCAAGATGCGCTCTTTTTCCATTTCTGCTAGTCGAGTCTTATTGGATTTTTCTTGCTTTTTCTCATGCTCCAATTGAGAAATCATACCCACTAGACCAGCACGAGGTTCAGGAGGTTTATTTGGCACTTGGATTAATGGCTGACCAGTGGCTCTAGCATAGCCTTCTTGGTCATGTGCTGAGGGACGGTCTGCTCTGTATGTATCTAACAGGCTATTTTGTGTTGCAAATCTATCTCCAAGCTGAGGAATGATAGGACCATCTTCGCCCATCATAGGGAAACCATTTTCATCATAATAACCTTGGAAATGTGGATCCATCATCATCATATTTTGACTAGCATTGTATGTACTGGCACTATCCCATTGTTGATTTTGCATATAGGCATCATTGTAGTCAAGATAAGGTTGTTGATGTTGCTGTTGTAAGTGTCTTTGTTGTTGTTGATGAATAGGAATATCGTCATCATCACTACCAGAGTAACCTTCTTCCTCTTCCCCTTCTTCACTATCGTCGGATCCACTTACACTAATTTGAGTTCTGGCCACCTTGGGATTAGGTCTCTTGGTGACGGGTTTAGCACTGGGTTTTTGAACTGCTTCTTCTTCTTCATCATCGTCGTCGTCACTGTCTGATAAATTGTCTTCCTCTTTGACGTCTTTCTTAGTTGACAAATCAGTAGTTGATGATGTGGATGCTTTTTGAGAGATGTGGAGTGATGTCTTGGAAGATACACTCTTTTTCTCGATATCGCCTAATACATTGCTTGCAAATCCTTCATCTTCTTGCATATTAGGTAATAAACTTTCCTTTGTTTTGATTTTGTTTTTGTTAAAGACAGAGTCGCTATCGCTTTCATCGTCTTCCTCCTCTTCTTCTTCATCATCATCTTCCTCCTCACTTTCTTCATCACTAGCATATATTTTGCGATTTGTATTGGCTTTCACCTGCTGCTGCTGTTGGAGTGATGGTGGTGGAAATGCTTGAGCATGTTGAGGTTGCATGCCGAGTGGTTTGTTGCTCATGTTAGATGACTGACTAGAATGAGTGGACATCCTTTGAGGATTTGGACGAGGAGGAGAAGGCACTTGTCCATTCAGCATTGGTGCTCCTGAAGGGATTTGGTGGATCAAACCCATGGGTTGTTGTGACTGACGTGCATATAAATGTTGCTGAACTATCTGTTGCTGATGTTGTAATTTCTGTAACAAGATGTTTGAGAACTGAGACATGGTTTCTACCAAGCCTTGGTCTTTAAGGTTGATATGAGATACTTCATGCAATTCTAGGAACAAGCGTGGTGCATCTCCTCTTGGCTCTCCAAAATTAAGTGAGTGAATATTAAGGGGTCATCATGAAGACGATCAGGTCTGCCATATAGCTTGAAGGTATCAAAGGTACCAATGACCCACTGTGCCATTTCCTTAGTAGAGGGTGCTCGAATAGTTGCAGTTGTCGTCTCACCGTTTGCTTGAATTTTAAATGTTGTTACCGTATCAATATCTTTTGCTGATTCGGGATATAAAATATAAGATTGCACAACGTTAGTGATGGTAAGAACAGGATGTTTGGCTTTCTTGGATTCGTACAACATGATTTGGCCTTTAGAGGGTTTTGTTTTTTTACCAAACAGTTTCTTTTCTTCAACTTTATCAGACACAACTAACCAATATTTTTGCCATTCATTGGCTCCTAATTGAACTTCCACTTGACCCTCAGTCTTGCTCAACGTCTTTAACTGCATATCAGCAAAAGCTGATCGACTTAAAAAGTGTCGTGTAAAAATCTCTTGCAATCTAGTATATTCAAAACAAGAGAGGCGAATAGCAGATACCCATTGCTGCAATACCCGAGGATTAGGTAAATCAAATAAGACTTGATTGTCTCCAGCGGAGTTGAACGAAAACACGTTGTCCTTGCCTTGTTCACCCGACTTGCCCAACAAGTCCACGCTAGAATTAATCACAGACATATATTGTGGCATGACTTGCTCGCCACTTCCTTCAAATTGGGCATCCCAAAGGATCAGAACAGAACCACACAACTCAGCATACCAGCGAGACCACTGTTCTTTCTTTCTATAGACATAACCTTCGATATACACTTTTTGAGAATAATTGTCAAAGAGTGATTGTATAATTCGCATATCAGGAGGTGACATGGTGCGTGGTGGAGCTGCAGGCTTGATAAAATGAGCAGGTCTCGCCATTAGTACCGAAATAGGTCGATTTGTGCTACTGAGGGGTTGGTCGTCTTCTTCGTCACTATCAGAAGCTTGAAACCATTGGCCTTGATTTGCAATTTGCTGGTGAGGGTCGTCACTTAGACTGAGATTTTTCATCCCGGACTCGAAAGAGGCACTCATATTATATCGTGTTGATTTTGAAAAGTAACAAAAGTGTGTGTACACACAAATGAAAGAAAGAAAGAAAGAAAGGGAAAAAATGAACAGAGAGTGAGAAACAATTAAAAATAGTTTCTGTTCTCCTCCAGAGCCATGTAACACGAGTACCTTTTTTGGCCTGTGACTCTTACTTTTTTCTGTTCAAAGACTCTATTAAAGTTACATCAATTTAAGATTTTTATTCACCTTAATAAAAAAAAAAAATAAAAAAAAAGGAGATAGAAGGTATGTCTTCTCTCTTCTTATATGAAATGTACTCTGCTTAAAGATGGCACCATTCATCAAGTAAGCGTATATATGCTCATAAGTTGCTGAGACTATTTTTATTACTGTTTATCATGTGCAATTGATTTTTAAACAGTCAAAAAGTAAAATAATTGATTGTATCACAAATTCCGCATTAAGAATACGCAAATCTTCAACCTTGTGTACCAGGTATTTCTTAATTATCTTTTCTTTTCCTGGTAAATATTGGCTATCTATTCCAAAATTAATAAACTCTACCAAACAATAACTACAAAATACACGTACACAATTACAACAAAGGAGGATTACAAGGGATAAATAACAAAGAAGCAATTAAGTTTTGTTTTCGCAACAACAATGACCTCCTCATCTACTGTCTACTCCTTTCTAATTACCATAGCTTTTAACTGACATTAGACTGTCTTAGTCAGGAATCTTGGATTCTAAAGTGTTTCTTTTTGTTCTGCTTGACTCATTAGTATTTATAGTTAATACTGCTTTCAGAAAAATGGCATTATTATCTGCCGGCTTTTCTTTAAAACTACAGTCAAACCTATGGAAATTGGCGTTTTCACAGAAATAATTGTCACTTTTATAAAAATGATTGGTCCAAAGACAAAAATAATTGTCGGCAATTGAAAAAATAAATGTCACAAGCTCGATTATTTTTGTCATTTTGGTCAAGAGTATTTGTCCATGCCAGCTAATTAAATTTGGCGCTTAAGTTGATCATAGATATTTGTCGTTTTAAAATGCGACATTGATTTTGGAAATACTGTATGCATATATACTTTTTTCTACTCCAAAGAGTGCCATAAATATTATCTCGCCTGCTACACACATGCTATGTTATTTTTAATATAGAACATAGAATGCGATTTAATACATTCACTATAAGAAATCCAAATATATATATACAGCCCATGTTTAGAGAGAGATTTATATTTTATAGTAGATGATGCGACTATATTTGCTTAAAGAAAATGCTCAATAAGTAAAAACAAAAAAGGGAAAAAAATATACAGCGTTTTGGTCAATAATAAATAATGTATACAAATATACAACACAATTCATTCGAAAATATCCGTATTTTCAAATTGATAGCGAACCGTATCCTTATCCTCAACATGGTCCAGGAAGTTGTTCTCTTGACGTAACTTTTTCAACACATCCTTTTGATTGTCATATTCATTCTAAAAAACAGAATAAAATAAATAAGTAAAAATACCAATGATTTTACAAAGTTAAAGACATTTACCTGCAGCGTAGCCAACAACTCAAAGACTGAGATCATATTTGCCCTTGCATCCCAAGTTACAGGGATGGTTGCACTTCTTAATTCAATAACTTGCCATTTCGTTGTACTAAAGAGACTGCATTTTGTCAAGGTAATTTTGTCGCAGATATTGTATTTTTCAGCAATTAAGAGACAGTCTCAGAGAAAATAAGAGAAAATTATTGGATAAAATAAGAGAAAATTTTAGATCAATTAAGAGAAAACTGACCAATAAAATAAGAGAAAAACACAGGAAAAATTAAGAGAGAGAAAAAGGGGCAATTAGTAGAAAGCACTTTTCTCACTATTATTAACAAAAAATGGATATTGACTATGATATGAACGAGATCTCTCTACGCGACGAAGATATTGAAGCTGTACCCGAGATTATTGTCAGTGTAATGTCGATGATGAGAAAGAAGTGGGAGTATAACATCACTGCATCAGCCATGGAGTTAGATGAAGATGTGACGATGGAACTGAAGGAAGGGCACGAGGGTGATGAGCCCAGTAATAGCTCGGACGAGGAGGAAAATGAAGCTGATGTGCAGAGTAGTGAGAGCGATTTGAAAGAAGAGAAGCCTCTCAGAGACCTGACTGAAAAAAAAGACGACGCTAGCAATGCTAGACGTATATACACTCAGCAGGATATCAACAAGCTTATTGCTCTGTTAGTTGAACAGGTACCTATAAAGGATGCAGCTTTAAAGACAGGAATAAATGAAAAATCAGCCTACCGTTTCAAATCGCAGTGGCAGAAAACTGGGGAGGTACCTCAACAGAAGAAAAGAGGACGCAGAATGGGAACTGTCTCTGAGCTTACTGAGAAGCACTCGAAGTTTATTATCGACCTTGTTGATGAGCGTTCAACTACAACTGTAGCTGGAATACACGAGTCATTGATCATAGAGTTTCCAAGTCTCTCTGCAAGCCCATCCGCAGTATACAGACATCTTAGGACCAGCTGTGCACTATCTATGAAGAAGTTGGAGAAGATTTCAGTTGCTAGAAATTCAGAAGAAACTTTGAAGAAGAGAAAGGAGACCATCCTTCAATGGCTAGCTGATAGAGAAATTGACTTTGAGAACAATTGCGTATTTTTGGATGAAGCAGGATTCAATCTTCACATGACACGCACTCGTGGCTGGTCTAAGAAGGGAGCACCTGCTAAGACAACTGTCCCTGCTTCAAAAGGCACTACAATAACCATCCTTGGTGCCATCTCAAGTGCCGGCGTTATTGACATTTCTTTGAGAAAGCCAATAATGGTTTCGAGAGCTAAGAAGAGAAGAGTAGATGGTAAGGTTGTTACAACAACAGCCAAAGTTGGAACAAGGGCCGAGCATTATCTAAATTACTTGAGTAATGTGATGGATGTTCTTGACCGAAACAACATGAGGGGTTTTTACTTGGTAATGGACAATGCTCCCATACATAAGCCAGCTACAGTAAGAAATTTGATAGAAAGCAGAGGCTATAGGTGTGTATATCTTCCACCATACTCACCATTCCTAAACCCAATTGAGCTATTCTGGTCGAAGGTGAAGTATGGTGTCAAAAGAAAACCTTTCGAAACTGGTGAGACACTCACACCCAGAATCATGGATGCCTGCTCCAAGGTAACCAAGAAAGACTGCCAAGGCTGGATCCACCATTCCCTCGGATTTTTTGAAAAGTGCTTAGCCCTGGAGAAAAACTTATAATGAGATTAAAGTATAAATAAGCTTTCTACTAATTGCCCCTTTTTTTCTCTCTTAATTTTTCCTGTGTTTTTCTCTTATTTTATTGGTCAGTTTTCTCTTAATTGATCTAAAATTTTCTCTTATTTTATCCAATAATTTTCTCTTATTTTCTCTGAGACTGTCTCTTAATTGCTGAAAAATACAATACACTGAATTCCATAAGATGCTAAATTTTTAGCGGTTTCAAACGAAGCATTCGGGTACTTCAGGATTTCATCACATAAGGAGTTGCTAGTCATGATTATGAGCTTCCAGGTATCTTCCAGGGAATGGTCAATATATTCAGTAGAGAAGGGGCCAGACGATTCCATGATTACTACTTCGAACCCATCCTTGCATCCAACACCATCTGCAAACAACCTTTCGGTACTGCTATTCCAGACACCTGGGATGACTTGGCTGTTGGCATGAGAAAGCATTTTTGATTCGCACCTTATGCATAATATTAACAATGTCAGTATATTTCAAACGTATTCCAATTAACATGCTAACCACTTACCAGCTAAATATGAACCCTTTGTTCATGATACAGAAATGCTTAAAGATCGGTATAACGTATTCTGCCCAGAAGGTCCTCTCATGGCTTTTGTTGAAATCAAGCCTCTGGAATAATCCCCAGAAATCGGTCAAAATGATAGCAATTGCCGAAAAAAAGTTGCTCTCCAACGAACCCCAAGCCAAAGCTTCACTCTTGAAACGCCACACATTCAGAGGAAAGTTTTCGAATTGCACATCATCAGCCATCAAATCTCTCAACAATTTAAATACATTTGGGAACTTCCCTAAACCTTGCAAAGCCTTTTGATCAGCACGATTATTGTTTAAAACGCCTCGCAAAGAGAGTGGCATCAATGACAAAGGAATATTGGATATGGCGATATGGCACTTGTCTTGTACGTTTTCAATATCTGTGATTAATAACTTTGGTAAATTAGGGGTATGGTTTATTAATCTTGACGGCCCCATCAATTCAGTTTCGCCTGCATCCGACGAGTCCTATATATATCATCAATAATGAATACACTAATATAATTTTTTTTTACATATATTGATTTATAACTTTACCATGTTTTTCGATTGGCTTGGTTCTGCAGTGTCGTCTCCATGATGATCTAGAGCATGATTTTAGTCCGTATTTGGAATAATTGTTATTTTATCAGCACTCACCATTATCCATTTCTTTTAGTGTAGACTCTTTAACAACATCCAGAGCCATATCTGTGATATCAGAGGCAGATTTTATGGCTTTCGTAAATAATGTACGTGATTTTTCTTTCAATTTGAAGTCTTGTATCCTTCCTCGTTTTGCGGTATACAGTTTAACGAAGTCCTCAGAGAACTTTGGTTTGAGGGAATAATTATAACAATTATTGGCAAATCTTGACAATTGGTCTGGTACGTTTTTCGATTTTCCAATATTTTCTAAGCTTGATCGTATGTGTGATGTTTTGATAGTAGAATTATATAATAAGATGATATAGAGACAAAGGTAGATACTTTGAGACTGTTCTATACAATTTTATTGTTGTTCTTTTTGACTATACAGTATTTTCGGAAAGTATTCGTGCACTAATAATTTTTCGTTTCGTGCAATAAAAATAAATAAATCGTGCGGACTTGGAAAACAATTTCGAGCAAAAAAATTAAAGTCATGGTGCAAAAGTAGAAAAAGAGTTGGGTCAAAAAATTCATGCATGGTGCACGAAATTAATGTTTATTAGATTGGCTTTCTGTTCAAACAATCATCAAACATAGACATAGAATGTCTACAGAACCCCTTCAAGTCGCTCAAAAGGACTTTGTTACAGGCGTCTGTTATTCTGGAGGTGAGTGTTTCCTCTTTCAAAAGTTTCTCTCTTTTGACCTTGCTCTTGCAAACAGCCCAAAATTCTTCAATAGGGTTAAGGGTTGGTGAATATGGAGGAAGGTAGACGCAGCCATATCCTCTGCTTTCTATATACTTTCTTATGTCTTGGTGCGTATGGATAGGCGCATTATCCATGACTATATAGCTATCCTTGAAGATCTCGTGACGATCCAAAATATCCAAGCTACTAGCAATAAAGTTGAAGTAATGGCCAGTCACTGTTCCTCCTTTGCCCTTGTTTGCGACAGTTGAGTTTTTTCCTGTCAACTTTCTTTTCTTTGCGGGCTCCGCTACCTTGGGCTGTTTGATCTTGATATTGACAACACCGTGAGCAGATATAGCACCAAGAATAGTCGTGGTCTTTGCTCTTGTCTTTGGGACTGTGACAATGGCAGGATCACCTTTTTTAGACCAACCATAAGAGCGCTTCAAGTTGATATGGAATGCAGATTCATCAATAAAAACGCAGTTGCTCATATAATCCATGTCAGTCTCTTCCCAGTGTTTCACTCATTGATATCTAGCTTCAATTTTCTCAGGAGAATTTCGCTCAACTGAATAAAGCTTTGCTCGCTTGAAGCTGAGATTGCACTTTGTAGTGACAAACTCATACAAAGCAGTCTTTGAGATCTTCAGATCCTCAAAGCTACTCGTAAGACACTCCATCATCTCTTCCAAGACCATTTCAGGCCTTTCATCAATAGCTTCAATCAGACACTCCTTATGAGCATCATTGAGGATTGCAGGTCTTCCAAGCTTCCGCTTACCATCTACAGTCCTTTCCATAGCGACCTCACTGTCCTTTGCCAAGCTCGCCTCTCCTTGCTTGAACCATGTTTGTGCTGTCGTTGGTGGTATACCAAGCTGTTTAGCAGCACCTCGGACACTCATATTCTTTTCATACACTAAGTGAAAGAAGTTACTCTTGTCCTCAGGTTTGTACTTCCGATAGGTCTTCTTAGAAATCCCACCAACATCTCCCGCAATAGGGTTTGTGGTGTTGCTTTCAGTCTTCATAACAACATCTTTGGCTGCTTTTTCAGGAGGCTTGAGATCAGTGTACATTGCGAAATCTGTAACATCTCCTAAGGGGTAAGCTTCGTCATCCACTTCCATTGCAAACTCAAGATGCTCTTCTTCATTCTCATTTGTTAGGTTTCCGTTTCCATCTTCATAAACAAAGTTACTCATTTTCAACTACGTAGAATATAAAATTGCACTAAGTAAAAACTATTTTTGCACCATGACTTTAATTTTTTTGCTCGAAATTGTTTTCCAAGTCCGCACGATTTATTTATTTTTATTGCACGAAACGAAAAATTATTAGTGCACGAATACTTTCCGAAAATACTGTAAAAATGGAAATTAAACAGAAAGAGAAGAATTATTAGAGAAGGTACAATAGTATGTTAGATGATTTTACCTATAACAATCTTAATTCCCAAAGGAAATAACGTGTTCATTACAGCGATTATTGCTTTTCTTTTTAGTTTTTCTTGAATCGTTCTGGACAGCTTTCACGCTTCCAAATTGACTTGGCAATGTTCATCATATTCAAACTAGCGTTGATGTCACGCTGCCATAATGTTCTGCACGTCTTGCAAACGAGAACACTATTGCTGTGGGCACCACTAGTACCACCCAAAGTTCTACTTTCACATTCGGAACATATTTGGGACGTCAAATATTCATCAATGTCCACAACGAGTAAGTCACCAGCCCTCTCTTCTTTTCAACGTTCTGTATAGAAGACCAGTGACACCAGTCCGGACCGTTTTCATCTTCGCATGGTCCTTCCCAAACATGCCGCTACCAAATACTATCAGTGGTACCTTCTGTTTGTACTGAAAGAAATTGCTTTCTCCAAGTACCATAAACTTATGAGTATAAAAATTATCGTAGCCATGCCCAAGTAACTTTTTACCTTGTTTCTGTTGTTTTCGGTGCCATTTTTCTCTTTCCTTTATCCTTCTTTCCGGACTTATTCCCTTTCTTTTTCCGCTTCCCTTTGTTCTTTGCTCTTTTTCGTTTGTTTTCTCTTGACTTCTTGTTGTATTTCTTGGTACCATCTAGCAACATTTTCACCATTTGCTCCGGTGCTCGTTGGCAATTCTGGTATAAGAAAAAGGTCTCTTTTGCAGTTTCTTGATTGTAAAAATTGAAAATACGACCAATGTTTTCGAGCATATAAATGGCATACTCCATATACAGTGATTCATTGGCAGTCTTATTGGTGGGTATATTTGTTTCAATCGTCTTAATACCGCATGCTTTCTTTTTCTTCTGTTGCTCTGCTGAGAATCTTGTAGAGCCTGTCAAGTGGTAATATTCCTTGATGGAACATTGTCTGAAGTCGTTTATATTACCACTTGAACCAGCAAATGCAATGAAAACCCTTTTTCTTCCTGGATCTACGGCTATTGGTAAATAGTGGCTGTCAACTTCATGCTGCCCAAAATCATCCAGGATCAGATCAACTTGATTGATTTGCTCGGTAAAACGTTTTCCTCTTATTGTTCGTTTGTTAAAAACGAAATGAACAGAAAAACCGTCTGATCTGATCAGGTTACCAAAGAGCCTCTTATTTGTTCCAGTGGGTAATAAAGATTCAATCCTAATAATAAACATATTTTAAATGACTATTATATAAAAACATTTTTTTACAACTATGTATTTACGATTTGATTCTAAGCGGTCTAAAATCAAATACCTTGTAAAATAAATGCACCTGATCATTATACCCTCTGGGGAGTGGTTCACCAGGAAGAAATGCTGCTAATGCATTGACCAAAATTGTCGCTGATCGCCAATGGCATGATGCTGAAGGGAATACATTGAACAGCCTTGGTAAAGGAAGTCTTCTAACGTCAACGCTTTATGGGATTGATGTTCCCTTTCAAAGACAGCCAGTATATGAAACAACAGAGGAACAAAAGAGCCAGGGTTATCAGCTAATGATTTTATACTAACTCTAACATCGAGTTTGTTTTTAAGTGGCAGGCATAGTTCATCGATTCTTCGTTTGATCATAGGGTCTTCAAGTGATTTCTGTTCAGGCCACACCGCTTCACCTTGGCATACATACTGATATCCATATTTTATAACAATGTCATCGACGTCCTTCGGAGCCATGGACTATATACATAATATTTAAGTATTTAGAGTAAATGGATGTGATTATTAGCTCTTACAACAAACATAATTTGAATTTGATATTGCAAAAACCCTCTCAATATATTTTCAAGTCTTTCTACAACTGCATTCTCGTAGGTGGTTACCAGCTCCTTGCAGGCCTCAGCGATGCACTGGCTAGCTTCTCCAATCAAATATTCATTAAAAGTGGCATTAGGATTTCCAGCTTTGAAGTTATCCCATTCTTGTAAAAAAATTTGTGGCAGAAGCTTGGTATTTTTAAGTTCTCTATTGTTCACCAGTTGACAAACAGGATACCAAAACTGTTGCCGAAAGATACCATCAGGTACGGATTCATTTGGGGTTTTTGAAAGATACCAGTTCACAAAAAGTTTGGCTCTAAACACTATCTCTCTTACAGCGCTACAACACGAGGTTATTTTCTGCTTCAATATGTTTTGTTACTCTTTCTTGACACAATTTTGAAAAGTTAATTTACGAGCGTAAACAGTGTAATTTGGCCCAAGATTCTGAAGCATAATATTTGACTTACTCGTAATGTAAAATGAGCAGAGAGGTGAACGTGCAGAAGAGTGGCCGGAAAGTTCACACTTCTTGCATATTACCCCCGGATTAATTTCAGCTTGATTCCTTTGACGTTTTGTTACTCTTTTTATTTTTTCAGTATTTCAGGCTGCTTTCTCTTTCTTTTTCTGGTACCAACTATTAGATAGGTTTAGTGACCAATATGGCCATATCAATTGAACACTTAATGATTATACCTTCGTGGTCAATTTCTTGGAGCAGATGGAAAACTTAATTTTTCTTTAATAAGATGAACCTCGTTAAAAAAACATTATAACAAACAAATCAATCCAATTGTGACGATCTGATATAAATAGCTTTAAATAAATAAAAAAGGTATATTATCACAAATAAGTCTTTTCTCATAACAAGAACATTTGTCATATATTATTATTATTATGTCAGCTAGTCATAGTTTGATAGCATTAGAACTGAGTTCATTCTAAACAATGATATAGCTGAATCAACATTTACACTCCTACAGAATAGAGTCATATAATCCAGAAACCAGTAAACAGATCTCAACTTGAATGATAAATAACTGTAAAGATGGTTCACAAAGTATATTTTATTGGAAAAGCCAATACTCTTATTCCATTTAATATAACCTTCAGCTCATCAAGTCCTATCTCAGGCTACATCTAAGGACATAATCCAAGTCATATATAAACCTAGAATATAAAAAATCTCTCTTGAACTTTTACCTTAATGAACATTTATAAAACGGTCTCAAAGTACTTCCACGTCTCTGTTTTTTTATTTTTATTTCGTCCAGAAAAAAACTAACATCGTCTGAATTTGAAGTGTAAAAACAGTATTAGTTTGTTTTTTGAGAGGAGTTTGATTCAAAAGGAGAAATCATGCAAGAGAAAGCAATGTTTGGTCATATTCAGTGGCGCAAAGAGAAGACTGCTTTTCTTGACTTGTCTAAGATCCGAATAGTCACAATGCAATAAAAAAAAGGTTCATAGCATAAGAAAGTTGTTCTTTACTTTGCAATCATGAAGGATAACACGATTCCTCTTGAATTGAACACAGGTCAAGGAACCAATCGGTTCAAGGTAATCAAACATTTATATTTGTGCTTATTTATGTACGCATTGCTTCTATAGTATCAAACATTTAAAACTCGAGTGGAACGTATCAAGGTGGATGTTGTACGTCGATCCAAATTGGTTGATGACGAGCCTGATGAACATGGTTCTTTCTTTTATGAAGCCTTGTTAGAATGGAAGGACCTCAACATGACCCGTAACTTTAAAGACTTTGCCAAAGAAATTCAACCTCTTGTGAAGTCATTGCCTTCGATCCTTTACCATAAAGATAAAATTGTTGATATTCTCGAGAAGCACTTGAAAGTCAAAGACAGTATGGCTTTAAATGGTCTTTTAGAGTATGTAGAATGTGTATCTCAAATGTTTGCCTAACCTCCTCTATAGTTTGGTGACTAAATTGGCCAAAGATCTCGAAGGGGAATTTTATCCTTATTATCCTAGAATTTTGCCTTGTGTACTTCGTTTAGTGTATCACCAGGATATTAACTTGCTAGAGGTAATATTAATGAAATATTAGCAGAACTCTAACTTGAATATAGAGCGTTTTCAACTGTATTGCATATCTTTTTAAATTTCTTTCACGACAAATCCTTCCAGATCTTGATCAAACGTTTCTGTATGTATACTGATTGATAAAATAACTGATATTCATATTTTGGTATAGTTTATTAGCCAAGTTATTGGGTGAAGACAACCAAACAAAGCCTTATATCCGTCATTTTACAGCAGAAGCATTTGCTTTTTTACTACGTAAGACAAGAGGAGCTGATTTGGCCAAGACTGTCAAGTGCATTTTGGATACCTTAAAAGCAGAACCCTCTATTGAATTTGAAGAAGGTTTGGCTATGCTTTTCTTTGAGTCTATCAAGGTATGCTCTTTTCAATAGAATGATGTAGTTTATTTAATTTATAATAGCAAATTGACCATCGCATCCACTCTCGAGGTGAATCTATTTTTAAAGAACTTTTGTCACAAGCATTGAATGAACAAGTTGCAGCAGAAGACTTATCTACACATCCTGGTTACCTCTTATTGACAAAGACAACACTATTAATTTTGCATCATACATATAGACAGCATTTCACCCCCATCATTGACATCATTTTAAAAGAGATAGATACACAACAAAAGGCCAAGGAATTAGACGAGAAATGCTTTGCTATTTTGATGTCTTTGTTCAACATGATTGTTACTGTTCGAAAGGGTAGTCGAGTAGAAGACTTTAAGCCTCTTATCTCTTGCCTTGAACAAGTAACCAAGACCATTTTTACATCCAACACATACACCAACTTCATGTATACTCAAGTACTCCGTGCTATCACTGGCACTTTATATCATGGATCATTGGAAATAGTAGTGAGCGGTGGTCGTGTTATTTTGGACACCTTAAACACCTTTGGCAATGTCAATTTAATTTATGGTTTCTATCTTTCCTTGGCCAAATTAAAATGGTCAAACTATACACAAATTTGTTTACCATATATCATCAAGTATTTGGCTGCCAACTTTAACAAGTATCCTACTGAGACTATCTTGTTCTTGTCTCAAGTATTGTCTACTGACGCACTTATTTTGTCTGGAACACTCTCATCCTCATTGACACCTGAAGGCTTAATTCGCTTCCCTTCAAGCACACAGCAACAAAAATCAGTGACAGAGAGTATATTGGATTTAATCGCAACATCTTATAATTGGGACAAGGAAAGAGACATATTGAATGATACAGATGTACATTCTCAAGAACGCAACGTATCTGCCATCACTATTTTGGCTTCTGCTCTTCGTATTTTAAGCAAAGCTCAAGTATCTGTTGAAAAAGCATTCCCTGCCATTATGTCCTTGTTTGATTCTCTCTCTGGTTTCTTGGAGAACAATACAGATAACCCTATGATTGAAACGACATATGTCTTAGGTCATAAAAACTTTGTTTTGGAGTCATTGATGGGTCTTTCTCTTCAATCTTTAGCTGACATTGCTGTTCATAATACAACTGCCTTGAACGAATTAAGAAAAATGCACACTAAATTGGTAGATCAAGTACTGGTTCAGCATGCACGCAATGAAATAGTCCTTGCTGGTATCTTTACTTATTTAGAATTATTGAGTTCAAGGTAAGCCTAGTTTAGAGCTTATACATTTATGCTAACTTGGTGTAGTCCAGCTGATAAAGACAAGTTTTCTTTGGCCAATTTAAAGAAACTATATCCTGTTCTCAAATTGAATCTTAGTTCTTATAAACGCAATTGTCGTCTTAACACACTCAAGATTCTTGCTCTATTTGAGCAACCTTTGATGAAGCCAGATGAAGATCACAAGTTGCCAGAAGTATCTGAAATTGCCAGAATTTCTTTGAATCTTGAAGAAGTAGAGGCTACTTTCAAGGAATACAGAGATAAAGTGCTTTTAATTCAAAAGCTCAAATTGATTACTAGTTCTAAGCGTACACCCGACTTGTTTGTGGATTTTGCTCCTCGTCTAGCATTGGGTATTCTCACTATCAACCTGAGGCCCCTTTGGGACGAAGCCAAACAAGTTTTGATTGCGTTTTCTCAAATCAATGCCGAAGTCTATTGGTCACTCTTATACAATGAAATCTTGAAATACGCAACCCCAGAGGGTTTAGTGTGGGATGGCTTTACAAAGGAAACCATCACCAAATTATTGACACCTGATGAACCAGAAAATGGAAATGCTACCAAGACTGGCACTATTTCATTTGAGTGTCCCACTTTGAATAACTTAACTCATGCAGAAGATAGATCATGGTGTATTATCAACAAAGAACGCGCTCAAAGTTTGGCATTACTCTTTGCTGAATTCAGTCGTCAAGAAGCCAGCCATATGGACTTTTGGAACTATTATAACATGATCTTGCTTACCTTGAAAGAAACACAGTTGATTACAGAAGCAAGAGCTCGTAACTTAGTTGTCCTCTTTTTCGAATTTCTGGAACGAGAATTCACTTCTGCACAAGAAGACAATGACGAAGAAGAAGACAACAAGGAAGAAACCACATCTCATCTTCAGATTCTTCCTCGTTCAAGCCGTATTATCAAGAACAAAATGGCCAACTGGCTCTCTGTCTTTTCTGTATTTAAAAACCCTAGAGCCATCTACAGAACACAAGAATTATACAGTGCATTCATGCGAATCATCGCTATGGGTGATGCTAAATTACAAGCTGCTGCCTTGGAATGTATTTTCACTTGGAAAGATCCTAATGTCAGACCTTATGCCGATAATTTGCGCAACTTGTTAGACGATATCAAATTCCGTGATGAATTGGCTACGTTCATTCAAAATGAAGAACAAATTTTGATTGATCCTGCCCATCGTACTGGTCTAATGCCTGTTGTCATGCGTGTCTTGTACGGTAGATTGATTCAAAAGAGCAAGGCATCCAGCAAAACTAGTAAAGGTTCTCGAAGAAAGATCATTTTGGGTGGTATCTCATGCTGTAAGACTGAAGAAATTCGTTACTTTATTGATCTTGCATTGGAGCCTTTTACAGCCATTTTGGAATTGCCTGGTTTACAAGTCGATGACAACAATAATGTAACACACTTTGAATATGTAAACCAAGGAAAACAGGTGATTGAACAAATTGCATGGAGAAAGCAAACTGGTTTATTGAACTTGCTGGAAGATACAATCAAGCAATTCGCCACACACATTATACCATTTTTACCAGATTTGTTAAAGGTTGTGTTGTATATCATCAACTTCGCCCATAGCCATAAGTCAACCGAAGATTCTATGGATATCGACAACCAAGTCACTAGTCAAAGTAGCAAGTCAAAAGAAGTTAAATCTCTTGCTCTCAAGCGTATTGTAGAAATGTTCAAGATCAATGGCAACTTCAATTTCACTGCTTTTATGCCTTCGATGTTCTCTGCTTTCATTTCACCTCGTTTGCCTACTATGCCCTCGGATAGTTCCCAAGACTTGTCTTCATTAACCAACTTGTTCTTGGTCTGGTCTAAAAAGAGCGATTATGCAACTTATCTGGTAGATTATGATGACCGTGTAATGCCTCAGATTGTGTCCACTTTGTCTGTAAAAAGTTTAAACGAACAAGTCTTGAGTGTTTTATTGGAGATCCTTGAGTCTCTTTTAGATCTTTGTGACCAAGAGATGGAAGTAGATGATACAGCTACGCTCAAAGAAAAGCTAATTATTCCTCATGTGGATTTGATTCTGAACCATCTCAAGTACCGTTTGACGCAATCCAAGGATGATACTAAGTTTGGCAGTGGCCGTTACTCTGTCCGTGAGATTGCCATTGCCGCCCGTGTTGCACCTTATACAAAGAACGGAGAACAAGCTGCAGCTATCATTGAATTACTGTTGCCCAGTCTCAAGAAGCCTTCTCGTACAATTCCTGAAAAATCAAAGCAAGATATTTTCAAAATCTGGGCTAGATTCATTCGCATTGTGCCTGGCTTTGAAGCAGGTTCCAACCTCTATCACCAATACTATGTCATGGCTTCTTCCATGTTTGCTACAGCTTATTCTCGCGAAAGTCGTGAAGGCTTGTTGGAAGTGTTCCATGCTTTTGCAGATGTCAACCCTGAATTGACCAAGGTGGACGAACTCTTGACTATGTTGAATGCTTATTCTGAGAAGCGCATTGACCAACCTGACTATGATCGTATGCTTGATGCCTTAAGTGCAATTGCTGAAACTTACTATGAGACTTTCAATGTACATCAATGGCTTCCAGTATTGCATCAGTTGACACACTGTATGCACGATGCTGAAGAAATGGCTATTCGCGGTCAAGCAACCTTCTGTATGGTTCAATACTTGAAGGCAACCAGTCAACAATCTGATGAAGACGAAAAGCGCAAAATGTTTGGCTATGTAAATCATGTCGTTTATCCCGGTATTAAGCGTGGTCTTCGCTCTCGCATTGAACTTGTCCGTATGGAATTCATTTCCTTATTGAGTTCTTGCGTAAGGATCTTCCCTAATTTGCCTATGTTCGAAGATATGGTTCCCTTGTTAGGTGAAGGCGATGAAGAAGTCAATTTCTTCAACAACATCTATCATATGCAAATTCATCGTCGTGCTCGTGCCTTGGCTCGTCTTGCTGACTATGCTCAGGAATCCAAGTTGAAGGTTGCTACTATCAACAATGTATTTATTCCCATCATTTCTGCCTTCTTTAGCGAAAGTGATCGTACAGTGGATCATAATCTTTTGAACCAATGTACCCTTACATTGTCTGCTTTGGCCAAAGCTCTGCCTTGGGGTCACTACTATCGTTTACTTCAAAACTATTTGAGCTATATCAAGGAAAATGATGAAAAGGAAAGAACTTACGTACGAGTTGTGATCGGCATTTTGGATGCATTCCATTTCGACATTCAAGACCTTGAACTCTCGGATGAAACTGTGAAGAAAATCATGGGCCGTCAAAAAGTTCGCATTGACTATTTGACCAACGAAGAGATCATGAAGCAAGCTGCTAAGGATGCTGGTGAGGTAGTTGAAGAAGAAACCCCAAACGAGGAAGAAGCAGAAGTGGAAGTTGAAAAGGATCAATCAGAAAAGATCCATGATATCTTGGTTGAAAAGGTTCTTCCTGATTTGAATAATATGTTGAACAACAACAAGAGCAGAAAGTCTGTCATTGTTCGTGTGCCACTTGCTTTGGGTATCACCAAACTTCTCTGTCATTTCCCAGAAAAATCTAAGCGTATCAACTTGCCTGGATTGCTTACTTCGGTATGTCATATCATCAGAAGTAGAGCACAAGACGTAAGAGACATTACTCGTGAAACTCTGATCAAAATTAGTGCATTTTTGGGCCATTCTTACTTCAATTTCATACTCAAAGAGCTTCGCGCTGCGCTCCAAAAGGGTTATGAATTACACGTCTTGGGCTACACTATCAACTCTCTTTTGCTTGATATGATGCCTCGCTTGAATGTTGGTGATCTTGACTATTGTTTGCCAGACCTTGTTGATTTATTGGTTAGCGATATCTTTGGTGAAGCTGGACAAGAAAAAGATGCAGATGAAATGACAGGCAAGACTAAAGAAGCCAAAAGTCGCCGTAGTCCTGCTGCTTTCGAATTGATTTCCAAGATTACTCAGTTCAAGAATGTTGGTTTGTTGCTTGTTCCTCTCAAAGACATCATGTCTCACACTGAAAGCAGTCGTACATTGCGTAAAGTTGAAGATTTGTTGCGTCGTATTGCGCTTGGGTTGGTCAATAATCCTGGATTTGAATCTTTGGAACTCCTTGACTTTGCTTATGGCTTGATCTCTGAAAACAACGAAGAATACAAGGCCCAGGCCAAAATCAAGGTCAAAAAGACACAAAAGGAACTCAATTTTGAAGTCCAAATGAAGCGTGTGATGGTAGAGCCTGTTGATTATTATCGTGCTAATGCTTATCGATTTGTCTACTTTGGTTTGAGTCTGCTATCAAGCGCTCTTAAGAAAATCAAGTTTGACTTGAACAATGAAGAATACGTCGATCGATTAAGAAAACTCTTAAACACTGTTGGTAACACTTTATATTCAACTCAATCAGCCAATGTCGTTCTTGCTACTCGTATCATGTGCCACTTTATTGCTATGAAGTTGCCTAACATTTCTTCAGCCGTTGCAGTGTCTATTGAGCGCTGTTTTGCTATCATCAAGTCATCTGGTAGCTCAAGAACAAACACTGTCCAGGGCTGTTTGCGTTTGCTGACTGTTTGTATTCGTGACAATGATAAGTCCAAGTTGACAGAGGCTCAATTGACGTACATTCTCAACTTTGTTCGTCCTGATATGGAGGAAATTGAACGACAAGGTACTATCTTTGCGCTGGTTCGTGCTATTATCTCTCGTAAATTTATGGCTCCTGAGATGTATGATCTTATGGACACTGTATCTAACATCATGGTAACTAACCAAAGTCGAGAAATTCGTGAGCAAGCTCGTTCTGTCTACTTTATGTTCTTGATGGATTATCCTCAAGGTAAGGGACGTCTCAAGAAGCAAATGAGCTTTATCATCAAGAATTTGGAATATGTCCACGAGTCTGGTCGTGATTCTATTATGGAACTGCTGCATCATATTATCACCAAGTTTGGCCAAGATATTCTCGCTGACTATGTAGATGCCATTTTCTTTGCTCTTGTTATGCGCTTGATTAATGATGAGTCTCCCAAGTGTCGTGAAATGTCTGCTGCCTTAATTAAGTCACTCTTCTCTCGTAGTGTAGATCGTTTGCCTACTATCTACAAATTACTGGACAAATGGTTGGAACAAACCGGCAAATCTAGCTTACAACGCGCTGCTTGCCAAGTTTATGGCTTAGCTATCGATACCTTTGGCACTCAATTGCGTCCACAAGCCGGCCTTCTCATTCAAAGACTTGTAGCTATTTTACAAGCCAGTCGCACTTTAGCTGAAGAGCAAGCTCAGCAACAACAAGACGATGAGGACCCAATGGACGTTGATATTCAATGGGAAGTTACTTATTATGCCATCAATACGTTTGCCAAGATTACCAAAACTTTCCCCAAGCTTGTTTATGATCAAGATACTGAACCCATTTGGTGTGGTTTACAATCCATGTTACTCTACCCTCACTCTTGGATCCGCTCTTCAACTACCAGGCTTTATGGTGCTTATTTTGCTGGCATTGATGCTGAAAGCCGTACAATTAAGGACACTGATTTGAAATGCACTTATTTAGACAGAGACACACTTTGCTCATTAGCGACAGACTTTTTGGAGCAGCTCAAGAGTAATTATGTCTCACAAGAACAAGCAGATCAGATTGTAAAGAACTTGTTCTTTGTTGGTAAATGCTTATACTATATGCCTGATGAAGAAGATACAAAGGACGATAATGGAGATGAAATCAAGATTGATGACGCTTGTGACGAAGTTATTGAGGGAGAAGAGAACGACAAAGAAGCTCAAGATGCTGCAACAAAGATTGGAAAATCTGCACATAAACGATCATTAAATTGGCTGTTTAGAAAGGCCTCTTTCGATGCTCGTGGTGCTGCTATTAGAAAAATCAAGAGTGCTATGTTACTTGTAAGTTTTTTTTTTCTGTGATTGAATACTGATATGCTTTACAGCGATCTTCTGTGTTCAAGTGGTTTGCTGCTATGTGTAATACCATGACACCAGATGAATTACCGCCTTATTTAATGCCCGTCGTTGCTCCAATTTATCGTACTGTCAACGATGAACAGAACAAAGCTGAAGGATTTGGTAACGTATTTAAAAGACGTCTTTGGTATTTACACTATTTTTTATAGGCGAACTGCAACAACTAGGTAATGAAATCCTCGGTTTGCTTCAGAACAAGGCCGGGCCTACTGTTTACTTTGCTGTCTATCAGCGTGTACGTCAACAAGTTCTCAAAGCAAGAGAAGACCGTAAAGCAAAGGACGCTATTTTGGCCGTGACGAATCCTGCTCTTGCTGCTAAACGAAAGCTTGATAAACACCAAAAATCGCATGCCAAAAAGAAGAAGCGTACACACTTCTAGATCTTTTGTATTATTTCCACATTTATAGTTTTGTATAGTATTAAAATAGAATTTCAGATTGTTACAGTAATATCAGTATCACTTGGCGGTTTTATATTTAGTTCAATTGATGGTCAATTAAGTTGGCTTTGTATATTTTTTTAGGAGGGAATACCAAACTGATTCGATTTAGAATAGCAAATATGAGAATTGATTTTGTAGTAGAAGTCCTGCTAGGCATGATTTGTTGTCTTGTTCATTTCATAGAACAAAATGATAGTTGTGGAGCTACATAATGGTAATCATGGTTCCTTAACATAAAAGATGCATATCAAAAAGAATTTTCTGTTTTACGTCAATTGTCACCCTTAATAATGTAATTGATGTAATATAATTTAATTTTTGTGATGCTCAACTGTTTATTTAAAATTAGAAATGCAGATATGCTCTATATACTAAGGTTTAAGTTTTTTTTGTGCTAAATACATTGATTGCAGCTTAAAAAGTAAGTGTTTTTACAACTGTGCTTCCGGCCATATTTTCTGTTGGTAAAGTGAACGTTGCGGTTTGAGTGGTATTACCAATCGTAAGAGTCAGCTTGACAGATGCCAGCGATTGTGTTGGTTCAGCAACAGTGATTCTGTACTTGTTGGTATCAATTTGGTGGATCAATACAACGCAAGGTTTATCTGTTTGGATGGTAGTCGATTCCCAAGGCGTTTGGTATGAACCAGCTGTCCAGAAAGCAGCTGCGATAGTTTTATCAGCAGAACTGTAAGCGGCATTGACTTGGGGAGAGCTAGCGTGAAAAGCCAAAGAAATAGGGACCTTTCCATCAGCAGCGTTGGAATTGAATGTAGATTCAGAAATGCCAGGTTGAACAATGTATTGAGTTAAAAGTCCTGTTGTATTTCGTTTAGGGTGCTTGATATAGGAGGTCCACAATTGTTGAGGATCGATTCCTTCAGAAATACCAATTGCACTCCAGTCTGAATATCTAGGCTTAGAGTCGACATAAACCTCTTCGGCAGTAGGGAAATAATAACCAATACTGTCATGCCAGATGTAATTGGTATCAGGGACGGAATAAGTGGTGAGGGTATTTCTGAGTTTTCCGGACACGTAGATATCGCCATTGCGACGACGTTGATCAAGTACAGTAACTAATTGTGCTGTAGTGTTTTTGGAGATAGTAGGGCCTATTTGAATAGCATAACCACTGGGGAAGAAAAAGACTGTCTTCTTAAAAGCCAAATTACCATTGATGGGATTGAGATAGTCCATGACAGCGATTCCCATATTTTCATCTGTGGCACCACCGACGAACTTCTTCTTGCCTTTGTTTTTGACAGTAGAACACTTTAGAGGTGTACCTTCAATATCAACAGTAGTACCGGGTACAAGCTCCCAGCTCCATCCAGAAAAGGTATCCAAGTATTCATCGCCACTCAAATAGTTGTAGAGTGCACCATCACTAAGATGAAAGCCAAGGGAATTTTGAACGTTGAGACATTCAGAGTTAATTGTACGGCTCGAATACATCTTAAAAGTAGTAACATAGTCAGGTGTACGATGGACCTATTTACGCATACTTTGTAAGTATGAAGCTTATTTCAAGTCTATAGAAAAACTTACCATATAATCAGAGTTATAAAAGTAACGAGTACCAACAAGATTGCCTTGATTTGCATCTTCTGTAGAAGGAGCCTTTAAGCGGTCTGTGATTTCGGCCATTTGTTCCTCCGTATCTGCGCCCTTGGCACTCTGTTTGATCTTGTCCAAGTCGATGGCAACACCGCCACTGGATTGTTTGTCAGCATACTTGAAGGAGACCATACGGCCCATGGCACTATATTGCCACAGGATTTGCTTGAGTTTTGTGTCAGCTACAATCATCCATTCGGTACCACTCATTAAAGTTTTAAAGGCTTCTAGGGCTGAATCACTTGGGCCAATGTTTGTATCTAATGTCTCTGTAAAGACAGCTAAAACATCATTGATATAGTCCTTTCCATAGTTAGCGTTATAAAGAATGCCTGCATGTTGAATAAATGAACCGTCAGCTTGGATACCATCACCAGCAACAGTCTTGCTAATAGAGACACCGTCATAAAATGCATCCAGTGCAGTTTTAAGTAAGTCGGTATCTTTTTTAAATAAGGAAAGAGTTACGCCCACATTAGAGACATCAAGTAAGTTTGCACCTGTCAAAGAACTGATAGCTTGAGTCAAGGAAGTAACTTTAGCAAAAGCACGTGACTGAATGGTGATACAACTCTTTGTTTGATCCTCGCTCAGTTGATCCCGAAGCAATAAGCAAGTATTGCCAACCAGGCGAGGAATAGCGATTAATTGGTTGTACCAGTTCTTATTCCATAAACCAGGTGTCCCACAAGGACAATTCTTTGTAGCAACTCCGCCATTTTCTATACAGTCGTGCTCTGTAAAGTCATTTTCGAACCAGTAATCCAGAGCGGATAGTGAGTTCTGGAGCATTGTATCACTTAACGTTTTTGTGTAGGAGACGGCAAAAGATACTATTTCGGTTTAGTCATGTTATTTTCATAAAAACATATCTTACATGCTCGAGCTAAATGTTCAATAGCTGGCCAATTTGCAATTCTATAAACAAAAACAACGCATATTAATTGACTGTCGGATAAAGAAACAATTATCTTCAGTGAGTTTACCTAGATCCGCAGCCAGATGTCATGTTAATATCAGACCAAGTTCCGTTTGATTGGAATGTTGCTTTCCTGATAAAATAATAAGTTTTCTGTATATATTGTAGCTGTTTTCATACCATTTGTTCAATGTCGTAGTACTATTGGCAGCATTGTCTTGGGAAATACGCTCAATACGACGAGAAGTCAAGGTATTCATATCATCTGTAGTAGGGGTGCTAATGGCATGGACTGAACAAATAAATAGAGAGATTGCGATGACTACAATGGATCGCATTATCATGAAAAGAAAAGGATTAAAGAAAAAGTGATAATGGATACAGAATTTTATTTATCAGAATTGACATTCTTTTTATAGTTTTTATTGTTCCTTAGGTACCAATTTATTAAATGATGTATCCATTGCAGGAAACTCCCTAAAACATTAGTATACCTTGATCTATAATCGAGACTGTTCGAAATGTAGTACAATGTACAAAAGTTTTTACCGGTTGAAGTACAAATACAACAAATGAAGACAAAAATGCATAGTTACTCCTTCTATGTAAAAGCAAACGCACATAATTAATTTCGATTCTTTCTCGCTAGAAGTTCTCTTTGATTATCAATTTAATAACTATCAATAATAATAAATTCGCTCTCCATTTCAAAGATTTGTATATTTTTGGATGCGATTGTATCTTTTGCTTGTCTAGCGCCTCTCCCTATCCCATGATTTAGTGCAATCATGAGTGCTTTTCAAGGTACACTAGTACATGAAGATCTTGTTAAAAATAAGCTAGGATGATCTCGACCTCTGTCAAAATTTGGCGTTTTTAGCAAGAGAAAAGAACGGAAAAAAAAAGGATCGACATAAGTGAGTGTTGTTGTTTAAAAGCATCTCACCATTTTGCCTTTTGTAGGGTTTACCGAAGTTTTTTTTTGGAAGTAGCACCAGCCGTTTTGCGTGATACAAGCAATCTAAAAGTTGTACAACTTGCCTATATTTATCTGTTATTTCAAATTGCTATGTAGGGCAAGAAAATAGAATTAGATTCTACTGTCTAAATAGTAGATAGTTTAAGAAGCAGTAAGCATATTTAGAACTTGGAACAAAATCTAATTGCCCCTTTTTTGTATAGACTCGTATTGGCTTATCAATCAAAGGCTTTTATAGTAATAAAGTTGGATAAAACTAAAAAAAATCCCCTTTCAATCATTAACACACTGAAAAAGTAACTTGAAAAACTCGATAGTGTTAGTCGAGACATGTTAGACAACGTCATCATGCTTTTAGAATGTTTTTCTTTATCTCTTTCTTTCTTTTTCCTTAAAGCTATATGATGAATACACAGTTGTTTGCTTTCAGGGAGTATAATTATCCTTTTCGATCTGAACTTATAATAATTTCATGGTTTGAACAAATTATTCAGACGTGTTTAATCATCTAAAAGCATTTCATGTCAAGGCAAAAAAAAAAAAAAAAAAAAAAAAAAAAAAAAAAAAAAAAAGATAACCATAAGAATGCATTTTTTTGACATTGCGTCAAATCTCGATCTACAGCAAAAAAAAATCGGAGGCTGTCTTTTAAAAGTTGTTTACCAATACTGGAATGACGATATTAGATGAAAAGGCTCCAGACATCTGTTAAAATCGTATAAAAAGAAAACAAACAAATAACAAATACTAGGTTTTATTCTTGTTTATTAATGTTATTATGAGCTAAAATGAAGTGTTTTTACTTGGTATCTACCTGCGCGAACGCCAGTAGGCAAATCAAAAATAATAGTTCTTTTTATGCCTTGAATCTGGACAGTCATCTTGATTGTCTCTAATGTTTGGGAAGGATCTGCCACTGTAAGGCGATAGGTATTATCAGCTGTCTGACGTAATAATAACACGCAAGGGTTGTCTGATGTGATTATTACAGACTTCCATGGTGCGGTATATGTACCAGCAATCCAGAAAGCGACTGCCAGCGAGTCGTCTTCGCGACTATAAGCAGCATTAACTTGAGGGTCTGCTGAGAAATGCAAGTAAATAGGTATATCTCCATCGGCCACATTCTGATTAAAGGTAGATGCATCTATATCAGGTTGCACGATGTATTGTGTTAAAAGACCTGTTGTGTCTGTTGTCGATGTCGTTGCTGTATGGTTAATGTATGATGTCCAGAGCTGCTTTTCTTCGGAACCTTTTGAGATACCAATGTCAGACCAATTAGACTTTTTTGGTTTAGAATTGACAGAAAGCAATTCAGCACTAGGAAAGTAGTAACCAATTCTGTCATGCCAAATACTTGTTGCCTTAGAGTTATAAGATGTCTCAGTATTCTTGATCCGACCATTCAGGTAAATGTCCCCATTACGTAGTCGCTGATCAAGCACGGTGACCAAGGAAGCGCTTTTGTTTTTAGATGTTACGGGGCCCAACTGCACAGCATATCCACTGGGGAAGAAAAAGATGGTCTTTTTAAATTGCAAGTTTCCATTTTGAGGGTTTTGAAAATCCATTACTGCAACCCCAGTATTACCATCTGTAGCAGCACCTACAAACTTCCCTTTTCCTTTTGTCTTGGTAGCGCCACACATTAAGGGAGTTCCACCATAGTCCACTGTGATTCCAGGCACAAGTTCCCAGTCCCAAGCCCCGAATACATCAACATATTCATCGCCTGTCAAGTAGTTATACAAGGCTCCGTCACTAAGATGGAAACCATAAGGGTTTTGAGTATTGATACACTCAGAGTTTACTGTACGACTGGAGTACATTTTTAATGTGGTAATGTATGTTGGGGCACGGTGTACCTAAAATTGTTAGCTATGCCAAGAAAACGTTATCTAGACTTACTAAATAGTCTGCATTATAAAAATAGCGAGTACCAACAAGATTGCCTTGGTTTGCATCATTTGTGGAAGGCTTTCTTAGACGGTTTGTAATCTTGTCTATATCTTGTTGATTTTGCCACCCTTCAGAGCCCTCAGCTACTTGACCAATATTGATAGCAACACCACCACTAGCTTGATGGTCGGAATATTTGAATGAAACCATGCGACCAATAGTACTGTATTGCCATAAGAGTTTGTTGCGCTTGATATCAGACATGATCATCCATTCTGTGCCACTCATTAACGTCTCGAAGGCATTTTGAACACCTGTGTCTGGAGTAAGGCCGGTTTCTCTTGTCATAATAAATACATACAAAAGATCGTTGATGAAATCTTTGCCATAGTTTCCATTATATAAAAGCCCATTATGTTGCATAAAGGACCCATCTGATTGAATCCCATCACCTGCAACAGTGGGACTAATAACAACACCACCATAGAATTTCTCAAGTCCAGATTTAGTAGTAGACGCATCTTCATCAAAAATGCCTAATGTGATCCCAACATAAGATACGTCAAGCAGATTGGCGCCAGTCATTCCATTGACTTTAGCATATCCTCTTTCTTGAATATTGTGGCAGCTTGTCTTTTGAGAGTTTGTTAAATTGGCTCTCAAAAGCATACAGATTTCACCTATAAATTGAGGCACAGAAATAACTTGAGGGTACCAATTCATGTTCCACAGACCAGGTGTGCCACAGGGACAGTTCCCACTTGAACGACCTCCATGATCTACACAGTCACTTTGTTCATAATCATTGTCAAACCAATAGTTCAAGGCCAACATAGCCTTGTCGAAGGCTTCTGTATCAGATGATGCCTTGATATAGGCACTAGCGAGAGCGCCTAATATCCAATTGGGTTGGTCAATGACTTATATTTGTATAGTATGAATTTTTTTATGCTTTGTTTTTCTTACGAGTTCTTCTTAAATGAGTAGTTGCTGGCCAGTTTGCTCGTCTAAAAACCATTATACGTTAATAAAGGCATGTCTACGAATATATTTGTTGAAACCTTGCTTCACATCCAGAAGTCATATCAATATCGGGCCATAGACCGGAAGAACTGAGTGATGATTTCCTATAACAACAAGAACCAAGATTAAGTTTTTTCTTAAAAAAAGCATATGTTTTATACCATTCATTAAGGTTACTCTTTGAAGTATTCTCTCCGTTCAAAATACTTGAGACTCGACGATTATACAAAACAGCCATATCAGTTGCAGTAGGATCACTTATTGCTGACACCAGTACCTTGCAACAACATAGCCAGAATATGGCTATAGTAAAATGATGTTGCATATTTTTATAAATAAAGTAAGAGAAGGAAGAAAAAAAGAAGCCTTTTATAGCTTATTCTCTTTTTTAATACAACTTATGACATATCGCAATTAAAAAAAAAAGACAACTTTATGATTGAGTGTGTGTCATTTGTGATACAAGAATTGTAATTCAACGATTTACTTTGTAGACCGCAAATAATATCTTCTCCGTATGTTTATGACATTTGCAGTACATAAAGGCACATAAGAGTAATTGCTGACTATCATAACGAATCTCTTGATGATATCAGGCTACATTCAAGATTTAGTATTAATAGCGATGTTGTACAGGAAAAAATAACCTTTGTGCGCAGTTGTCAGAGGCAACATACTTTATTAGCAGGCAAGAGCTCTAAAGATACTTTATTGTTTGTTTACTTGGTATGGAAACATTTTTCGACAAATTCACATACTTTTGACAGAAATTCAGGACATAATCAACTGAAATTGAAATGCAGGGAATTATTCTAAACAATAACAAAAACAACCAAATTGAAATTAAAATCCAAAACCCATACTTTAGCTTTATCTTTTTTGCCATCAACTTGTTTGGAACAAAATGATAGCATGAAGCAGCTTTAGTTTTATTGTACACAGATAATTTTTCTAACTCGTTCACGCATGGCTTCTCCGAAACCAATGCTGTCCAAATAATTATCGATAGAGCCATACTCTTCTATAAGAAAGTTCAATAATTCGTACATATACTGAATAAATGTTAGTTAAATAGCTTGATATGTCTGAGTGTCTACCTGAGGTGGTGCCTGAGCAAAATCCTCTGATAATCCAGCCCTTCTAACTTCTTCCAACATCTCATTATAAATAGGTGCTAGTGCCTTTTGTGTCTTTGCGTAATCATTCACAATAACATCATGAGGTACGCCGGCAATTGTCATAACCAAAGCAGATACCATACCTGTTCTATCTTTACCTTGTGTACAATGAATCTCGATTGGATAATTGGATGGATCAGTAAAAACCATCAAAGCTTCTCGAATTTCTTGTTTACAGTAAGTAGCAAACTCTTTGTACATTCTGTTTACACCCATTGGAGTCAAAACTTGTTGCCCAATCAAATAGGCTGCCTTTTTGCGCTGGCAAAATATCATCAAGTAAATGACATACAGCTTCAGGCGGAATGAACATGATCCAAATACGCAGTATCGTTGAAAGTTCTTTCCTGCAAAATCAATTCTGTATTTTTTTCTTACAAGCGAGCCTTTTCCCGTAGTATCAAGTTCCTTTGAGGTAACAGGTTTGTTTACGATATCTTGATCGTTGACTAAACTTTTTGCATCCAACTAGTTTTTTTTTATGAGTGACAATTCCTTGGTCTGTCATTCCCTTACGTTATCAAGAATACTTGTCGGGAAGCTTTTATCGATTGGCAATCCTTCGCGTCCTTCCATACTAGAGTAGTTGGTTAGCTTGGATAAATCTAAAACTCAAACTAACCCTGTGCGGAGGTCAAGGATAGTGTTGATTTTATGAGCCCTTATAAAAGCGTCGACGTCTTGTTGACTCATGTTATCTAAAGTAGCCGAACGAAATACCATGCCTTCTTTTATGTATCTACAAAAGGCAACGTTAATCAAAAAGCTACTTTTTCACTCGAGTACTTTTTCTTGTCAACGTTCTCGGCAGAAGAGACACCGAGATCTCGAAAGTTCAGCACACCAAAACTTCCTTCTTCTTTGTTATAATACGCGTCTGCCATCTGGGCCATTTTTGATGGATTTTTTGTAGTAATATAAAGAAAAGGGATAAGCATCATGATGACATTATAAGTATTAATTGTTTGTCCTATAAATTCAATGTCCGTTATGAACCGATCAGACATAAGCAATTACAGCATAGTTTGTATTACTGTGCTTCCATTCTCAATTTACCAGCTTTTTGAAAACGCTGCTAATTTTTTTGAATTACTTTAAACATATATATATGTGAGGATAAGTTGCCTAGAATAATGGGGCTAACTTGATCAAATGACTGAAGCCAACTTGCCCAACATTTTGAATATAAATTAACTGCAATTTACAAATAGTTTGACCAGCTTCTGGTGGATAAGGTCTTTGAGTGTTTAACGATCAATCAGTGGTATAATAAGAATGGCTTATGCTCTTTTTTTAGGGGTGCGGGAGAGGACAACGTTCCCATTTGATAACCAACTTGTAGATGGATTTGATGCTGGGCGTTTTAAATTACCGTGACTATAGAGCGAAGCTGGTTCAATCTTGGTGGCAGTCTCCAAGTCAATCTCCTTCAAACATAACAAATGTTTAATCACGTTTGGAAGAAGTGATATTTGATCCAAACTTTTAGGTAGTTTGATTTTGGATGTGTTGATCATTCTGTAAAGCTTGGAAGAGGGAAAACCCGTAACATCTGTTTGTATATCTTCGCCTTCACAGTGACCACCACAAACTTTAGGTTCCATAACTCCATTGATAATCAATTTGTTCTTTAGTTTTGAATTCAGCTATTAAAACAACACATTTGGCACTACCAGAGATGTTGCATACTGAAAAATCCGGCTTGAATGCAACGTTGTTGTTTCTTAATAGCTGACCATTAGCATGGTGGCAAAAAAAAAAATTGGCCTGAACTGATAGTCTTGTTCATAAATTACCAATAATATTGGTCTACAGCCAAGATTGGGAGGTAAGAGAAACGACCAATACAGAAGTCAATCTTGTTCATTTAGGCCAAGTTAAAATTTTGACCTTGCTGTTTCCACTAATCTTGGGAGCAAAGCAGACAACTGTAGTCACTTACTAAAATAAAGTGTATTTTTTTTCAGGCTTCTTATGCATCAACCCTTTTTTTTAGAGACCACCATCCATCGGACATGTTCGCAGAGCACCAGGTAGAGAGGGAATGGCTAGAGAACACTCCCATATACTCCAAAAACAACCACTTTTGTATAAATATACAGTTTCTTAAAGAACAATTAATTATAGTCATTTTATGAAAAAGAAAAGGAAAAAATAAAAATTGTTTATTTATAAAAGATGTTTTATCAATTGACTACACTTCACACAATAAACAGGATTCTTTATTATTTATCACATGAAGAAATCAGTCATTTATCAAGCACATCTAAAGATAACTGATTCACTTGTGTTAAGAAAAAAATTATAGGACAACATAAAAAGAAGAGAGACACTATAAAGCTAATTGCAGCTATATTCCCAAAATACTTTTCTTTGGAGTGGACAGAGTGTTCGCCATTAATACATTTATGCATTTTGTATTTTTTTAGGACTACCCCTTCTTTAGCCACGGTTATATGAACCATCCCCCTCTCTATTCGGTACTCTGCGAACATGTTTGATAGGGGATGGTGCATAAGAAACCAGATTTTTTTGTGTACCCATTGACCCTTTCTTTATTACGTACAAGTCATCTTTGCTTTGGTAAGCAACTCAGTTACCAAATCTTCTTTTATTTAATTCAATGCCAATTCAACTAGTCCTCAGACAAAAAAAAGAATACTTAGGCAAAGCACTTATTGAACAGAATGAATTGAGCAATGAAACAGTAATCTATAATTTATATTCGACTTAATTCTTTTTTCTTTTAAATGGCTGCAAGTTTCTCGTATATACTAAATCACTTACCGCCTTCTTCTGTTTCTCTCCTCCTTTTTCACTGATGATGTCAGTTATACTTGTCCTTTCAATTATTTTTCTGTGTCTGCTTCACAACCATTATTACCACAACCACTATTGCCACAACCAATTGGGGCTATACAGGCTCATGTTCGTAGAAGAAAAAGAACTCATACCAATGTTGCACTTTGAACAAAAAGCCCAGATTGTTAGTTACTATTAATTGAATGTCATCTTGTATATTTTATAAGATAAAGATGCCCTTGATTACGTGGACTTTTTATTTATTTATTCTTTACTCAAGATTCCTTTGATGCTAATGAAGTGCTTGTGAATTCATCTTTAGTTATTCTTTTTTAGTTATCCCTAACAGTCCCTAGCATAATTAAATAGGCTCTCTGGTCTAGGCGAGACTTTGATATTTGCTCATACAGTTGCATCGACTCTTTTACTTATTTGAATTAGCGTCTAGACCTTGCTTTAATTATTTTTTGGTGCTAGCTGACTTGGTTTCTTGCTCATTTGTTGCCTGGCTTTGTCTCTATGTAGTTTCTGAGTTTTGATGTTGGCCATTACCTTCATATCCACTTGGTGGTTCTCTTTTTTTTTTTGGTCTACTACTATGACTTGGTAAACTTTTTCTCATATTCAAGGTAAGGCTTGATATCTTATTCAGTATATATCCTCATATACATTCATGTAGGTCTAGCTCTACGAAAAGAGTCTTCTCTAATACATAACTGTCTCTATGGGTAGCAACTCTTGGTGAATCACTGGATGATGTGGCTTTATGAGTGTTATGTGGTATTGTTTTTGGTAAGAAATGGTGTTGATCATGATATTCTTTCTCCAACAATATAAGCAAGTGGATTATAGGTATTTAAGTGTATGGTTTATTGATATAAGAGGTAACGCTTAGATGGATTATGTGCTAGTAGCTTATGTTATGTTATAGATATGCTTGTGCTTCTGCTCTTATTTATTAGTTTGGTCTATTTTCTCTTGTTAAATGCTGTCTTCAAGATTGTGTTGCTGGTATGCATTATATATATTTCTTTTCAGTTTTTCTCTTTTGTGATCGCTTTTCAAGAATGCTTCTAGTGATGAGTATAGTAGTGTGTGGTTAGATCCATGTCACTAACCATAGAAGTGTATATAATACATTATGTAACAAAAGAGACGTTTATATAATCCAGTAATATTTAATGATGCTACCAATAATGTCCAATGAGAAGCATAAAAGAATACAGCGGAACCAGTCTTTACTGCCAAGATTAGCGGTTACTGATAATAGTTTATTGGCGGTTACTAACAATCTTATTCAAAAACCACTAATTGACTATTGGCCTTTACTGTCAAGATTAAGGGGTTTTTTATCGAAGTTGCTTGTATAGGAACGACCAGATGTTTTAGCCTTTAAATTGGTCGTTTTGCTTCTAATATTGTCCCTTTTACTGCTAAAATTCTCGTCGATATGTAGCCCATTTCATTTTGATAAGAGGGCCCGAAGAGAATATAGATGATAGTAATGGTGACAGGTAATAATAAACGTAACTGTCTTCATTTGAGTCGTCAGGTAGTTCATTGATAAGAACTGGAAGAACTTATGCCAGCATTTGGACGGTCTGTAAGTCTAAGACATTCTTAGATTCACAAACTTTTTGAAGCAATTGAGCGCACAATGACATTCAAGAGAGAAAAGTTATTTCGCATCTCAGTCGGTAGAGCCTCAGGCTGACAATGACATTGAAGAGAAACAATCAGCGGGACAAGGTACATCAATATTCATACACCAACTATAGCAATTCGGTTCTTCCCTGAGGAAATAGGCATCAAATGATAGCGTTGGTTTGAGCAAATTATGGACTTTAGTTGGAAAATATTTGCTAACAGAGAATCTCAAGTTTCTATCAAATATGTGAATATTATTCAAGGTGAGGAGGCGAATATCTGAGAGTTGTACTGGATCAGTGCGTTCAGCCAATTTCAGATTTGTTTTCTTGGAATTAAGGCATAAATCAAAAATATAGACACCATCCAACATCCATTCTGACTTTGAAGTATTTTTAAACTTGGTTACATCTTCCTCTTTTTCCTTTTCCTCATCTGAATTCGTAAATGTACAGGTGTACTCACAAGTACGACGAGGATGTTGGTGGATTGACAGATCTGATGCAATTTTGTCCGCTTCGTAGCTTTTCTCATCATATAAATCTACTAACTTCAGTGTAGGGCTAGATTTTCTTCCTCCTCCTTCTTGGTGTATGGTGGTTTCTGTTGGCTGTGGTTGATTTAAATTTATAGCACCTGTGCCCGGATCATTAAACGCATTGATGACGCTAGAATTGCCTGTAATGCTATAACTAATGTTTTTAGGCTTTGTCTCAGGTAATTTTAATGATGATGCTAAACGACGAGCTTCTGGTTTTTTTTTTTTTTTTTTTTTTTTTTTTTTTACAAAAGTTGGTACATCAATTAAGATTTGAATGCTATCCATTATGGACAATTTTTTTTCTCTTTATTCCCTAATGCTTACTTTCTTGTCTACTTCCGCCTGCTACATTTAACACTCTTATTCTTATAGTATGGACGTGTTTGATTATAGCTAATAACTTTTCTTTTGGAGGCTAAATTAACAATCCACAGAAAGCCTGACAAAAAAAAGTCAGTAAAAAAATATTAGCCCAACGTGGGGTCGAACCCACAACCTTGAGATTAAGAGTCTCACGCTCTACCGATTGAGCTAGCTAGGCACCTTTCTTTCGCTTTTTGATCACTTTTTTTGGTTTTGACCAATCAAATTCGATCATTCTGTCAAAAAATCTAACACTGCATCCTATCCATCCGTTAGTGCATCCGTCTAAAAAAGCATCCATCCATCAAAAATGGCAACTCACCTGGACATCCAGCAGTTGCATCAACTTGTGCTGACCCTAGCACAACAGGTACAACAACACGAAACTGTTTTTTCAGAACTCATAGCTCTGAAAGAAAAGGTTTCCATCCTTGAGAAGGAAAAAATTTTCTTGGAGTCAGAAAACAGCAAGCTCCTTTCTCGTGTCCGGACTCTCGAGTCAAATTTTTCAATGTCCGAAGGCGGCATTCAGGTCTCTTCTCCTGTCTCTCCCCCTACTCCCACTGCCACACACCCAGGCAGTGTATTCATCCATCCATGCTTCCTCTTGGGCAGCCAAGGCTGCTAAGCCTGCCTCTCTCCCTGCCCGTCCTGCCCGCGTTTCGCAGAAGAAACGAGTTGCTGCTGCCCGTGCCTTTGTGAGCCCTGCTGCCAAAGGTCCTCAGGGCTTTACATATGTGTACCTTGGTCGCTCTCGCAAGATCAATAGATCTGAAGTCCGCTCTCGTCTTCGTCGTTCTGGTGTGGATACTGGACGTATCCTTGACATCTCTTTTCCTGCTTCTGGTGTGCTTGGCCTCCTGATGCATGTACAGTATGTGGAGCAATTCACTGCTACCATGCAAAAGGTAGGTGCTGAATTGATCGGTGGCTTCGATCCTTTGGATCCTAAGCACCTTGCTGATCCCAAGTTCGCTGCTTTGTCTGAAGCAAACAGAGCAAGCGAAATGGCCTCACTGGTGAACAGCCGCGCTGTGGATACCCTCTCTTTCTTGCGTCCTCTTCTTGTTGGCCCTGTTGGTCGATCCTTCGTTGAGTTGGGTTGGATTGACGATGCTGACCTCTCTTTGGCTCTTGCTTCTGCTCGTTCTCGTTTGGAAAAGGAAAATCCAAAGCAAGCTGCTTTTGTTTTCCGAAACAAAACGGCTGTTGAGGATTCTGCCACTGATTCCGAAATGGAATTTTAATGAGTATGGATCCAATCCATACTCCCGACCCACCCATCACGCTCCTTCTCATTAGCATCTGGAATGCGAATGGCCTAAAAACCACGACCATCCACGATGTTATATCCATGTCTTGACCAAGTATCTATTTATTACTGAAACTTGGCTCACAGCCGGCTATCTTCCTATAGATTGGTCGCAATACCATCTATATGGATCAAAGGTAGTTGGTGCAAACAACCGTGGTTCTGGTGGTGTCTCTGCTCTTGTCTCTCCTTCCTGTCCTTTTCCTGTCACCCAGTTGCCGTCTTTCAATGCATATACTCTCTCACTCAAAATGGGAGCAGTCAATGTGCATTGTTCGTACTTTCCACCCAGTCTCTCTAATGAGCTGGTGCTATCCGCCTCTCCTCTATTCCTCTCAACTCTGACTCTATCCTCTGTGGTGACTTTAATGCTCGCTTTGGTGATTCACTGGTGATTCCGCTACCAACTCGCGTGGTCTTGCTATGCGTGCATGGCTTGAACAACGAGACCTGGCTGTGCTGAATACTACTCTTTGTCGTGGTGTGCCCACCTTTACAACGTTTCGACGTGGTATGGAAATGAGTAGTATCATCGATTTGTTCATTACAAATATTTCCTCGTGGAATATGCGTGGTGCTCAAGTCGCAGTAGAATCTGATCTCTCCCTTGGGTCTGATCACCGGTTGATGACTTTGTCATTCGACTATGATTCTACTTTGGGATCTGGGGCTCATGCTGGCTCTGACGGTCTTGCTCCACGACGCCTTTGGAACCTATCTCGCTTGCGGGAAAAGGAACCTTTGGCACTGTTCCAAAGCAAGTTTCGCTCGCTAGTAGTTCCTCTGGAATCTACTCTGAGTCAGCTGGTCTCTGCGCCACCGCTTGAACGCCCTGATATTGACGAGTTGAATGCTACTCTTAATGGGTGCTTCTACGAGGCTTTGGATGGGTCGGTTGGTGCAAGACAACATCGGTCTGGAAAATGGTGGAAGAAGTACTGGACTCCTGGTATCGAATCAGCAGCTCGAGAACGCGATCGCTGTTATAGTAGGTGGCGTCATGCCTCTGGTGTTGACAAAGCTTACTGGTGGTCGTTGCATCATGATGCACATCGTCACTTTCGTCGTCTTGTTGCTAAAGCTAAGCGTCTCTCTTGGAAGAACTTCTGTGCTCAGTTGGAACAAGACTTTTCTAAAGCCACTGGCACCCTCTCTCGTATGAAAAGAAGACGTGATTGTTCCGGTACTTATGCTCACAAAGATGGTCCTAAAGCTTCAGTAGATGCTATGGCTACTCACTTGACTTCGGTCTATGCTGGCTCTCTGTTGCCCCCATCAGAATCTCGTCCACCCCCACCACTTTCCTGTGATAGTTTGGTTCCTTTTGTCTTGCCATCCAACCTGGATATGTTCTCAGCAGACACGATCATGGATCACATCAAGCGTTTACCTCTTCGGAAGGCACCTGGAAGCGATCACCTGAAAGCAGAAATGCTGAAGGCCGTGACCAAGGACCTTGCCCCGCTTTTGTCTCTCCTGTTCTCCCTGTGTTATCAATGGGCTTATACTCCTTCTCTCTGGCGTCTTGCTAATGTATACCCGATACACAAAAAAGGTGATCCCTCTGATCCGTCCAACTATCGACCGATTTCGTTGACATCAGTCATGCGTAAGCTCTTTGAGTTTACAATAGCTGATTGTCTTCATGAACACTCGCCTACACTGGACATTGCGCAAGGTGGTTTCCGTCCTCAACGTAGTCCTCTGGATCAAGCTCTATGCTTGCATGACTTGATGCATGATTACTTTCTAACCAACCGTCGCCGTCCTGTTGTTGCTTTTCTTGACATCAAGGCTGCTTATGATACTGTCGACAGACGTGTCATCTGGGATGTACTGGCTCGCTCTTCTCTACCTCGGCCTGTGCTTGCTTTACTAGTCAACTTGTTTGACGACGTACAAGTATCTGTGCTGATAGCCAACCACTCTTCTACTCCCTTTCAGCCTGTCACGGGTGTTCTGCAAGGTTCTGTTCTCTCTCCGCACTTGTACTCTTTGTACATTAACTCTCTTCCTTCTCTCCTTCGTTCTGCTGCTACGGCTGGTACTACTTTGGTATGTCCTCCTGGTATGTCTGATGCAATTCCTCTGAATTGTCTTCTTTTTGCGGATGATGTTGCGATCTTCGGCTCTCGTAGTCAAGTCCAGCATATGTTGAACCTTGCTGCTGAGCATTCTTGCTCCCTTGGATATCGTTGGAGTCCGGCCAAGTGTGCAGTTCTAAACTCACCTTGTGATGGCCCTCGATTGACATTGTATGGCGAATCTCTGCCCCTCGTGGACGAGTTCATCTATCTTGGTGTACCTTTTCGAGAAAGAGGCATCCATGGACCTGGCATCATCTCTTTGAGATCTGCTAAGGCCATCAAGACCATGGCTCTGCTAACCTCTGTCGGTGTTCATCGCAATGGTTTCTCCCTTCTTTTGTCCTCTCGGCTGTATGCCTGCTTTATTCGTCCTAAGATAGAGTATGGTTTGGCTATATCCCGTCTTGCTTCGGCAGACATGACACACCTAGATGATCTGCAGAATCGCCTGGTCCGTATGTTTGTTGGTGGCTCTTTCAAGTTGCAAAACACCTCACCTGTCTTCCTGCCATGAATCATAGGTACAACATCCTTGTCACCAAACTCGCTTTGCGTGCACAATACCTCCCTGATGACTGCTTGATAGTGCTTTTGCGTGATCAACTACGGTACCCTCGCCTGGTCAAGCTTCTTCAACAGAATGTCTTGTACCGTTCACTACCGGACCCACAGCCCGTCTCTAATGCTGAACTTCGTACTCACTTTAGACGACAATGGCAGAGCCAATTTGACCGCCAAATGGTGCGACATGCGGCTCATGGTCGTTCCGTCCTTCTCCGTGCTTGTCGTCCTTGTACATCTAAGCCGGATCCAATCTTATATCTGCCCATGCTTCGTACTTCTCGTAGTCGCTTGGTGCGTTGGCGTCTTGGTCGCTTTGCGAACATGCGTGAAGAATGTCCTTGTCTCTCTGGTGCTTTTGTTTCTCGTGAACACTTTTTGTCATGTCAGGCGCTTGACCCAGCATTATGGGATGCACTACCTATTGCTCCTGCTGGTGTCCATCGTCTTGATTATGCTCTGAATCAACTGCCAACTAAGGCTTCCTCTGGTCCTCCTCCTTTTTGGTCTGCTTTGCTACAATTACTGTATGCAATTGATGTACTTGTGCATCCTCTTGCAGCAATTCGCCCTGATCAAGATCCTGGTGATCGTTGGCTCCCTCCTCTGGTCTCGTCATAGACGAACTATTTTTGTCATGTCTTTCCTCTGCGCTGCCACGGTGGTAAGTGATTATCAAAGTTCCCAACCGTTGGTCATGCCTTTCGAATCATGCATCAATACACTACTCTTTCTGTCTGCTTCTTTTTTCTCTACTTTTTTTTCCTGTAGTCTGTTTTCTGTCAGGTTTTTTCGCTCTCTCTCCTTTTTCTCTTTTGTAAAAACTGCTCATACAACTTGGCATTATGCTTCATAGAGTAGCCCATAAAACTGTTTATTAATAAAAATATAATCTCTAACCTGAGCCAAGAAAGCACTTTTCTTTCGTGTCATGTGTGTATGTTTGTTTCGGCTAGTTTCTTTGTTCTCTTTCGCAGTTTTTCTGGTGATTTTGTTATGTTAATAAATCTTCAAATTAAAATGGTACATGTCTCTGATGATCCTTAAAGTACATACAAAGTTTGGTGTAACTTGGTCTAGGTCTGATTGCACAATGGTGTCCCAAGGGTTTCAGCCAATGTTTTTGTTTTCTGTCAGACCCAATCAGGTTCGAGTCAAAAGCACTGATCGGTGTGCAGACTGTTTGGTCTGGGTCTCAATCGTCGTACTTTTTCTGTTCCTTATTTGTTCTACTTCTTCCGTACAGTGTTTCCGAAAATACTTGTCGTACATTTTGAAATCGTTGTCGCACCTGAAAAAAACAGACGTCGGATTTCCAAAAAACAGATATCGGGATTTTTTTGATTAACGTGTCGCCTTTTTGGATTTGACTTGACGGCAAGAAGTTGTCGGATATCCTAATGGTCCATGTAAAGTATAAAGACAATGTAAAAGACAGTAAAGATACAAAAAAAGTTTATTGAAAGAATTAAATCAAATCATCTAAGCTAACGGTAAGCGACAAGGTAAACTAAACTACACCAAAAAGAGTTTCCATTGAGACAATCATCAAAGCGGGATCAAACGAGTAAAGTAATCCACTGACTTGACCATATTCCAACGACTGAGCCCATCAACATACAAAAGTTAGCAATAAACCAAAGGTCATTATCGTTTTTCCCATAGTATGTAAATCCAATAACATGGTATCGCTCTGTATAATAATAATCATCATCACCGCCACCATTGTAGTATCATCCCTAATTCTAACAGCCCCTTACCCTATCGCATCACCATCATTCCCTAATCCCACCATAAAAGTCAATCCATAAAAAAAATACAGTCTTTATTTTTTTATTTCAAAGCATAGTGTCTAGTGATGTTTTTTCGTTTCCTATCCTTCTTTTTATCCAATACAACCATAACATCAGTTGAAGTCAGAGAATCACGGCGCCAAGAAGAGATATCATCATTGTTGTTGTCAGGCTTGCACAAATTTTCAAAGGTATGTACGACATTTTCTAACCGACTAAAGTTTGTGAGGTAAGCAGGCACTTCCATAACAGACATTGGGCATTGAAGGCGGGCCAATTCAGTCATGATGTACAATCCATCAGCATGTAGTTTGATCAAATAAAAGGTGATGTACGGGCCTAGAAAATAGAATACAGTTAGAATTACAATCAATACAACTCGTACATTTTTGCCGTCATGAAACTCACCAACAACATGTATCGCCAAATTGCCGGATAACTTGTTTCCATTGATCGCATTTTTACCAAATACAGCCAGTCGCAGAAGGTCCCAATTTACCGAATAATGATTACCAGCCATTGATTGTCGCTTCACTTCACCGAATCCTACATTTGCGACGTCGTCCGTTTGGTGTTGAAAAATGGTGATGATGCAGTCAGGGCAACCATTAAAACCAGGTGATCGTTTGTGATTGTCGGCAAGGTCAGTGGATGAGAATTCGAAGTGTATATTTCTTTCCTAATTGTCAAACAAGGGTTGCAGTGCTGGTAAGATGTATCTTGTGATGGATGCTGTTTCAGATATCTCAATATTTGTTGCATCAACAGGGAGGAGTTGCAGGAGCTGCGATGCCGATACCAGTAGCCTTTTGTCGACAAGATCATCAATGGTGTTTGCCAGGAGAAGTAGTGAAGCGCATGTATTGATTCGATCAGTGGTCTCGTCACACAGGTTCTGTGCAATGATGATAGATTCCAGCAAGACATTTCCAGGGAATTTGAGAGTCATGTTTCATTCGCCAAGATTGTGCTTGCGGATTTTGCTGTAGAGTTTGTCTCCAAAAAAGGGAATCATGGCATGGTCAAGTCGACTGTTGTTTTGCAGCAGAAGGATTGATGACAACGAAAGGATAAGATGAGAGTGTGATATAATCACTAATAAAATGGTCAAATCAATAAGTCGATTAGAACCAAAACGGCCAAAAGAAGTCTGCTTTATTAAAGGTTATATTTTGTATTGTATTTATACTGTTTGTATGATAATTGATTATCCTTGATTTGGGACTGAGTGTGTATACACTAGCTAATCGGTTGAATGGATTAAGGTACACAAGAACTGGGTACATGATCAGGGCACAGACCTCGTCTACCATTGGTATTGATGCAGATGTCAATTTGTGATTATGTGATGCTCTGATCTTTAACATGTTTAAACTAAGATAGAAGACATCCATCGAAGCTGCGGATAAAACTGTGATTGAAAGATATATTTATACATGATATTAATACTTGCTCTTTTAAGGCATAACTAGTGTAAGAAGGGATGAATAATGCTGTGTATACAACAGAGAGTCAGATTCCACTGTCAAGTTGTTGGTTTTCACAAAATCAAGGACATATCGCTGTAATCGATAAAACCTTTCAGAGATGTCTACGCGATTCACGATAAACGGAGCTCCATGTGGTGCTTGTAATGGTAATAACAATTATGAGGTGGATGTGGCTGTGGATTCGTCAGAGGATGAGACTGGTGGCGAAATGAGCGGAAATGTATCAGAGGGACGGACATCGTCGGCATCAGGATGGGTATCAATGGTGTTTGGGGTGGCTTCATAGTCAAGTTCGTCGTCGTAGCTATTGGAGGGACTGGTATTGTAGTTGGCTGAATTGAGAAGAGGACGACACACATCGGGGGTAGCTTGACTGGTGGCATCTATGAACAATCAAAAAGAAAAACATAAATATATCGATAATATTGAACAATAAAATAGAAATACGTTTGTCTTATCATCTTTCTGAGTGTGGTACGACTGATCATCACTATTGCCGTCGGATTTGCCTGTGAAAGAATCAAAAAATCAATGTTAATAATCAATCATCAAATAAAGTACGAAATTCTTACCTGAAGATTGACCTTGGTCATGCGTGTAAATCAGAGTATTGTTGTGGCCCCCACAATGATGTCTTTGTAAATGGTAGTTGTCTTGACTGGCTCTTGATCAAAGTTTTTTTCCCACAGTAACACAAGAAAAATCATTAGCTTTCCAATACTTTTGTTCACTAACTACTTTTTTATTTAATAGTCAGTCAACAAAACCCTTTATGGTATGAGAACTGCCCGAGTACGCCTTTATCTTGACCAAATCAGAGTGATATTCGTCGTATAGCCTATTCGCCGTCTTCTTGCCATTTGGAACCAAATTTCCGTACCAATCAGAATAGTTTCTGAAACGTCAATCAGATGCAAATGTTTTCATGAAAAAAGGAGAAATCAATAGATCCGCATTTTCCTTGAAGTTGAAATCATTGGGATGACACTTTGAAGGAGACTTTGCTGTAGAGATCCAGTTGATGAGAAAAAAAAGAAAAACGCGAAACCAAAGAGGAGATACAGCTGTCTTGTTCGTTCCCAGCTGACCATAAAAATGTAAGTCACACTTTTTGGGGTCCGCGGGTGGGAAAAATTAAAAGCTGGGGCGTTGTTCTGCTTCTTTGCTTCTTTATTGATGATGATAATGGCTTCATTATTGGAAGATCCAACTTGCCCGCAAGGGGACACGGCTCTATATTTTTGAAGGACATGGAAAGACAGTATACAGCTTGTTTGACTCTGTTGTGAGATGAAGAGAGAGTAGATATTCAATAAGAGAAAAGGTAAGAACACAGAGAAAGTCCGTTAGAACTTGTATAGGTTTTTATTTCTCCAAGAAAATGTTGTGTTTCAATTGCTATAAAATGTCAAGGTATTTATACTTTTTCTTCTCGGTCAAAGTATTGTTTTGGGTTAGCTTCTTGACTACGGATTGATTTGTTAGATCAGGAGCAATTAAGAGAAATGCCTTTAGAGGAAGTTATCAGCTCAGCCAATAGTACATGATCTGACCTGAACTTGAATAAACTATTACATATTTGTCAAATGCCAATGCTAATGTATTTGTCAGCTCTAACTGTCACTTTATGAGGGCCATTAATAATAACAGAGTCACTAGGTTCATAATCTCTGACTATGAGGATGATGTAGTACTTCTAGTAGAATGAGTGAATGTCAGTGACTATAGATCCATTGCAATTGCCATACAGTGGTTACATTAAGTGTCCCATAAAACTCATTTATAAGCATAAATTAATATATTTTCGTCGTATTGACCTTGTGTTAGTATCAGAAAAAGCACATTTTTTTGCTGGTTACTTCAATTTCCCTAATTAGTAAGAGATACCATTTTTGGACAACTTAGGTAAAAAATGACGTAGCGTTTTCAAAAAAATTTCCTGCAAAACTTGAATACCTTATTTTCTTCGGCGAATAAGCATTCTCAATCGTGCGTTTTCCACATTCTTCGGCAAATCCTAGCACAACCTACCCAACTACATATAGATACGGCAAGCTTCTCAGAAAAAAATTCTCTTTTCTTCATTCTATATACATACCTTTTCTCCTTATTATCATGCCTTACAGCCTCCCATACGATAAACGAAACAATGTCAAATCTGCACTTTTATCTGGCAAATCGATTTGTCAGGTCTCAAAACTAACAGGTATTGCCAAATCAACAGTTTCTCGTATTAGAAAAGAGTTGCCAGAAATGAAAACTTGCACTGGTACCGGTAGACCATCAAGAGTAGGTCATCTTACGGCTTGTTTGCTACGAATAAAAATCCGAACTGGAGCATTGAAGAATGTCAAAGAAGTCCAAACTTGGTTGTCTGGACAGGGTATTGCTTTGACGTATAGTGGAACAGTCTCTCTGATGAAAAGGGTAGGATTATACTCAAAGCTTAAGTAGAAGAAATTTTTTTTGAGAGTTTCTTAGCTTTCAAAGAGATACAAATGGGCCTTAAAATATCGTAACTGGTCCGCAAATGAGTGGAAGAGTGTCGTTTTTACCGACGAGACGAAGATCAATCTTTGGGGATCAGATGGTGCAACATACACTTGGTTACAGCAAGGGTTTAAAGCGAGGCCCCATAACTACAAGCTATTGCTCAAGCATGGAGGTGGCTCTCTGATGATGTGGGGGTGCATGACATCTTCCGGAGTAGGATATGCCTCTCGAGTGCTTCAAAAGACAATGGATACCGATTGCTATTTGGAGATTCTAGGGTCGTCATACCTAGATACATTGGAGTATTATAGTATGGATCCACAAAAAACTATCTTTCAACAAGACAACGACCCAAAACACAAAGCAAAGGCTACCATTTCTTGGCTTAAAGCCCACAAAGTCAACTTTATTGCTGACTGGCCACCTAACAGTTCCGACTTGAGCCCAATAGAGCATCTTTGGAGACTGTTAAAGTGCAGGCTAGCCGAATATGATACAAAACCAAAAAATCTGGACGAACTGTGGTCAAGGGTCGAAAAAGAATGGTTCAAATTTCGCAAAGGTGACATGGAGGCATACTATAACAGTATGCCTGAACGTATAAAACCAGTCATCAAAGCAAAGGGCGGTTATACTAAATTTTGAGCATTGCAAATAAAGAATAAATCTTTGTGAAACACAAATTTTCTCTTTTAGAAATGAAGCACTGTTATTGGATGCATTTAGGATCAATTAGCAGTGTTATCCTTACTGTCAATGTCTAATTAATCTATGTGGCAAGTTTCAGAAGGATCGACCGAGTTTTTGTAGAGAAGGGTAAAAAAACAGGTTTTATGGGACACTTAATGTAACCACTGTAGATGTGATCTGGTTTTTTGCCATGATCATCATGTATTGATCTATGCATATGAGTTCATATATGTTCACAACAGACTCAGTTTCGTTTGACTAGACAGCTATCCTTGCTGAGACAGATTCCCTAATCTTGTGATGACAATGCTTTCAACATTGCTATTGCTTGACTACGGTAGTCAACGGACTGATATTGTTATCTACCTGTTGTGAGTCATCATCTTCACTGCTGACCTTTACTCATTCATTTTTTTCTTTTATAAGTGAAATTTCTGCAGCATTCCCAGCAAGTTTATTTGGCTGTGTACAGTATTTTCGGTTACACTTGAGAGGATTATAAATTTTTAGACCAATGGTGAACATCCAAAAACAATAAAATAGTCACATATAAGGTAAACCAATATAAACAAGATTAAGTGTAGTTTGTAACAAAACAAAAATATGTGTCCAAGAGATGAAAGATAGCAGCTAAAATAAAAAGACTAGAAACTTAAAAATAAAAAATATTTAACTAAAACAAAAACAATGAACATAAATGTAAGTATATTAATTAAAACATAAACATATATAATTACTTCTATTTCTTTTTTGTATTTTTGAAATAGACACTTGTAGTGTATCAAAGATCTATAATTATATATGTTTATGTTTTAATTAATATATTTACATTTATGTTCATTGTTTTTGTTTTAGTTAAATATTTTTTATTTTTAAGTTTCTAGTCTTTTTATTTTAGCTGCTATCTTTCATCTCTTGGACACATATTTTTGTTTTGTTACAAACTACACTTAATCTTGTTTATATTGGTTTACCTTATATGTGACTATTTTATTGTTTTTGGATGTTCACCTTAAATAATACTAGCCCATTTTTATGCATATTTCTGTGAAGGTGACCGTTTGTATTTTTTCAATAAGTTTGAATTACAGTAAAATATGAAAGTATAATGTATATATCTATTTTTTAGAAATCTTCTAATTTATCTATGTATTTATTTATTATATCATTATCATCAAAGTCTTCCTGCCATACCCAACTGTTGTAAGAAACATCATAATCTTTCCATTTAACAAAAAATTTTGTTCTTCTTTTAGACTTTTTATGTTTTAAGATTGTTTCTATTTCAAAATGCTCGCTGTTGTATAAAATATTTTCATTGTCTTCATTATCTTCAATATCCATATCTATAACTGATTGCATGTTTTTATCAAAATAAGTTTCTAAAAGTTTATCTTGTTTATTTGTAATTGTTACTATTCTTTCAAAGTCAATGTCATAAACTGTATCTATTTGTTTCTTTCTATTAGGATCAGGAAAATCGAAATTGAGATTTGTCCATAAAATATGAATTGATTGTGTGTTTATGTTATGTAGTAAACAAAAAGTTTGAATGTTCATTAATAATAAGCTTAGTTTTATTTGTAAGTTGTATACTCTTATATCTGTTATTTTTGTTGCTCTCTCGTTATTATTAAATCTTAAAAATTTATTACCAAATTTTCCAAAATTGTTTTCAATGCTGCTTCTAAAACTACCTAAGACCTCATTATAACTTTTCTCTTTCTCATTTAACTCTGTATTTTTTTCTTTTCTTATAGGATACATAAAGTTATCTTTACCAATACTATCGTTACCATATTTTTGACAATTATTTATGAAATTTTCTACATAATAATAATATCCTCCATCCAATACCATACAATCATATTCGGATATTTTATTTTCTATTTTCATATCTAAAAACATTTGACCATCATTATGTTTTCTACAAGGTTTACTCTCTAAAACAGATATTGCAAATTCATTGATATCATATATCACTTGTGTACGTAAACCTGAATTTTTAAGTTTATAAGAGTAGAAATCCTTTTTTAACACATCTTTTTTCAAATAATCTATTCTACTATCATGGCCATCTATCAAAAGTGTTACATTTTTAAAGCCTATTGGATTTTTTGATTTAGCATATAGAACCCTTAAAACAGGTGTCGAAAACATGTTCTCTAACATATCTGTTATAGATTTATTAATGTCGTTATAATTTTTTTCCCAAAACTCTTTATATGTATCGTGAAATGATGAATGAGGAATAAATCTATGCATATTCCTTAGTGAGTTTCCTGTTAGTAAGTGATACAATATCAAAGTACCTTTTTCTAATGTTCTGTAGGGACATTTATAATCAAATTTAACAAAGATTTCATTTAGAAAAAAGAAAACTGATATATATCCTAGCTTATTTAACACGTATTCTTTGATTTCATCCATAAATTTAATATCTTTAATATCTGTTCTGTGTTTATACTTTGATGTATGATGTTTATAGTTGCAGTTTAAAAACGTCCAATATTTATTATTAATTTTTTGTAATTCATTTTGTAAAATTATATTTGCGTCACTTTCCATTTCTGAGTATTTACCTTTGTTTGTGTGATATTTATAAATAAAGCTAGAGTTCAATTTTCGATAATTTAGAATAGTAACAATTACAAATAAACAAGATAAACTTTTAGAAACTTATTTTGATAAAAACATGCAATCAGTTATAGATATGGATATTGAAGATAATGAAGACAATGAAAATATTTTATACAACAGCGAGCATTTTGAAATAGAAACAATCTTAAAACATAAAAAGTCTAAAAGAAGAACAAAATTTTTTGTTAAATGGAAAGATTATGATGTTTCTTACAACAGTTGGGTATGGCAGGAAGACTTTGATGATAATGATATAATAAATAAATACATAGATAAATTAGAAGATTTCTAAAAAATAGATATATACATTATACTTTCATATTTTACTGTAATTCAAACTTATTGAAAAAATACAAACGGTCACCAATAGAAATGTTTTTGAGAATTATATTTTATTTTTTAAAAGTGTTCGAAAAAATTGAGACAAAGTGTGATTTTTATCTAGAAAATAAGAGTGAATTTTAGAAGATAATTTGTAGACATTTTACATATAAAAAGGACAAGGACAAGAGCATGGCATTAGTTTTTTTAAAACCTTTTCTTTCTGAATACATCTCTCCCAATAAGACTCAGCGTGCTTTACCCACTGCAAGCAATCTTTTTTAGTCACCGTGTTGCATGCTTCAGCGATACGAAGTGTCCATTCATCATCTTTCTTCAAAGGGTTTCTTCTAATGCCACTTTTGATCTTCGACCAGCACTCTTCTATGGGATTTAAAAAAGGAGAGTAAGATGGCACGAATAAAGGTTTGTATCCTCGTTTTTCAATGTCTTCAACAACAAATACATCCTTTACAGATTTTATATATTTGACTATATGATAAGCCGTAGTACCTTTCTTTAAAGGCTTTTGTTTTTAGGCTCTTCAGTGTTGCGCTTTCTTTTTTAGCTGATACCTCGGAATGAAACTCTTTCTCTATCAACTCACCATCCCCTATTTTCAAAGGTATAACTTTGGTAAAGCTTATAATTCCTCTAGCACATATACACCCAATCATGCTCTAACTAACGCCTTTTTGTGTGTGCACTTTTACATTCGCTAGAGCACCAACTTTCGACCATACACGCCCTCTCATCAGTCGAGAGTGAAAGCCAGCTTCATCAATAGACACACAGTTTTTCTGGAAATCAACACTGGCTTCTATCCACTTGTTGATGATTTCGTAGCGGAGATTGAGCGTTCTAGGTGCATCCCTTTCAATTGTGTATTTACTAGCTTGCTTTAATGCCAAGCAACACTTTTCACTAATATGCACATACAAAGAAGAAATAGCAACGGGTAGTCCAAACTGCTTCATCAACTCTTCTCTTGCCTGTTCCAAAAAGGTCGAAGGGTTTGCGTCAAACAACTGGATCAAAAAGGCGGTATGGACAGGAAATAGCTTTTTTGGTTTCGCTTTTCCTTTTTGTGTAGATGTACTACCTGAAAGAATGGTTCCGTTATTGTCATTAAACTGGTTTAGAAGTCTATAAGCACTGCTAGTAAGTATACCACAAGCTTCAGCTGCTTTTGGTACAGCTTCCCCTGTTTCCTGTAGTATATTTATAAAGCGTGAGATTTGGTCAGACCCATACTTTTTATATCTTTTAGTTTTAGTGATCATCATCTCTTCCAGCTCTAAAACCATTTCCTCCATTTTCTCATCAGCTGTGCTTTGAGGAGTATCTTCTACGAGGTACTCATTTCCCCTGAGCATCTCAATGTCGCCGAACTCAACAGCAGCCTCATCAACTTCCATTCCCTCAGTCATAAAGTTATTGTAGTTTTTGACTGGAATATAATTAATGAAGTCCATTTTAACTAAAAGTTATCTAATCTAAAAGAAAGGAAATCGTCTAAAAACTTATTTTCGGTATCTCTAAACTAAAAGAGGATTCTTTTTTTTATCAAGACAGAGGTGTTTAAACTGCACGTGACTGTGTAGTTCTACGTCATTGAAATTTTTTGAAAAGAGGTATCCTGGCTTCTTTTTTTTTCTTTTTTAATTTTCAGAAGTGTTACCCGGCCGAAAAAGACCAGACATCTATGGTGCAATTGCACTGTTTTGGAGGAGTAGAAGCGATAAACCAAGGTAGAAGCCTTGGCCGCGCTGCTATATATTTTAGTTGCCCCATTTTGACAAGGAAATTGCCAAGTAATCAACCTGACAGCAATAATCTGACTACTAACATCTTTTTACAAGCTTTAGGTTTAGACAGAAGAACTTGATGGCTCTTATAGGCTGCAATTCTTTTTTTGTCAGACAGAAAAACCTGTGAATAATCATAAAATTGTCTTAACCGTTTTTCCCCTCTATGTTGTACTGTTTGAATGAATTATTGAGGTTATGTACTTTTGAGCTTTAAGTATTGAGGGCCATCGTAACTAAACTAATCTCTCAAGGCTGTTGAGGGGTTTAACAAAGCAAGGCAGCATGTTAAAAACGCCTTCAAATAGACAACAATATTTGCCTTGGCTAAATGAGAAATTGGCAAGTTTCAAATACTGTGATCCTTTCAATACATCATGTTTAAACGTTAACAGCTTCTCAGAACTAATTTTATTATTCAAGATGATCCATCTCTGCATTTATAACTTCTTAACGAAATTATGATTTATTTTATACCTCTCAAAAAACCCTCACTATGGCGGATTAGTTGCTTGACTTTACTAATATTGTTCGCAAAACAAACAAGAAAAAGTAACTTTTTTGCCAATGTTGTTCGAAATGTCAACAACTTTTATTTTATTTTTCTAAGAAGCAAGAAATATCATTCAAAATCATTGATTTTTTTGTTTGTGGGGAACAAACTTGTTCGTTTTGTCAACAATAAAAGTTATGAGGCGACAAGTACTGCGACAATAATAGTAGCTTTATGAGCAAGAAAAATTTTTTATTTTTTTTTACAAGTACAATAATACTAATAATGTTTCTTATAAAAAACAAAAAAAAAGGGTTTGCACAATGCAATACGTTGATGCACTCCTAAAAGTTTGACATGAGACTCATCTAAAAAGAGTATATTAAGTTATGTTGAATATTTAGTGATTGTTTAGGTCTTTTTTAGCAAACATAGCTTTTTGGTTTTTCTTGCAATTGCCTTTCTGTCTTACAAATATGAACCAAACGACTATCTACAAAATCACTCAAATGCAAGAACAAGTTTCCCAACTCGAACAAAAACCCGAATCACAGACTCAAATATGTAAGGGATTGATGCATTTATCTGCACCCTCTTTTGCCTAAAGTGATAGTAATGAGATCAACAGTAAAGTTCTTGAAGCAGCTCAACAAGGTAAAAAAAACAAGCGGTTTCTTTAGAATATGTATAAACATTTATTTTTGGAAAATGCAGCAAGAGAAGGCGGTGTTGCCAACACTCTTAATCTAAACTTGATGGGCTTTTGGGACATTCCTAGAGTACTTGAGGAAGCAACAAAAGCATTCGGCTCTCATGGATAATATAGATATGTTACGCCACGGTTGCGTTTGCTTGCCCTAATCAACTTATTCAAGAAGGAAAGAAATATCACTGATCTTTTAATTGATGATAAAGCAAATGAGAATGACTACGGGATCCTCAGAACAATCGCAAAAAATACCCACGATGAAATGGAGTTAGAGCTGCTGAAAGCTTTGAAGAAGAATGACAAAGCAGCTGTGTTGCCTTTATGGTCTGAAGTGCCTTCTGTTCTAATCGCAAAATACACATTTAAGCTTGAAAGCAATGCAGCTACTCATGGCTTTCCTCTTCAAAGATGTCAGCTTTCCTGGGCAGCCGGTCTATTGCTCTTCGAAACACACAAGCACAGAAGTAATAGAGCAAGAAATAAGGCTTCTGTTGTTGAAAGAGAGAATAACTCTAGGATCAGGTATAATAAACGCAAAACATGCATTCAATGAAATTTTAAAATGCCTAAGATGAATCAAAACTATACAGTGAAAACCAAGTTAGTGTTGAGTTTCTTCAAAGTGAGGTGCCTTCTTTGGAGTACGCAAACCTATATTGTGGTGATGAATTTGAGGATTCTGAAGATGAAATCTTTTCGGAATGGAAAACAACTGTCGTCCTTGTTCTCCTTCTCCACCTCTTCCCTCTTCTCAACCTAAGAAAAGGGCAAACGCAATGAAGACAAAAGCCAATCAGCCAAGTCTAAGCGTACAAGAAGAAGTAACAAAAAATAGTCACGACCTTAAATAATAAAACAATTTTTTTTCCATCACCTTCTCTTAAAACGTTTGTATTATAGATAAAGTCCACAGCTCCTGAATTCAACCTACATCCAGGAGCTTAAACTCTCTGAAACCTTATGATTGCATAACATCGACTCATGGACTTACTCATCTTAAGAATTAGACAGTACTTCCGGCGCTTTTTTAACAATCTGAGGAATTGCTGCGCTCCTCATTGATTGGTATGGAAGAACGCATTTTCCGCAGTAGTTTCTTTTTCTCTAACATAACCATAGACAAAAATTGATATACTACTGGGCCTTTATATAGATAAAAAACAAAAGTCGAAACCAGAGTTAGAGTGTAAGTAAACATGTAAGAGCTACTTGTTTCTTTTTGTTCCAAGTTTTGACATGAAATGTCACATCGCCTGGTCCTGGTACTGGTGAGTGTTGTTTTGGAAAAGAGTTTTGACATTGCCTTGTTCTAATTTAATTAGTTTGTTTGTTCTATATGTTTAGATGAGATTAGTCTGCTTCCATTTAAAATCAAAGTATGTTTAATCTATAAACTGTTCTATTTTTGCTACTTGAAAGCTAACGTAGCGCCTTTTTTTTTCTAGATTCCAAAACAAGTTCTTGCTGTCTCTTGATTTATAGTAAGTTTGATATGTTATTACACACCTTCAATACACTCAAAACCAACTTTTTTTTTCTCAAAAAAGAATGCTCACCTAAAGGAATTGACTATTTATCCGTACAAGACATGCACTTTGTCAGGTAAGTTTGATGGATAGCAAGATGGTGGTTTCTTCCTTTTTTTTTTTTATTAGAAAACCATATATTACATACAAATTATTTTCTGTGTCTATCAGTGTTGTCTCAATTCCAAATGACAAAGCGAATTGCTCATTTAACACTCTTGCCTCGCTTGTATATTTTTGTTTTTATTAAATTCAAGTAGTGCTTCTTTTCATTTACTATTTCTCAATAAAAGTATCGTTTTTTTCCATTTATAATAAGCGTCTAATTTCTAATAATCCTAAAACAATAAGTGACATTACGAACAATGTTGGTAACTAAAGCACCAAAGAACTTGGTTGTTTTGTAGTCAAAGTTGTTCCAAAAGTAAGCAAGTTATTGCTGTTTTGTTGCTAATATTGTTCGCTTTTCGAAAAATAAATTTAATTGTTTTGATACTAAAGTTGTTCGAAAAGCGTACAAATAATTTGGTAACATTTCGAACAACTTTGTACGTCGAAAAATTGATGCCAGCTATTTCTCAAACAACCATTTTGCTGTAAAAATTGGTAATTTTGCGAACAAAAATTGTACGTTTTTTAACTAACTTTTCCGCCATAGTGATACTAGTACACAAAGAAATTTGTTCAGGATATGCTACTTGACAAAGTGCAAACACTGATTTACGTTTTCTCACAACGACGCTTGTCTCTTCAAGGATGTGCAATGACTGCAAACACTCTCATCCTGTCCCAACTATGGTTCTGTCTGCGGCTTTTCCACCCGACACAAGCATTTTTAGACCAAATACGGCGGTTGATATACAAGTTTGTCTGGCAAGAGAAATATCCCAAGGTATCTTTCGATCAATTATGTCTTCCCCGCCTACAGGGTGGCGTTGGTCTTCTAAATCCTGCGCGCCAACATTTAGTACTCCAGATGAAATGGCTTTTTGCTCTTTTTGATCGAAACCAAGGTAACACGCTGCTGAAGAGTGCTTTAAGCTATCATCTACTATTTATGTCTACCAGCTCCTCCTTTCCTACTCTGCCTTTCTTTTCTCCGGTCTTGCGAAAACATGATATCTGCCATCAGCTCTCTATTATTCCTGTCATGTTTCAAGCATTTGACCATTTTGGAATTGACTTTAACCTACAGCGAGTGCCCATCCAAACATTGCTGCATTTTCCTTTAATTAAGATGTTCTCTGACCTGCCCTCTGGCCATTGGCTCTATCGACATACAGAGTTGCCTGCAATGATCTTCTTCAAGTTTGATGAAAACACACACCGGCTACGTTTACAAGTACGCACAGAGTATTCCAAGTTTCCCCTCTTATGCTGTTCGCTGTACAACGATATACTGATTCGACATTGCGTGCAGTTACAAACCTTTTTGATTCCTTATATCTATAATGAAGTGGAGCAAGTAAATGTTGAAGAAAACGATCAATCATTAGTGAGCCAATTGCATGACTCTCCTCTTTGGAGCCAATACACGTCCAAGGCTTACAGGATGCATAATTATTCCAGTGCTTCAAATACTCAATTGAATTTGCCATCTAAATTGCTGCGTCTGTTCTGGTCTTCCTCAATGCCTTTACCTTCCAAAACTTTGTGGTTCAGAGTTATCAATAAGAAACTGCCTACAGAAGCACAACTGTATAAAATCAATCGCGTTCCCAACAGTAATTGTCTCCTATGTTCTTCGAGTATTGACTCATTTGAACATTTTATTCTTTACTGTCCTTGGAGATGGTCCATTTGGATTGAAGTCCTCACTTATTTCTATCCACAGATGTATTTTTCAGCTGAAATGGTTTACCACCTACTCTGTCTCGAATTTTGCCCTCCTTTCCTACTGCCTGACAGTCGTCTCTTTACGGTTCTATCTGTCTGCCAATGGAGAATATGGTCCGCTTACTGGCGTTTCGCCTTGGACAATCAACTTTTCAACCCTGAGTAGGTCATTTCCGACATTATTAGTCAGACTTTGATCTCACTACAACAACATTATTTGCTCGTAAACACTTTTTGAGTCTCCCAATGACTAATTTTGTGCATTTTTTTCAGCTTATCCACGTTGCACCCCTCTGTGATGTGTAACTAAAAACATACACTTTAAATAAAAATATCTTACAAAAAAAAATATGCATGAAAATTTTTTATCAACTTATTTCCCATTGCAAATTTGTCATTAAGTAATGATGCTTATCACCAAAGACTGGCACTGCAAGAGCGCAAAAGTTGCAAGTTTTATCATCCATTACATTCAAAATGCTATTAGAGGCATTTTCAGGAATTGCCTTGCTAATCGGAGGCAACACTTCATCGTTTTAGCTACATCAGGTTAGTATTTATAGCACAATTTATTTTGGATGTTTGCATTTCTCCTGTTTGAGCAGGCTTGCTTGGTGGCCCTTTCTCAAAGAATCTGTTAAAAAATGTTAAGCGAAACATGAAACTTACTTCCAACAATGTCCCTTTTTCACTTCTTCTGCTACTTATTTTAATGAAGTACTTTCTAGTTTTCAGGACGTACATTTTCTTTCTGTTTCTGTATTTATCCATGTATTTGTTACCTTCTTTTTGTTGTCATCTTTGTTGTTTCTCTAAAATAGGTTGATGTACTAAACATCTAAATGTTCGAGAAGATATAGGCTAAACAAAATGCATCCAATCTTACTTTGCCAGTTATTATTTTTGTTTGCATTTGTTCAGTACTGGATCTACTAGTATCCTTAACCTTTTTTCAAATTGGATGGCACGGATTTTTGGCTGCTCTGCCTTTCTCAACATCTTCTGATGATAGCAACTCGATTCTACTTTCAGAATCAAGAATTACTTGTTCATCAGATATGTTCTTTTGATCAGGCTTTTGAATAGCATTTTCTACGAGCCTTTTTAGATGGTTGGTTTTTTTAGATCATTCCTACAATCACGAAATTCTGTTTCAAGCTTTGTTCCAAGCTTTACCATCGAGTGTGGCCCTCCAAGAAAGCAGAAGTGGTGGATGGGACTAATGAATGATGGTGATTGAGGTGCCACTGCTCATCTACAGCTTGAAGAGGGATAGATTTATCACCAAATAATAGAACAGTGTGAACACAAGGAAGCAGAGAATGTCTTTTCTCAGAGTAAGAGCAGCGTTCAGCATGCATTCTCTACTCTTCTTCGCAGATGTCATTAAAACTCACAGTTAAAAAAGCTGAATAAATAGCGATAAGCGCGGCCAAATATACTTTGTTTAGAATCCCGTTTAATCTCATGTTGCCTTACATTAATATGGCTTGCTTCTGTATTTTTTTTGCTGCAGGACATCGAACGTGCGCTGCAAATTTTTGCAATGCTTGTCTATGTGCTCATAAGCGGTTATCAAGCCCATATGTCCTGGCATTCCTATTTTCAACGCATGATCGCCACTCTCAGCTTTTTGAGTGCTCATGCAAATAAAATGGGCATTCTCTTTTGTTACATGTGCTGCTCATTTCTCCTTGATGGGAAACCAGTTTTTCTGCATATAGATAAAAGCCATGTTGCAATAAGATGTATCCTTTTCATAACACTGTTTCCAAAAAAAGGGTGGTCTGACACTATGGCGAAAAAGTTAGTTACAAAACGTACAATTTTTGTTCGCAAAATTACCAATTTTTACAGCAAAATGGTTGTTTGAGAAATACAGTGGTTACATTAAGTGTCCTATAAAACTCATTTATAAGCATAAATTAATATATTTTCGTCGCATTGACCTTGTGTTAGTATCAGAAAAAGCACATTTTTTTTGCTGGTTACTTTAATTCTTCTATTTAGTAAGGGATACCATTTTTGGACAACTTAGGTAAAAAATGACGTAGCGTTTTCAAAAAATTTCCTGCAAAACTTGAATACCTTATTTTCTTCGGCGAATAAGCATTCTCAATCGTGCGTTTTCCACGTTCTTCGGCAAATTCTAGCAAAACCTACCCGACTACATATAAATGCGGCAAGCTTTTTAGAAGAAAACTCTCTTTTCTTTATTCTATATACATACCTTTTCTCCTTATTATCATGCCTTACAGCCTCCCATACAATAAACGAAACAATGTCAAATCTGCACTTTTATCTGCAAATCAATCCGTCGGGTCTCAAAACTAACAAGTGTTGTCAAATCAACAATTTCCCGTACTGAAAAAGAGTTGCCAGAAATGAAAACTTGCATTGGTACCGGTAGACCATCAAGAGTAGGTCATCTCACGACTTGTTTGGTACGGATGAAAGTCTGAACTGGAGCATTGAAGAATGTTAAAGAAGTCCAAATTTGGTTGTCTGGACAGGGTATTGCTTCGACGTATAGTGAAACAGCCTCTCAGATGAAAAGGGTAGGATGATACTCAAAGCTTAAGCAGAAGAAAATTTTTTTGAGAGTTTCTCACCTTTCGAAGAGATACAAATGGGCCTTAAAATATCGTAACTGGTCCGCAAATGAGTGGAGGAGTGTCGTTTTTACCGACGAGACGAGGATCAATCTTTGGGAATCATATGGTGCAACATACATTTGGTTACAGCAAAGGTTTAAAGCGAGGCCCCATAGCTATAAGCTATTGCTCAAGCATAGAGGTGGCTCTCTAATGATGTGGGGGTGCATGACATCTTCCGGAGTAGGATATGCCTCTCGAGTGCTTCAAAAGGCAATGGATACCGATTGCTATTTGGAGATTCTAGGGTCGTCATACCTAGATACATTGGAGTATTATAGTATGGATCCACAAAAAACTATCTTTCAACAAGACAACGACCCAAAACACAAAGCAAAGGCTACCATTTCTTGGCTTAAAGCCCACAAAGTCAACTTTATTGCTGACTGGCCACCTAACAGTTCCGACTTGAGCCCAATAGAGCATCTTTGGAGACTGTTAAAGTGCAGGCTAGCCGAATATGATACAAAACCAAAAAATCTGGACGAACTGTGGTCAAGGGTCGAAAAAGAATGGTTCAAATTTCGCAAAGGTGACATGGAGGCATACTATAACAGTATGCCTGAACGTATAAAACCAGTCATCAAAGCAAAGGGCGGTTATACTAAATTTTGAGCATTGCAAATAAAGAATAAATCTTTGTGAAACACAAATTTTCTCTTTTAGAAATGAAGCACTGTTATTGGATGCATTTAGGAGCAATTAGCAGTGTTATCCTTACTGTCAATGCCTAATTAATCTATGTGGCAAGTTTCAGAAGGATCGACCGAGTTTTTGTAGAGAAGGGTAAAAAAACAGGTTTTATGGGACACTTAATGTAACCACTGTAGCTGGCATCAATTTTTCGACGTACAAAGTTGTTCGAAATGTTACCAAATTATTTGTACGCTTTTCGAACAACTTTAGTATCAAAACAATTAAATTTATTTTTCGAAAAGCGAACAATATTAGCAACAAAACAGCAATAACTTGCTTACTTTTGGAACAACTTTGACTACAAAACAACCAAGTTCTTTGGTGCTTTAGTTACCAACATTGTTCGTAATGTCACTTATTGTTTTAGGATTATTAGAAATTAGACGCTTATTATAAATGGAAAAAAACGATACTTTTATTGAGAAATAGTAAATGAAAAGAAGCACTACTTGAATTTAATAAAAACAAAAATATACAAGCGAGGCAAGAGTGTTAAATGAGCAATTCGCTTTGTCATTTGGAATTGAGACAACACTGATAGACACAGAAAATAATTTGTATGTAATATATGGTTTTCTAATAAAAAAAAAAAGGAAGAAACCACCATCTTGCTATCCATCAAACTTACCTGACAAAGTGCATGTCTTGTACGGATAAATAGTCAATTCCTTTAGGTGAGCATTCTTTTTTGAGAAAAAAAAAAGTTGGTTTTGAGTGTATTGAAGGTGTGTAATAACATATCAAACTTACTATAAATCAAGAGACAGCAAGAACTTGTTTTGGAATCTAGAAAAAAAAAGGCGCTACGTTAGCTTTCAAGTAGCAAAAATAGAACAGTTTATAGATTAAACATACTTTGATTTTAAATGGAAGCAGACTAATCTCATCTAAACATATAGAACAAACAAACTAATTAAATTAGAACAAGGCAATGTCAAAACTCTTTTCCAAAACAACACTCACCAGTACCAGGACCAGGCGATGTGACATTTCATGTCAAAACTTGGAACAAAAAGAAACAAGTAGCTCTTACATGTTTACTTACACTCTAACTCTGGTTTCGACTTTTGTTTTTTATCTATATAAAGGCCCAGTAGTATATCAATTTTTGTCTATGGTTATGTTAGAGAAAAAGAAACTACTGCGGAAAATGCGTTCTTCCATACCAATCAATGAGGAGCGCAGCAATTCCTCAGATTGTTAAAAAAGCGCCGGAAGTACTGTCTAATTCTTAAGATGAGTAAGTCCATGAGTCGATGTTATGCAATCATAAGGTTTCAGAGAGTTTAAGCTCCTGGATGTAGGTTGAATTCAGGAGCTGTGGACTTTATCTATAATACAAACGTTTTAAGAGAAGGTGATGGAAAAAAAATTGTTTTATTATTTAAGGTCGTGACTATTTTTTGTTACTTCTTCTTGTACGCTTAGACTTGGCTGATTGGCTTTTGTCTTCATTGCGTTTGCCCTTTTCTTAGGTTGAGAAGAGGGAAGAGGTGGAGAAGGAGAACAAGGACGACAGTTGTTTTCCATTCCGAAAAGATTTCATCTTCAGAATCCTCAAATTCATCACCACAATATAGGTTTGCGTACTCCAAAGAAGGCACCTCACTTTGAAGAAACTCAACACTAACTTGGTTTTCACTGTATAGTTTTGATTCATCTTAGGCATTTTAAAATTTCATTGAATGCATGTTTTGCGTTTATTATACCTGATCCTAGAGTTATTCTCTCTTTCAACAACAGAAGCCTTATTTCTTGCTCTATTACTTCTGTGCTTGTGTGTTTCGAAGAGCAATAGACCGGCTGCCCAGGAAAGCTGACATCTTTGAAGAGGAAAGCCATGAGTAGCTGCATTGCTTTCAAGCTTAAATGTGTATTTTGCGATTAGAACAGAAGGCACTTCAGACCATAAAGGCAACACAGCTGCTTTGTCATTCTTCTTCAAAGCTTTCAGCAGCTCTAACTCCATTTCATCGTGGGTATTTTTTGCGATTGTTCTGAGGATCCCGTAGTCATTCTCATTTGCTTTATCATCAATTAAAAGATCAGTGATATTTCTTTCCTTCTTGAATAAGTTGATTAGGGCAAGCAAACGCAACCGTGGCGTAACATATCTATATTATCCATGAGAGCCGAATGCTTTTGTTGCTTCCTCAAGTACTCTAGGAATGTCCCAAAAGCCCATCAAGTTTAGATTAAGAGTGTTGGCAACACCGCCTTCTCTTGCTGCATTTTCCAAAAATAAATGTTTATACATATTCTAAAGAAACCGCTTGTTTTTTTTACCTTGTTGAGCTGCTTCAAGAACTTTACTGTTGATCTCATTACTATCACTTTAGGCAAAAGAGGGTGCAGATAAATGCATCAATCCCTTACATATTTGAGTCTGTGATTCGGGTTTTTGTTCGAGTTGGGAAACTTGTTCTTGCATTTGAGTGATTTTGTAGATAGTCGTTTGGTTCATATTTGTAAGACAGAAAGGCAATTGCAAGAAAAACCAAAAAGCTATGTTTGCTAAAAAAGACCTAAACAATCACTAAATATTCAACATAACTCAATATACTCTTTTTAGATGAGTCTCATGTCAAACTTTTAGGAGTGCATCAACGTATTGCATTGTGCAAACCCTTTTTTTTTGTTTTTTATAAGAAACACTATTAGTATTATTGTACTTGTAAAAAAAAATAAAAAATTTTTCTTGCTCATAAAGCTACTATTATTGTCGCAGTACTTGTCGCCTCATAACTTTTATTGTTGACAAAACGAACAAGTTTGTTCCCCACAAACAAGAAAATTAATGATTTTGAATGATATGACTCGCTTTTTAGAAAAATAAAATAAAAGTTGTTGACATTTCGAACAACATTGGCAAAAAAGTTACTTTTTCTTGTTTGTTGTGCGAACAATATTAGTAAAGTCAAACAACTAATCCGCCATAGTGTATACGGCATGTAGAAACCTAAATACCTCAGGGTAGTTGGGGAAGATTTGGAGTAATAGGTGGCAATTCGGTGTTGCTTTAACAGTGTTGACCAGGAAGACACAGTATCACCACTCAATGAAAATGCTTCGGTCTTGTGCTGATTGAAAATTGCATTAGAGACCTTAGCGTAATTGTTCAAATGAATCTGAAGGCGTACAAAGTCATTTTGGTCGTGGACAAAGACACAGATGTTGTCCGTATATGCTAGGCATTTGATCTGTTGGTTGCTTGAGAAATTCGAAGAAGAATAACCTTGGTACAATGGATCTTGAAGAATAGACAATAATAGTGGCTCCAAAGCAAGATTGAACAGTATTGGTGAAAGAGGATCACCCTGACGTAGACCTCGCTTCTGATTGACTGGTTCCGTGAAGAATCCATTAATATTAATATACACTGAATTATCAAAGAATAGACTACTAATGCTATCATTCAGTGAAAGGGCAAAGCCAGAAGCACGTAGCACCTGAGTCAGATATCCGGCATGAACTCAATCATACGCCTTCTCTTGATCAAGAAGTAAGCCGATATCAGGATGGTTTTGGTATCTTGCCTGTTGTAGTATCAGATGCACCAACATTCCATTATCGCCAATAAATCTGTCATTGAGAAATCCTGTTTGATAAGGATTGATGATTTTTTGCATAACTGGGCCGAAGCGTTTGGTCAATAGCCTTGTAAAGATCTTTGCATCGCAGTTGATTAGCGAGATGGGTCTCCAGTTCTTTAGATCGTTGAGGTCGTCCTTCTTTGGCAGCAGTCTTACTCGAATGTCTTTCCAAGATGGTGGAACAACACCATGAACAAGAGCATCGTTAAACAGTTGTTCTAGAAATGGCTCCAAAATAGGAAGCTGAAAAAGCAGGCGTATATATACATAACCGAGGCCATCGCTACCTGGGCTACTTTGTTTTGGACTGCGTGTAGACATTTCCTGAAGCATATTGATGGCTATCGGTTCAAGTAGGAGATCAGTATCGTCTTCGTTAAGTTTGCGTTCGAAATTGACTAGCCCTAAGTAGTTGTTGATGCCTTCAGGAGCGACAGTGTCGGGCGTGTATAATCGTTGGTAAAATTCTTGAGCAATGCGCTTCATGCTTGTCGTTTCAGAAATTACTATCTCAGGATGGGGGTCATTGAGGTCTCTGAATTCAGACATATACTGCTGTGACGTTCGTTTTTCATGTATCTGCTTCAGAAAGGAAATGTTTGTCTCACTATTTTCCTGCCACCAGATGCCAGATTTGATGATAGCAATTTGAGCCATCTCTTGTTGAAGCTTGTGAATCTGAGTGTCTAGGGGAAGAAGAAGTTGTAGCCTGAGTGCTAGAGGCGGCTTCGTTCGTAAAATACGATTGCGTTTCTTTTCTGAGCGCCGAAGTGTCTGTTCTCTCCAGTTGTTATGATTGATTGCATACGATTTAACAACTTTTCTAGTTGTCAGTTTGACCTGCTCCCACGGTTCTTGAGGTGTATCATCATCAGTCCATTGTGCTACCAGCTTGTTGATACGCTTCTCTATGGAGTTGCGTAACCTTTTGTGTGTAGCAAAAGTCGGATTTCCTCGCCATATACCTGGTCCAAATTTTGACATACCTAGGACAAACTCAACTTGCAATATGTAGTGGTCTGACCATGAAGCTGGTAATGATGAGATATTGGAGTTTGTGAGCCCTTGTCGTATATCTTCGCCAACAAAAATATAGTCAATGGTAGAGAAACAGAAACTATCCCTGGATCGTCTTTGAAACGTGGGACTGTCCTCTAAGTTATTAATAGTCATAGCATTTGTGAAAGACTGTTCTAGCCGAGCTCTCCATTGAGGATAGGTAGCATAGGGTAGATCAGCAATTCGTAAATGAGAGTAGTTGAAATCTCCAGAGATGATCAATTGGTCAAGGGAAATAATGTTTCTGAAGTCATTCAGCATATTGTGTAATTGACAGTAAAAGGATCGACGTTCGGAATTGTTTGACGCAGGTGCGTACAAATTAAGAATATAGAAAGGTGCATAGAGTTGTTGGGGGTGTTCCACCTTATAGAGTTGAAATCGATCTGAAGAAAAGGAGTGTGAGGTATCTACAACAGAGATAGTAAAACCTGAAGAGAAGCAGACGATTCCCACATGTTGGGTCCAAAAGGATTGTGTTGGTTGAAAGAGAATGTCGAGAGTGTCAATACGGGATTGTGTATCCGCGTGGGTTTCTTGAAAGCATATTATGTCTAGTTTTAAAAGTCTTAAGTATCGAATGTATTCTTTTTGTGTTTTAGGTTGATTCGTTTTCACTAAACTGTTTGCATTTAGTGACGCATAGTGTAGTTGGAGTTCTTTAGTCATGATGAGATAGTGAAATATACTTATTGCTGGCCTGCAGCGTGGCCCGTCGAATGTATACTTTCTTCTAAATGGAGTAATTGTTGATTGAGTTCAGCTAAAGTGTTTTGATCGGCCTCGCTCAATATTTCTTCAGTAGACCTTTGTTGTATTTGGTGGATCTGTTGAGCCAATGCCCGTTTGCAATCCATCTGCATAGGTAGTAAATCTTTTAAATCAATCATGGCGTCCCCCTTGACTCCATCTAACTCCATTGCTGAAACGCCCTCTTCTTGTTCAGATTTATCTCTGTCACTGTCACTATCACTGTCACTGTCATGACCATCGTTTAGTACATAGTCTGAACCTTCCTCGTCACTCTCGCCATCTTCAGACATATCATCAATACTATCATTTCCTTTTTTAATTGAGTTTGGTCTCACATTTTTCTTGGCCCTGGTCAAGGAAGCACGTTTGTCGTTTGGAGCATACTTGGACTTTAGTACTTCGGTTGAAGAGGCCAGTTGATCCGCTTTAGAAGCAGGTTGGGGCATTTCCTGAGAAGTCTGATTCTTAGGCGCTGGGGTCTTGCGCTTTTTTGATGAATTGATGGGTGCTTTTCGTGGGCATTCAAAAGATCGATGACCAAATAAATGGCAGTGATAGCAAATGATTTGTGCTTTGAACTTTTCACACTCAAACTTCGTGTGGCCAGTCTGATGGCAATAACGGCACCAAGTGGGCATGTTATTCCATGTAGCATGAAAAACCTCATCTTTCTCCTCTCGCTAACGGATATTGTGGGCTAACTCCTGATACTTGATTTGCTCTTTTCCTGACTGTCTGGGAGTACCAATGACAGCATAACCGGATCCCATAAAAACCCAGTATTAGGTTCGGTTATAATGCTGACATCAATAACTTGGCCAAAAGGGGATAAACTGACCTTTAAGCCTTCAAGAACTTCAGTTCTCGGCAACATTGGTAGGTGAGACAGTTTGATATTGGTAACCATCCAACTGTCATTGGTGGCTTTGCAAGGGATAATTCGCAGCTTTGATTCATTGAATTCAACACCATTAGTGCCAAGATCGTTGACATTATGTTGGGGTTCAACGTAGATTTCGAGACATCTAGTGGTACCGTCATTGAGGAAAGAACAAGCATGAACTTTAGGATGCTGTTCCTTGATTTCTTGCAAACACTGAAGATCTGTTGTGATGATCCGACATTAAATAAGTCTTCAATTACATACTAAAATACATCATAATCAATTTACACCAGAAATAGACATAAAAGAACCTCTTGTACTGAATAAGACAATGGATCTTTTAATAGATCAAGACTTATAACCGAAATCCATAATTTATATTATTTAATTAATTTAAAGTAGTCTATGATAATAGAGACTCAGTCATTTGCATGAACTCTACTACTACTTACTCCGACATCTCTTCATGTATAAATATGCTAGAATAATTTATAATCAAAAAGAACAAGGATAAAATTGTATAGAACAGTCTCAAAGGATCTACCTTTGTCTCTATATCATCTTATTATATAACTCTATTATCAAAACATCACATCTGTGTATTGAACTTTAACCTTGGTGATGTCGAGAAGAAAAGCATTCTTAGATCTAGATGATCTGTAAATTCTCGACTGTATTTCACTTAGTGAAGAAGAATCGTCGGGATGAGGCTCAGTGATGTCCTTGTGCATCAAGGACACTCGAGTCTTCGCAGCTACTACTTGAGCATAGGATCGTTGTTTGCTAGTGTTTTTAGGCTTAGGAGCTATTTCTAACCCCGCTACCCGAGAAAACTGCTGGGAATTGGAAAGAGCCATGATTTTCATGCATACAGTCATACCTAGCCCAAAAGTTATGATAATCTCAATTGCAAGAAGATTTGGTTTGGTATGTCCGGAAATATAACGAGCAACAAGAAATTAATCGATGCAAATTTCACCATCCAGTCAGAGCATTGGTTTTTGCTCCCTGAATACTCGCAAGTTGCTGCATGCGCCATTGGCGTACCTATCACAGTCTACTGTGCTCACGATGCTTGTACTTCCCTGCTCGCTTTTCTAAAGTGAAGGAAAACTGAACCACCCTGGGAAAAATTATTGCCTTTGGTACTTTCCTATACTAACTCAGATCACTAGAGCACCTTCAGCATGAAAAGGCTAATGAAGCCAACATGGCTTGCTAACAACCAGTTACATCCTTAATTTGGGAAAGGATTATCGAGAAGAGGACAGAAGTTAGTCATTTTGAGATGACGTTTGTCTCTCAAAACATAAAGTACAAATACAAAACAAAATTCATGTTTAACATTCACTTAGAGGAAATGATTCCGACTTGTGTAAAAAAGCAACATGGAGGGGCGACGGGATTTTAAAAGAGCCTATAAATTCTTCCTCAGTCTTCTTAGAGTAATTCATTGTTCAAAAATTCAGTCTAAAAAGGAGATATATCCTCAAACTCTCGAGTTCAAATCATCAAGAAGACGCTGAGATTAAGAGCTCATTCAACAACACTTCCACTTTACCCACTACCATTGAAACTTCTCAGCAACACCTCATTCTAGGATACCGTGAAACTAAACACATGCTCATCTGAGAATGCTAACATCCGCCTCATTGAAGATATAGTACCAAAGAACGCTTATAAAAACATTCATGCAACTAAAGGTATACAGAACAAGGTAGACAAAAAAAAAATAAAAAAGAATTTTTAATATTTTTTTATGAAATCTTTAAGAAAATTTGTATAGTTTATACAAAATATAATACAACCTTTTTTTTTAAAAATTTAACTGTTCAAACATTTTTTTAATTTCTAAAAAATTTTTAAACACATAGCATTTAAAGTAATATAAGAAATTTATATAAATTTTTAAATTTTTTTACAAATTTTTAAAAATCTTAACTATAAATTTTTTTTTATTAAACTTTTAGATTTATTCAAATTGTACAAATATTTAGCTAAACTTTTTTGTACACTATTTATTTAGCTAAACATTTTTTTGTATTTTAACTATTTTTTTTAAAAAATATTATTATACATTTGGTAGTTCTGTTCTTCGGTACACTTTTTGCATTTCATTATGTTCATATGTTTTTTGGTCAAACAAGTGAAGAAATATTGAAAGAGGCAACCAGGGAAAGATTTATATGATTTTTAGGCTAATATGCAATTTCTGAGCACCTGCTCTGGAAAAAAAATTATTTCACGTTCTTCAATTGTTAAAATTTGCGATTCAGCAAACCTCGCCTCCGGTCCTTCAATTTTGTGAAAATTGTTTCTATTGGTTGTACGAACGTAAAAAATGGGTTTTTTTTTCTGTCGACTCTTGGCACATTCGTGCCAAAAAGGCTTTAAGAAAAAATTGTGCTCTAGCTGCACTTAATACTGAACAATGCTGTCCAAGGATGGTGAAATCTATTTTCTGCAACGCTACCAAAGTTATGCGAAGTTTATAAAAATATGATGATTGATCTTACGGATGCCTTTTCAGAATCACAATTGCATTGAGTCTTTGTCAACGTAACAAACAAAGTTAAGGAGATACGTAAGCAAGAGGCCTGAATTCAACGACAACAACATTGATTGTCTCTCGAAAAAACTGAATAAGGTGTACGTACATAAATACAATCGGTAATACTTTACTAATACTAAAATGTTATATCTAAGCTAAAACGCCGAACAGTGTTTCTCGCTATTCAAATGAAGTGGAAAGTTTCAAGTGGAATGATTTGGAAACAAAAAGTGTCTAAAGAATATATGAACACGTGTAAGCTATAAAGTCTGCTATATCAATAAGTTTATTTGAAAGCTTTTCCTAGCTTGGCGATTCTTATTGAAAGAAACGGTCTTTTGAGTAAAGAGTCTCGATCGTACTTAACAGAATAGGATTATTAAGTCAAGTTTTGGGTGCCATTTCTCGAGTCCTTTTTCTCCTCAAACACAATTGTTCTTCATTGATAAGTATGTTAATGTTTCTTTGCATATTGCGTTTTTTAACTAGTATTGATTTTACATTTGGGGGACATCATGTCTACACCCTGCAAAAAAAAAGTTGAAATTTAGACTGGGCCTCCCCTTCTCAATCTCCAATTTCAGTATTTCCGGTTGCATTTGAGAAGATTATAATTTTTTTAAACAGATATAAATTCTCTGAGAATTATAAAAATGTTTGGAAAGATTGAGACAAAGTGTGATTTCTATCTAGAAAATAAGAGTGAATTTTAGAAGATAATTTGTAGACATTTTACATATAAAAAGGACAAGGACAAGAGCATGGCATTAGTTTTTTTAAAACCTTTTCTTTCTAAATACATCTCTCCCAATAAGACTCAGCGTGCTTTACCCACTGCAAGCAATCTTTTTTAGTCACCGTGTTGCATGCTTCAGCGATACGAGGTGTCCATTCATCATCTTTCTTCAAAGGGTTTCTTCTAATGCCACTTTTGATCTTCGACCAGCACTCTTCTATGGGATTTAAAAAAGGAGAGTAAGATGGCACGAATAAAGGTTTGTATCCTCGTTTTTCAATGTCTTCAACAACAAATACATCCTTTACAGATTTTATATATTTGACTATATGATAAGCCGTAGTACCTTTCTTTAAAGGCTTTTGTTTTTAGGCTCTTCAGTGTTGCGCTTTCTTTTTTAGCTGATACCTCGGAATGAAACTCTTTCTCTATCAACTCACCATCCCCTATTTTCAAAGGTATAACTTTGGTAAAGCTTATAATTCCTCTAGCACATATACACCCAATCATGCTCTAACTAACGCCTTTTTGTGTGTGCACTTTTACATTCGCTAGAGCACCAACTTTCGACCATACACGCCTTCTCATCAGTCGAGAGTGAAAGCCAGCTTCATCAATAGACACACAGTTTTTCTGGAAATCAACACTGGCTTCTATCCACTTGTTGATGATTTCGTAGCGGAGATTGAGCGTTCTAGGTGCATCCCTTTCAATTGTGTATTTACTAGCTTGCTTTAATGCCAAGCAACACTTTTCACTAATATGCACATACAAAGAAGAAATAGCAACGGGTAGTCCAAACTGCTTCATCAACTCTTCTCTTGCCTGTTCCAAAAAGGTCGAAGGGTTTGCGTCAAACAACTGGATCAAAAAGGCGGTATGGACAGGAAATAGCTTTTTTGGTTTCGCTTTTCCTTTTTGTGTAGATGTACTACCTGGAAGAATGGTTCCGTTATTGTCATTAAACTGGTTTAGAAGTCTATAAGCACTGCTAGTAAGTATACCACAAGCTTCAGCTGCTTTTGGTACAGCTTCCCCTGTTTCCTGTAGTATGTTTATAAAGCGTGAGATTTGGTCAGACCCATACTTTTTATATCTTTTAGTTTTAGTGATCATCATCTCTTCCAGCTCTAAAACCATTTCCTCCATTTTCTCATCAGCTGTGCTTTGAGGAGTATCTTCTACGAGGTACTCATTTCCCCTGAGCATCTCAATGTCGCCGAACTCAACAGCAACCTCATCAACTTCCATTCCCTCAGTCATAAAGTTATTGTAGTTTCTGACTGGAATATAATTAATGAAGTCCATTTTAACTAAAAGTTATCTAATCTAAAAGAAAGGGAAACGTTTAAAATTTTATTTTTAAAAAACTCTCGGATTTTCTAAGCTAAAAAGAGGTTAGTTCTCAACTGTTTTGAAGACTTCCCAAAAATAAAATATAATATTGAAAGAAATGTCTATTGGTCTAAAAAAATTATAATCTTGTCAAATGTAACCGAAAATACAGTATGAAGAAACAATAGCGAATGGAATGACAGGTGAGGTGGCTCGAATGGCTTTTAAAGGAAAGCTATATGGTGATCGATTGAAATCTGTTTTCGCAACGAAATGCCATGTAAATAACCTTCTTTCCACAGTTTCTTACCTTGATGCTAACACAGCAAAAAGCATCTCTGTTCCTGTAGTGCAAATAATGGGGTTCAGTGCACATGTCTTTGTATTGAAGTTAGCAGATAGAGGAATTTACACACTTCAAGTGGTATGCTCCTTTCACTTTCCAGTGGTATTCAACAGCCTCGAAGATAATTGGAAAGAAATAGTTGATGAATTATCTTTGATCGAGGTAGAGAATAAGCGAAAGCGCTTTTACAACTGATACTGTACTAGCACCACTACGAATATGTAGTCGTTGGTATTAGACATAAGACAAGTTTATTAAACTTGCCAGCTGCCTCACCACGACCATATGGCTCGTATTGTCAACAAAGAAAACTTGATGATTTTCCCTCTACCAGTTAAACAACGGATGTGAAATGGAATCTTGATGCAGCGGAGAATGAAAATGAAGATGATGAGTAGGTGAAGAAGAAAGGGAGGGAGTGAGGGCCGAAGAAGAGGAGCAGTAGAAGTGGAAGAAAGAGAGGAAGGGCCTTCATACTTTTTGATCACAATCAAGTAAGTATTTAATAGAAGTTCAGCGGTAACGTTGGAAATTATTCTTGTTCACTCTTGGTTTTCTCTTTAGATAGACCATTATCTTGAGCAGTTGTGGCGACTACAGCAAAAGACAGAATTTAATGTGTAGATACGTATCAATGTTGGAAAGGCGTTTTTAAGTCATCACTGCTACCTGAACTGTTCCTCTTAGGAAGTTGGTAGTCATCTATTCGTGTTAAATAGCCTTATTAAATGTGAATTCACCACTTTTAATCAAGATTGCATTGCTGAAGGATTGGAACATATGTTTATACATTACGCCGATTTTGTACCAGTCCTATAATGTTATTTATCATTATTTGAATAAGAAAGAGACTACAAATCAATATAGACAATGTTAGCAGCAATTACGTTGAGCCCAAAATAAGCTCTTGTTTAACAAGAAGCTGAGAGATCTTTACAGCGAATCTTCATAAAAGAAATCGCACGTTTCTTACATATACTTACACCTAAGAAACGTAGCCAAAATTACTGGCTATGGTTCCAAAGTCATTTACCTTTATATCGTTGGACAAGCCATCAAACCCAATTCCTCTATTTGTATGAGAAACTGCAAAAATCCTCTGGATCTTGATGCCATCATATTTCTTGATCACTTATCAAAACTAATAGCTTTTAGACTGGAAAGGCTACATCTCCGTTTAACACATCTATTTTAGCGCAAAAAATGACGATTTGTAAAGTAAACATCTTACTGCCTCCATAGTCAAAGATAAATTTCGCACTCCGATTGTTCATTCTACATGCAATAGCACCAGCCATGGCCTCGTAAGACTATTGCGGTCTGTTATTATTCATGCTGAATATAAAACCCAATACTTCACAAAAAGTGGCGCAACAAAGAAGCAACGAATTCTTACTACATTAAAGTAGAGTGCATAATATATACCTGTGTATTCGAAAATTTTTATGATTTGGGATACGCTTACTTTACATTACAGTGGTTACATTAAGTGTCCTATAAAACTCATTTATAAGCATAAATTAATATATTTTCGTCGCATTGACCTTGTGTTAGTATCAGAAAAAGCACATTTTTTTTGCTGGTTACTTTAATTCTTCTATTTAGTAAGGGATACCATTTTTGGACAACTTAGGTAAAAAATGACGTAGCGTTTTCAAAAAATTTCCTGCAAAACTTGAATACCTTATTTTCTTCGGCGAATAAGCATTCTCAATCGTGCGTTTTCCACGTTCTTCGGCAAATTCTAGCAAAACCTACCCGACTACATATAAATGCGGCAAGCTTTTTAGAAGAAAACTCTCTTTTCTTTATTCTATATACATACCTTTTCTCCTTATTATCATGCCTTACAGCCTCCCATACAATAAACGAAACAATGTCAAATCTGCACTTTTATCTGCAAATCAATCCGTCGGGTCTCAAAACTAACAAGTGTTGTCAAATCAACAATTTCCCGTACTGAAAAAGAGTTGCCAGAAATGAAAACTTGCATTGGTACCGGTAGACCATCAAGAGTAGGTCATCTCACGACTTGTTTGGTACGGATGAAAGTCTGAACTGGAGCATTGAAGAATGTTAAAGAAGTCCAAATTTGGTTGTCTGGACAGGGTATTGCTTCGACGTATAGTGAAACAGCCTCTCAGATGAAAAGGGTAGGATGATACTCAAAGCTTAAGCAGAAGAAAATTTTTTTGAGAGTTTCTCACCTTTCGAAGAGATACAAATGGGCCTTAAAATATCGTAACTGGTCCGCAAATGAGTGGAGGAGTGTCGTTTTTACCGACGAGACGAGGATCAATCTTTGGGAATCATATGGTGCAACATACATTTGGTTACAGCAAAGGTTTAAAGCGAGGCCCCATAGCTATAAGCTATTGCTCAAGCATAGAGGTGGCTCTCTAATGATGTGGGGGTGCATGACATCTTCCGGAGTAGGATATGCCTCTCGAGTGCTTCAAAAGGCAATGGATACCGATTGCTATTTGGAGATTCTAGGATCGTCATACCTCGATACATTGACGTATTATTGTATGGATCCACAAAAAACTATCTTTCAACAAGACAACGACCCAAAACACAAAGCAAAGGCTACCATTTCTTGGCTTAAAGCCCACAAAGTCAACTTTATTGCTGACTGGCCACCTAACAGTTCCGACTTGAGCCCAATAGAGCATCTTTGGAGACTGTTAAAGTGCAGGCTAGCCGAATATGATACAAAACCAAAAAATCTGGACGAACTGTGGTCAAGGGTCGAAAAAGAATGGTTCAAATTTCGCAAAGGTGACATGGAGGCATACTATAACAGTATGCCTGAACGTATAAAACCAGTCATCAAAGCAAAGGGCGGTTATACTAAATTTTGAGCATTGCAAATAAAGAATAAATCTTTGTGAAACACAAATTTTCTCTTTTAGAAATGAAGCACTGTTATTGGATGCATTTAGGATCAATTAGCAGTGTTATCCTTACTGTCAATGCCTAATTAATCTATGTGGCAAGTTTCAGAAGGATCGGCCGAGTTTTTGTAGAGAAGGGTAAAAAAACAGGTTTTATGGGACACTTAGTGTAACCACTGTACACATAAATTCAAAAAGAGTTTGCTCCTATTTAAACAAACCTCTCAAGTAGCTTCAAGACCATCAGGAAAACAAAAAAAGGGAGATTAGATCATACGGAAAGTGCTGGTTGTTGTGAACATATATGAACTCATATGCATAGATCAATACATGATGATCATGGCAAAAAACCAGATCACATCTATGGCAATTGCAATGGATCTATAGTCACTGACATTCACTCATTCTACTAGAAGTACTAAATCATCCTCATAGTCAGAGATTATGAACCTAGTGACTCTGTTATTATTAATGGCCCTCATAAAGTGACAGTTAGAGCTGACAAATACATTAGCATTGGCATTTGACAAATATGTAATAGTTTATTCAAGTTCAGGTCAGATCATGCACTATTGGCTGAGCTGACAACTTCCTCTAAAGGCATTTCTCTTAATTGCTCCTGATCTAACAAATCAATCCGTAGTCAAGAAGCTAACCCAAAACAATACTTTGACCGAGAAGAAAAAGTATAAATACCTTGACATTTTATAGCAATTGAAAGAGAACATTTTCTTGGAGAAATAAAAACCTATACAAGTTCTAACGGACTTTCTCTGTGTTCTTACCTTTTCTCTTATTGAATATCTACTCTCTCTTCATCTCACAACACTGGTCAATTCAAACATGTTGAATTCTGATCTCCACACATCACTTGAGAGCACATGTTGCAAGCCTCAGTTTGGCTATCTATTCTATTAACATTCTAATTTTATGCTTGAAACTAAAGATTAATAACAGATTCTTTTCATTGCTTAATAGGAAGGTACCATAATCCATAATCAGTTTAAAGGGTAAGCCAGCTTGGATTTTTGATACTTCTTCATATCATTCAATACATACGTTGATAATAAACAAAAGCATTGTAGCATTGAGTATTGCGCTTTTTGGCTCTTTTAATGCCTGGGTAAGAGTTTCTTTACTTGTCTTTATAGAGTGTTACTTTATCCATAATTATCTGATAGGAATCGTTAGCAGTGTTTTTAAGCGTCCATCTTGCATGATAGTTCAAGAAGGGTCTTTACGCGTTGCTTTTTCTATTCATACATGCTCATGCAATGATGTTTAGATAAACACTTTTTTTTCTTTACTTTATTTCTTGCTCTACCTGATCTATTGGATGGTTTCTTCCTTTATGGATTATTTTATGGTTTGAGATGTATATTTTAGATTAGACATTGCTTCTTTAACGAACTATAGCCACGATATGAGTGGACTGTGTGCTTTGCATCCCATTTAAAATAGCATTTCAAAATGTTGAGTACTGTGATCCGGTGAGTCTGATTAACATTGTCATTGGATTTATTAATCCAATCATTGTTTATGGATTTGCCTCACTATAGAAGGCAGGTTCTTTTGACATTTCGTGTTTCCTTTTTCTTCTCAATACTCATAAATGGCCAGACAAAACAAAAAACAGAACAAGGTTACCTAGAGAGTATCTAAAGTAAACAAAATTGACAATTACCTCTGCTCAACAGAAAATATGAATGCTTCTTCATCTCATTTGACATCTTATGGTGGCACAAATGCTGTTGATTCTCTCCTTCCTGCTCCATTGAGCAATTATGAATTGTCCCGAGAAGTTGAAGCACTTAAAGCAAGAGTAGATTGTTGTGAGGAACTCATCATTTATCTCTGCGATCAACAAGAACAAGAGCAAGAAGAGAAACAGGAAAAGAAACAACAGCAACAACAACAACAGCAGGCATCTCAAGAGGTTCCTTATAGAAAAATAGTTAGATTTCGCTTTCAAAATAAACCTTGATGATTTTTAAACCTTTTCTCTATGAAAGCAAACCTAGAGTTTGCTGATATAGGTGATTCCATTGCTCAGAGATGTGATGCTTTATCCTTTCATTAAAATAGTCTATTGCAAGCTAAGAGCAGCAATTGTCACTTAAGATACATCAAAACAAATGCACTGTATCATCCGCGTTTGATGGCCAAGAAACTGTGATTATTCTCACTCATTCGTGCAATAGGTCCTATTGCCATCTGCCTCTCACTGCTGGTTCATTAATCCGCGCGCTTGTTGAAGGAGTGGCATTTTATATATAGAGTCAACGGCTATTCGTGTTTTTAAAAGTCTTCATTGGATTGGATATATAGTAGTAGAGTTTTATATATTTGCGGCAGCATCCAATCAGTCACAAACGATACAAAGATCCCTTGTAATAATACCTTCCGGAGTCACAAAAATATTGTGTAACAAACAAAGACTAGATTAGCAGTCTATTAAGTCGTTTCAAAGTTGAGTGATATGCTTAAATAAGAGGTAGAAAAAACTTGGCTTTTTCTTCCACTTCTTTTAAATTATACATATTGTTCTTATTGATCAGCCCCTAATGCAATGTAAGTGTTGAAATAAGAATTGCGTGTAACAAAACAAAGCTTACGAGATTTGATAGCGCAAGAAACGCAACACTTGAAGCCCGCATATAAGAAACATGAGCTTGGAAGACAAGAAATTATTCAAGATGGTATACAATCGTGAAATATACGTTCCCATTTATTTTCCATTGATGCAATCATAGCATGAGACCTTTGTTGACTTCAAACATGAGTCTGAAAATATTTTTTTGAATGATCTCATTGAAATTTTACAAAGTTCTCAGTACCTGTAAGGTGTTGAAAAGGGGCTTTTTTTAGAGCATACCAAATTTATGAGGAGACCATGAAATCAGACCTTTACTTTTGTCCAGAAAAGCTAGAAGACCACCAAAAACGATTTTATGCGGAAATCAAGCGAAGTCTAAGCTCTGCTACTAATAATGCGGTGGCAAAGCTAGAACAGGTAAAGATGTGTGTAATTGAAGTTATTTGTGCCTATTAAGCTAACAAAATATCTTATTGTAGCCTAGCTTCTGTAGACTAGCATACCTGAGAAATGATGTTTCAGAGCTCTTAAAGAAGCCAATTAGAGACTACTGGACAGAAATGTAAGTTAATAGAAAACTTTGTTTGTTGCCTAACTCTGAAGACAAAACAGATTGTCTAATCACAAAGCTCTGACTATTGCCAAAGAATATGAACACCTCAAAATGTTAAAGAAAAAAACACACGAGGAACTCTTTGAAGATGCAATTCTTCAGTATCCATTGGCTAATGAAGGAGAATCAGACTTGATTAAGAAATGTATTATGTTGATCAGAAAGAAGGAAAAGATTGATATCTTTTCGCAGCAAAGCAATGCCACTGAAAGTTTTTGTTTGTTTCTTTATACCATTTACCCCAATACGCTGTATACCATGACAAACTGATTTTTGCCTAAGAAGATGGATTTTTCAATCACTTTGTGCTTGAGATTATAAATACAGTAATACTGCTTAAGAGCTTGAATGAAAATATGTTTACAGTAGAAGGGTAAGTAGTGAACTGATTTTCAAGCTTTCATTCAATTCCGAAACTGATAATTATTGAACAGAGCTCGCAGCTACTATTAAAAGGACAAGCTAAAGAAATCAAGTATGAAAAAAGCTGACATGACTATTGAATGTCTATCAAAAAGGTGAAGCCAAGCTATTGATCGTTGAAGCAAGAATGCCAAACGCTAACGAAAAGTTTATCAATTACGATTTTGAAAAACTTATTGAAAATAGCAAGCATGAGCCTGAGAAGATGAAAGTCCTGAGACACAAAAGCCCAAATTATACTCCTTCAAATATGCTGTTTTAGACTTGTATAGGCTTTTATTTCCCAAAAGAAATGTTATCTTTTTAAATGCTGTAAAATGCTGTATTATTTCTACTTTTTCCTCTCGGTCGAAATATTGATAAAAGCCATTCATTTGCAGTATTTATTGAGTAAAAATTATTTATATGTTGAATAAATCAGTAAAAATTAATGTCGTATATGTAAACAAAAATAGTTTACCAATAGGAGTCAAACCCATGACCTTTTCTAATAAGCAGCAAATTTATACCACTAGACCAACGCCCAAACTTTATTCTGTTCAGTAAATATCTTCTCAAGGTTTGTATTTAATAATACGGGTCACGTGACGATAACATAACATATTCTTTAGCCAATGGTATTACTAGGAAAATATTCTAGAAGGCGGTGATGTCTGTGTTGTGATAAAGTAAGTAGAAGATAAAGGGCTTACACTTATCGACAATACAGTATTTATACTTTTCTATCTTCACTAAAATATGTGTTCTAAATAAAATAAAGAAGGAAGCAATTATATACTCCTTGTTGATTGATTCTTTTCCCTCGACTAGTACAATACCAGTTTTAGTTTCTCTAAAGGCAACTTCCTTATACGAATCAAATTTAGCTTAAACTTTTTTGTCTTCTGTTGAGTACTTGAGATTTAAACCTCCTCTTATTTGGATTGTACATATGAGGAAGGTTGTATTCAACCTCGGTTGGCTGTCTTTGTTCAGAAACCCTATTATTCGCGACAAAGCTTATCTTATTATTGTGTTATATCTATGCATATGAGTTCATATATGCTAACAACAGGGTCTACAGTCGTTCCAACGCCAAAAGGCAGATTTTTAAATGAAAAGGTGGTTTATAAATATTTTCAAAGAGCAGCTTTTTTTTATTTAAGGGCGGTTTTCGATAATCCAAAGGACGGCTTTTTTAATCCAAAAGGCGCCTTTCAATTTTTCAAATTTCGGTTTTTCACTTTAAAGTTCGTTTTATCATTTTAGAATCGAATAACTATATCTTTACTAAAAAGCTTTAAAAAGGGTCTCCGCGCAAGCGGATACCAAAGCAATTAACAGAGTGTTGAGCAAACGCATTCAAATGCTCGGGAGGAACGTTATTGCAAGCTTCAGCGATAAGAGTGGCTAGATGGTCAGCATCTTTAAACGAACTTCGTTTTACCTTATTTTTGACAATGGACCAAAAACTCTCTATTGGGTTAAGCTCGGGAGAATAAGGAGGAAGGTAGATGCTCCTGTAACCTCTTTCAGTAATTATTTCATTAATTCGTTCAGCAATATGAATGGGCGCGTTGTCCATCACAAAATAATTGTCTTTTAGTTCTGAATACAAACCCATTTTATCCATGCACTTCTCGAGAAACCTAACGTAGTGACCAGTTTCTGTACCCTAGATTTTTTTTTCTGTAGGTGCTTTTCTTTTACGACCACTGTGAACAATTTTAATTCGTTTAGAGCGTTCTTCTTGAGGATTACAAAGTTTCATAGTAACAACAAACTTTGTTGATATGGCGCCTAATACAGTATGAAATACAGCTCTAGTGGTTGGAATGGTCGTAATAGCGGGTGTTCCTTTTACAGACCATCCGCTAGGATGTCTCATGTTTATATCAAATGCAGACTCGTCTACGAATACACAGTTCTCTAAATAATTCATATCAGTAGCAGTCCACTTGATGACCCAATCTTTACGAGCTTGAATCTTAACTGAGTTATTTCTAGCAACCGGCAAGCGTGTTAACTTCTTAAAAGAAAGGTTGCACTCATCCTTAAGAGGGATATCTCTTATTATTATAAAAAAGAAGTCTATTTTAAACAAAGCATAAATGAAAATGTTGGCTTTTATGCATAATAGAACAGTTGCTTTCTTGATTAAATATATTATTATATTTAAATGAAATACCTAGAAGGATAATACTTTGTTTAAATTATAAGAATATATACAAATCTATTTATGAATATCTATATTAAAGATAATCGTTTAAAAAATAATAGATATCCCTCTAAGGAAGTTGTGAACAGTACTTTTCTTCACAGTCAGATCAGAGAATTTTTGAGTGAGTGATTCTATTGCATCAAGCACTCATGCTTGTGGCCAATTATCGTGAAACTCTAACAGGTAAACCTTATATCTCTCATCCAATTGTGGTTTTGGTCTATTGACCAAATTGATTTGTTTCTCAGATATGTTCCAATCCTTATCCTCTTTGAGTTTCCTGGCCCATTTCTGTGTTGTTCTCTCGGCTATGCTGCCTGCTAAGCGCCCGGACTTGGCTGCGTTAAATAATTTAATTCGGTTATAATACACAAAAGCGAGCTTTTGCTCATTTGAGTGTTTGTAGTGAACTCTTTTCTGCTTCTTAACTATAGCTATGACTTCCTCCATATCAGCGTCAAGATTTCTCAAGGAATCATCGGAGGAAACCCCTTCTTCCTCTTGCTTTCTACAATACTCTGTAATACGAGTCAGAGTTCTTAAGTGAAAATGAGTAGCTTCCTCAACCCAGTCCATCGCATCGTTTCCTTCCTCATCAACCAATTTTCCTTGGCCGTCTTCATAATAAAAGCGAGTAGTCATCATATTTATTTGAGAAAAAACGGAGTTTAACAAAAAGAAAACCGACATCTGAAAAATTGAAAGGCGCCTTTTGGGCTGACAAAAACCGCCCTTTGGCGTTGGAACGACAGTAAAAACTTCTATTGTCAAGATTAAAAATTCTATTTTCAAAAACAATCCACTGTACAATACAGAGCGTTTACTTATGATAAAAAAGATGGGTTTCTCCGGGAATCGAACCCGGGACCTCTCGCACCCTAAGCGAGAATTATACCACTAAACCAAGAAACCAACTATGTTTTTGTCAAATTGATATTTCCTTCAGGTCTGTGGTTAATAATATGGGTCACGTAACAATAGAGTATTTTCTAGCCAATGATATTACTGGGAAAATATTCTGGAAGGCAATGACGTCTGTGTATTGATAGAGTAAGTATAAGATTTTTATTTATAGAAATATTTCATGTTACCTGTGTATTGATAGAGTAAGTATAAGATAAAGTACTTACAGTTATCAGTTGCACAGTATTTATACTTTTCTGTTTGAACGAAATATATGATCTAAGTCTGTAAGGTAAAGTATCATCGATGACGAGTCTGATGTAAGCGATGATATTGTAACTGCCTTCCAAGGATTAGGTTCAAGCGGACTTTCTTTCTCTTTCAATTGTTTGACGTTTGCGGCTTGAACCTTCTCTTATTTGGGTTGTACTTGGCTGGCAAGTTATACTCCACTTCTATTGGTTGCTTTCTATCTTCTTTCTTCGTTTCCACGACAGTTTTGACAAGTTTGAGATTAATTATCAAAATTTGTAATTCTTGCAGTGCTTTTGTTATGTCATCATTACTTGAAACTGATTTGATTTGCTGAAAAGCAAAAGGTGCTGACGTCAAGATTTTCTTGGACACATGAAGCAAGAACAGAAAAATCTCGATACATGCCAAAAAGGGAAATGAAGTACAAATGCATTGAAAATGGAAATCAACTCTTTATCTATCTTGAACAGACTTATCAACACACTTCACTATCTGCTATTTTATTTTGTTATCTATCTTCTTTTACTTATTCTTGTGAAAATCGTTTATCAAGTTGCAGCATATTATCAAAATGAGTCAAGAAATTTTCTATCTAAATTGATAAAGAAAAGTATAAATATGACAAACATTGTAAGAAATAAAAGATTATTATTATTATTATTATCATCATCATAAAAAAAAGGGATTTTATTTCTATTTTTTTTTGGAACATTTGATTATTTCAGTCTGATCAAATACCCACAAGAACATTTGGTTGAAGAACTCTTTACTGTCTAGATATACTCAAGAATTGGAAGATCTTTTGGTTGAAAAGATAAATTGCTTGGAGTACTATTAGAAGAAAGAATTGAAGATCAAGAAATATTATTAATTGAAATACAAGAAAGAAGAACTTTTGGCTAACGGCTTAACCTTGATGTGATGTTTTGATAATAGAGTTATATAATAAGATGATATAGAGACAAAGGTAGATACTTTGAGACTGTTCTATACAATTTTATTGTTGTTCTTTTTGATTATAAATTATTCTAGCATATTTATACATGAAGAGATGTCGGAGTAAGTAGTAGTAGAGTTCATGCAAATGACTGAGTCTCTATTATCATAGACTACTTTAAATTAATTAAATAATGTAAATTATGGATTTCGGTTATAAGTCTTGATCTATTAAAAGATACATTGTCTTATTCAGTACAAGAGGTTCTTTTATGTCTATTTCTGATGTAAATTGATTATGATGTATTTTAGTATGTAAATGAAGACTTATTTAATGTCAGATCATCACACTTGATAACTTGTAAATTTGGAAATACTTGGTAGTTATCTGGAAGATGTGTAGAAGTCAAGCATTAGTTAACATTAGTATATTTTAGTTATATTTTATTTATTGTACCTTTGAAGCCATACTTGTTGTAAGAATCATACTTTGTTATTGTTTGTTGGATTTGTAAGTGCACTTGAAATGTATGTTATTTTCTGGTCACTTATGAAGTGTAACTAGGCTCATTTATCCTTTATCCTTTGTCCTTGTTGTATCTCAAGAAGATTGCACAGATTAACAAAAACATCGCAACACAATAAAATACAACTGCTTCACTTTGATTGAAAACTCACCATCATACCTTGACAGTTTTGTCAATTTATTTTGTCAATTTATTTTGTCAATTTATTTTGTCAATTTATTATGTCAATTTATTATGTCAATTTGATATTTTATTTTTGTTTGTATTCTTATAGTCAAGTCACGAGACAATAGAACGTTTCTTAGCCAATAGATTCACTGGGAAATATTCCGGAAATAACGTGACGTCACAGAAAGGAACTGTGTATTGATACAGTAAGTATAAGTTGAAGAACTTACAAGTATCAATAACACAGTATTTATATGTTTTCTAATTATACTAAAATATATAAACTATAACATATGGAGAAGAAAGTAATTAAATACTTAAAGCTGATTGATGTTTGTGTCTTGACAAATCTAAAATGTGCTTGGCTTTTCTAATGCGAACCAAGTTGAGGCGGACTTTCTTTCTTCTCTTGTTCAGTATTTGTGGTTTAAACCTTCGTTTGTTCGGATTATAGTTTGTTAAAAGGTTATATTCAACTTCAATTGGTTGCTTCTTACTGGAACACTATGGCGGATTAGTTGTTTGACTTTACTAATATTGTTCGCAAAACAAACAAGAAAAAGTAACTTTTTTGCTAATGTTGTTCGAAATGTCAACAACTTTTATTTTATTTTTCTAAAAAGCGAGTCATATCATTCAAAATCATTAATTTTCTTGTTTGTGGGGAACAAACTTGTTCGTTTTGTCAACAATAAAAGTTATGAGGCGACAAGTACTGCGACAATAATAGTAGCTTTATGAGCAAGAAAAATTTTTTATTTTTTTTTACAAGTACAATAATACTAATAATGTTTCTTATAAAAAACAAAAAAAAAAGGGTTTGCACAATGCAATACGTTGATGCACTCCTAAAAGTTTGACATGAGACTCATCTAAAAAGAGTATATTGAGTTATATAGAATATTTAGTAATTGTTTAGGTTTTTTTAACAAAAATAACTTTTTGGTTTTTCTTGCAATTGTCTTTCTGTCTTACAAATATGAACCAAACGACTATCTACAAAATCACTTAAATGCAACAACAAGTTTCCCAACTCGAACAAAAAATCGAAACACAGACTCAAATACGTAAGAGATTGATGCATTTATTAGCACCCTCTTTTGCCCCAGGTGATAGTAATGAGATCAACAGTGAAGTTCTTGAAGCAGCTCAACAAGGTAAAAAAAAACAAGCTATTTCTCTAAGATATGTATAAACTTTTATTTCTTCCTGAAAAATGCAGCAAGAGAAGGCGATATTGCCAATTCTCTTAATCTAAACTTGATGGGCTTTTGAGACATTCCTAGAGTACTTGAGGAAGAAACAAAAGCATTCGGCTCTCATGGATAACATAGATATGTTACACCACGGTTGCGTTTGCTTGCCCTGATCAACTTATTCAAGAAAGAAAAAAATATCACTGATCTTTTAGTTGATGATAAAGCAAATGAGAATGACTACGGGATCCTCAGAACAATCGCAAAAAAAACCCACGATGAAATGGAGTTAGAGCTACTGAAAGCTTTGAAGAAGAATGACAAAGCAGCTGTGTTGCCTTTATGGTCTGAAGTGTCTTCTGCTCTAATCGCAAAATACACATTTAAGCTTGAAAGCAATGCAGCTACTCATGGCTTTCCTCTTCAAAGATGTCAGCATTCCTGGGCAGCCGGTCTATTGCTCTTCGAAACACACAAGCACAGAAGTAATAGAGCAAGAGATAAGGCTTCTGTTGTTGAAAGAGAGAATAACTCAAGGATCAGGTATAATAAACGCAAAACATGCATTCAATGAAACTTTAAAATGCCTAACAAGAAACAAAACTATATAGTGAAAAACAAGTTAGTGTTGAATCTCTTCAAAGTGAAAAGCCGTCTTTGGAGTACGCAAACCTATATTGTGGTGATGAATTTGAGGATTCTGAAGATAACATCTCTTCGGAATGAAAAAACAACTGTTGTCCTTGTTCTCCTTCTCTACCTCTTCCCTCTTCTCAACCTAAGAAAAGGGGCAAACGCAATGAAGACAAAAGCCAATCAGCCAAGTCTAAGCGTACAAGAAGAAGTAACAAAAAATAGTCACGACCTTAAGTAATAAAACAATTGTTTTTCCATCACCTTCTCTTAAAACGTTTGTATTATAGATAAAGTCCACAGCTCCTGAATTCAACCTACATCCAGAAGCTTAAACTCTCTGAAACCTTATGATTGCATAACATCGACTCATGGGCTTACTCATCTTAAGAATTAGACAGTACTTCCAGCGCTTTTTTAACAATCTGAAGAATTGCTGCGCTTCTCTGATTGGTATGGAAGAACGCATTTTCCGCGGTAAAGTTTTTTTCTCTAACATAGCCATAGACAAAATTGATATACTACTGGGCCTTTATATAGATAAAAAACAAAAGTCGAAACCAGAGTTAGAGTGTAAGTAAACATATAGGAGCTACTTGTTTCTTTTTGTTCCAAGTTTTGACATGAAATGTCACATCGCCTGGTCCTGGTACTGGTGAGTGTTGTTTTGGAAAAGAGTTTTGACATTGCCTTGTTCTAATTTAATTAGTTTGTTTGTTCTATATGTTTAGATGAGATTAGTCTGCTTCCATTTAAAATCAAAGTATGTTTAATCTATAAACTGTTCTATTTTTGCTACTTGAAAGCTAACGTAGCGCCTTTTTTTTTCTAGATTCCAAAACAAGTTCTTGCTGTCTCTTGATTTATAGTAAGTCTGATATGTTATTACACACCTTCAATACACTCAAAACCAACTTTTTTTTTCTCAAAAAAGAATGCTCACCTAAAGGAATTGACTATTTATCCGTACAAGACATGCACTTTGTCAGGTAAGTTTGATGGATAGCAAGATGGTGGTTCTTTCCTTTTTTTAATAAAAAAACCATATACTACATACAAATTATTTTCTGTGTCTATCAGTGTTGTCTCAATTCCGAATGACAAAGCGAATTGCTCATTTAACAGTCTTGCCTCGCTTGTATATTTTTGTTTTTATTAGATTCAAGTAGTGCTTCTTTTCTTTTACTATTTCTCAATAAAAGTATCGTTTTTTCCATTTATAATAAGCGTCTAATTTCTAATAATCCTAAAAAAATAAGTGACATTACGAACAATGTTGGTAACTAAGGCACCAAAACACTTGGTTGTTTTGTAGCCAAAGTTGTTCCAGAAGTAAACAAGTTATTGCTGTTTTGTTGCTAATATTGTTCGCTTTTCGAAAAATAAATTTAATTGTTTTGATACTAAAGTTGTTCGAAAAGCGTACAAATAATTTGGTAACATTTCGAACAACTTTGTACGTCGAAAAATTGATGCCAGCTATTTCTCAAACAACCATTTTGCTGTAAAAATTGGTAATTTTGCGAACAAAAATTGTACGTTTTGTAACTAACTTTTCCACCATAGTGGAGCCGCTATTTTCTGTGACATACTGACGTATGTTTATTTTAATTGTGTCGCTTCTGGGTACTCAAGATAAGTAATAGTGTATATGTTCCGTTGGTTGGTTTTGCTGGCTGTCGTTTGGTATTTGTTTGGTCGATATCCCTTAAGAATTGGTCGAGTTACAGTTATTACAAGTTTGGTCCAATGGTAGTTCAAGATCTTCTGGCGAATCAGATTGCTTGTTGTGTCGTTGAGCTTTCGAAGAGTTTGGCGCAGGGTGTCTGTAGCAATGCTGGATGAATTTGTTTTTCCGCTTTATTGTGTTTTTTATTCATTTCATATTTTCTTTATACTCAATGGGTTATACCATACAATCGTAATGTATGTGTTAGTTCCATTTCGTCTTCTTTGTTTGACACTTTGTGATATAATCACTAATAAAATGGTCAAATCAATAAGTCGATTAGAACCAAAACGGCCAAAAGAAGTCTGCTTTATTAAAGGTTATATTTTGTATTGTATTTATACTGTTTGTATGATAATTGATTATCCTTAATTTGGGACTGAGTGTGTATACACTAGCTAATCGGTTGAGTGGATTAAGGTACACAAGAACTGGGTACATGATCAGAGCACAGACCTCGTCTACCATTGGTATTGATGCAGATGTCAATGTGTGATTATGTGATGGTCTGATCTTTAACATGTTTAAACTAAGATGGAAGACATCCATCGAAGCTGCGGATAAAACTGTGATTGAAAGATATATTTATACATGATATTAATACTTGCTCTTTTAAGGCATAACTAGTGTAAGAAGGGATGAATAATGCTGTGTATACAACACACTTATTTTTTTGATTTGTTTTGATAGTCAATTAACTTTCTACATTTTTATATTTTTTATTATTGTTATTTTATTTCGTTTGGTATTTTCGCATCTCTGATGTTAGCTACTTTAGTTACTGTACTCAGTAACGGACTTGTCAAGAATGGTACAAGATAAAGAAATTCCATTCGAATTATTGTTGAAATCACTAGGTGCATTGGTGCTATTGGCGTTGTTGAAATTATCTTATTTAAATCTCATTTGCAAAAAGATTAAAAAGGAAGTGGTTTACTTCAAATAAACTACATCGGATCTTTTCTTTCTGTTATATTTTTATAACAACTTTATCTTACTTCCTTCAAATTCTATCTTTGAAGCTTACTAGTACCTAAATTTTAAGTCCATTCTTATTCCTCTTTGTTGTAATTGATAGTCTTTACAGTCTTTTATCTCCCTTTGTCTTATTTGGTTCCATATATATCTAGTCAAAGGTAAACATACAGGAGGAATAAAGCGTTGTCAATTCTGTTGAGTTAACATTTTTTTCAGGTTTGTGTTTAATAATACGGGTTACGTGACGATAAAATATCCTCTAACCAATGATACTACTGGGAAAATACTCTAGAAAGCAGTGAGGTCTGTGGTATGATAGGATAAGCACAAGATAAAGGGCTTACATATTATCGGAGATTGAATTAACTAGGTGCACCCTAACTCTGAAGGCCAGTGACTTTTCGGAATATAATCGCAAAATGGTTTGACAGAAATTCTACTATAAGATAGTAGCATTCTCTATCAGTGTACAAAATTTCATCCTATTCGGAACAAAAAGTCGAGTCAGTATAAAAAATGTTGGGTTTGTATACGGATAATGTCACTGCTGAAAATAACACCAATGATAATAAGGATGACACTCTTATCGACCTCACGAATAATAGCTCTGGTAACAATGACACTGTTGGCAATGACGCTGTTGAAGATGAACATATCGATGACTTTATTAATCACTCTGTTGATGGTTTGTTTGACGAATCAACTATTACCGATGAAACTGTACAGCAAACAGATAACGACGTCAATATGGTTGGCTCAAGCTTTCCAGTAGTAATCGAGTCTATCCCTGCCACTGTAAGAGATGAGCTTTCTACTCAAAAGGTGATGAGGATGACTTTTTTGATGCTGAGGGTACTATCTCTATGTCTACGGACCAAGATTTCTCTGATTGCGAATTCAACATTGGTGTCATGAACCAAGCAAGCCTTGTTAACCTTAGCACGCTTGTCTCAGTGTTCCAACCTTTAGTTCCAAGCATCAAGTTACCAGCATCTAGTTACCAGCATCCATGGCGTAGTTTTAAGGTAACAATGCCAAGACAAACAATGCCACTTTCCCATGTACAAATGACTCAGTCCTCAGGTCATGAGGTAGAACGCATTGCCAAGCCTCGTCATGTTATGACTTAGCCCCTTCCTCACATATATTCCATGCTACCTCAACATTAGTATAAATAGTCTAGTTATTCTGTCGTTGAGTTACTTCTTCGTCAGTTATATTATCAACTTATAATATAATAAATATCTCTATATTCTCTAGCCAATTGATAAGCTTATCTTGCCTATAAAGTATTCTTCGGTCTGTCTTGTTCCTGACATTATAACTGACCAAACAAATTGAATACTTAGATCGTCGATTTGTGTACTCCTCTGCCTGTATAGTCAAAACTTTGAAATCGTATAACTCCGTGGATTCTCAACGTACCCAACCGATTGTTTCATTTCCTTGCGTTCGTAAAAGCCACAATTACTGCCAAACTAAAAAACAAAATTTTGTGCAACGTTACCTAAAAAGAGAATCATATATTACACAAGTATTTTGAGCCACTATTTCTATTTTGGGAATTTTGTGTAACCTGTCTGTCTGTCTATCTGTCTGTCTGTCTGTCTGTCTGTCTGTCTGTCTGTCTGTCTGTCTGTCTGTCTGTCTGTCTGTCTGTCTGTCTATCTGTCTATCTGTCTGTCTGTCTGTCTGTCTGTCTGTCTCGTCTGTCTGTCTGTCTGTCTGTCTGTCTGTCTGTCTGTCTGTCTGTCTGTCTGTCTGTCTCTGTCTGTCTGTCTGTCTGTCTGTTGTCTGTCTGTCTGTCCAACTTTTCGAACCCCACTTGTATTCTTAAAAAATATTTTTCGCTGCAACGTCAAGCCCTATGGAGCAAATTACCGCCAAAATTCACGCCCTTGAGGAAGCTTTACCTCAACAACTAGAAAATTTAGACCACTCTCTGTCTTTGCTCAAAACAGATTTGGATAATCTGCAGAATCTTGTTAATACCAATAATCAAGATTTGAACGAGCGTGTAACCACGAACGCACAAAACGTTTTAGTTGAACTCCAAGAACGTATTGCCCAATTCGGTCTGGAAATACACGACTATTTAAACACCAACGTTGTTTTTCGTAAGGAAAACACCAGCAACAACGCTCCTTTGCCTGCACTAAAAATGCGTAATCCACCTATTTTCACTGGCAAAAATAGTGATTGTGACACTTTCTTCTCTCAGCTTGCTCTGATCTTTGCTTCTGACCCTGCTCGTTTTGTGTCGGATGAGGCTAAAATACTTTACGCAATTAATAATCTGGGGGTAATGCTTTTCTTTACATTCAACCTTACCTCGGACAATTGGATCAACCTGTCAACGAAAGAAGTACTGTATTGACAAGCTACCATTATTTCAAACATACCATGTTCACTGCTTTCGGAGATCCAAACCCCGAAAAGACCGCTGTTGACAAAATACGTGCATTGAAACAAACTGGTTCTTGTGCCACCTACTCTGCTGCTTTTCGTGCTTTGGCCATCAAAACAAATTGGGATGATTGTGCTTTGATGTCCCAATATTATTTAAATTTGAAGCCGTTTATCAAGGACGAGCTCGCTAAAAGGGACAAAATTACCGAATTAAACAACCTCATGGATGTTTGTACTGAAATCGACAATCGCTTGTATCAGCGACTCAAAGAGAAGCAATTTGGATACCAAGAACAACGCGATCAATCAGTCAATCTACCTCGTCAGTCGGGTAATAAGCCATTTAAAAATGGCCAAAATCATGCTACTCCCATGGAATTGGGTAGTCTTAGTCATAATACACCAAGCAGCATTACGAGCCAAGAGCGCCAACGACGTAGGGATAACAACCTTTGTCTGTACTGTGGTAAGTCCGGCCATTATGCCAATCGTTGTCCTGTCAAGATTAGATCCGACTCGCTGGCTGTCCTACTTTTGGACAATCAGAATTGCCCGGCAACTCAGGACCATCTTCGTGACGAGTCGCCCACCACAATCTTGAACAGCCTAAGTTTGGATAGTGGTAACCAAGTCAACCATCTGGGATTAACGGGTAAACGAACCAGATCCCGGGAACAAGTCGTGCGTGCTTATCACGCTTTTAACCAAAAAAAGCAAAGGATTATTCCACTAGTTAGCTACCAAGAGTACAAGAATACAAGATATGTTGCAGGTAGTGAAAGTGCTCCGGGTACTATCATGGTGTTACCAGTGGAATTAGCTTCGGTTTCTGCAGAACAACAAGTGGTATATTCCAAAGCCCTTTTGGATTCGGGAGCTTCGTGCTCATTCATATCTCAAGCCCTGGTAGATGAAGCCAACCTTCCGATCTACAGCTGTGAACCCTCGTATTCCGCATGGCTGACCTGACAGTGAAGACCATTAACAAAAAGGCCAGGGTTCAAATGACACTCAAGGGAACCGACCATTCCGAAATGATTGACCTACTTATTCTTGATTCTGCAACCTACCCCATTGTACTGGGTATGAGTTGGCTCTCTAGACATGAACCTATCGTTCATTGGCGCACGGGTGTTATCGGCATGACCTGCCTTTTCCGTGATTGTGTACCAGTCAATGTGCGAGACTCACAAGCTGTTCGAGTACGCTATGACTCAGATAGTAGTAGTGATGGGGAAAACGACGGAAGTACCGAGTCTGACTCCGATGGGTATAGCTCTAGCGAAGACATAGTCATTCAGGTTCCCCTCAGTCCTCATGTGAATATACCAAGTCTCGGTGCTGATACGCCAAGCACTCGTATCGACACACCAGTCCTCGTGCACCGTCGGCCTCTGAAGAGGAACAGGTTAGTGACTACTCCGAAACTGATTCCCCACCTACCTCTCGTTTTGCATCAAGTATGATGTTCTGGCCAGGCCCTGGCCGAGACTACAGTACCCCTCCACCTGTACGCTCTCCTTCCTACACGAATTATTTCTTTGCCGCGTTAAACGCAGGCTCTGCAGAGGTTTCCCCTCCTGCTCCTGCCCAACTCACTTCGTACGTGTCTCCTCCTGGTTCTCCCGTTCACTTGCCCCCTCCTGCTATGAGTCTGGGCTCTATTGAAAACGAAGATGCTGGCTCCGTTGACTTGATTTTATTCTCTGACTCCGAAGAAATAAATCTTGACTCCCCTATGGGTGAACAATATTTATCGGGTTCTTCACCTTTGAGTATGTCATTGAGTTCTGATGTTATTTCGCCTACCAATTCAGTTGAGCTACTTCATGTTTTAGATAGTTTAGTCCAAGTGAGACTGACACATTGTCTAATAAGCAAAGTAGTATGTTGCCAGCTAAGTACAGAGAGTTTGAGTCTGTCTTTTCCAAGAAAGAAGCAGATAAACTTCCTCCTCATCGACCTTATGATCATTCTATTATACTAAAGCCAAACTCTGAAATACCTTACGGCCGCCTATACAACTTATCGCAAGTGGAGCTTGAGACTTTGAAAAAGTATCTTGAGGAAAACCTGGCGAAAGGCTTTATAACACGATCTGAATCCCCTGCTGGCGCTCCAGTTCTGTTTGTAAAAAAGAAAGACGGCTCTTTGCGTTTGTGTGTTGATTATCGAGAACTCAATCAGATTACCATACCTAATAGGGGTACATTACCACTCATACAAGAAACTCTCGATCGTTTAAGCTCGGCTCGTGTATTCACAAAACTAGATATGAGAGGTGCCTATAACTTGATACGCATTGCTGAAGGAGATGAATGGAAAACTGCCTTCCGCACTCGATATGGTCATTTTGAGTATCGCGTCATGCCTTTTGGACTCTCCAATGCCCCCTTTACATTTCAGGCATTTGTGAACGACACGTTACGCGAGTACCTAGACATTTTTGTTGTTGTATATTTAGACGATATCTTGGTTTTCTCCAACACTCAAGAAGAACACACTAAGCACGTGAAGCTAGTATTGGCCAAACTAAAAGCTGCTTCACTGTCCCTCAAGTTGGAGAAATGTGAGTTCGATGTTCACACTGTGCAGTTCTTGGGATTCTGCATTAGTCCAACTGGCTTATCCATGGATCCTATTAAAGTGGAAGCAGTCAAAGAATGGAAAAGACCTGCCTGTGCTCGTGATATTCAGGTCTTTATCGGATTTACAAACTTCTATCGCCGGTTCATTAACAACTATTCCAAACTCTGCCTACCTTTAACATCACTACTTAAAAAAGACGTGCCTTTTCTATGGAATGAAGATTCTGAGACATCCTTCAACAATCTGAAACAAGCAATGATCAGTGACCCTATCCTCCGTCACTATAACGCTAACTTACCATGTGTAATCGAATGTGATGCTTCGGATTTTGCAGTTGGAGGTGTTTGCAGCCAAGTGGACCTGAGTGGTGCTACTCATCCGATCGCTTACTACTCCCGAAAACTATTGCCCGCTGAACGTAACTACCCCATATATGACAAAGAGCTTCTGGCTATTGTAACTTGCTTCAAACATTGGCGACACTATTTGGAATTTTCGAAAGAGCCCACGATGGTCTACACAGATCATAGAAACTTGGAGTATTTTAATACTACTCGACAACTGAATCGTCGTCAAGTTCGCTGGTCTGAATTTCTCGCTGACTACCACTTCGTGATTGTTTATCGCCCTGGCAAACAAAATGCTGCGGCAGACGCCTTGTCCCGTAAGGATCAACCTTTTGTGGAGGGTACCCCTAAAGGAAAAACGAACATGACACTATTAAAGCCAAACATCTTCCTGAATACAATCAGCGGATCAATCATGGAACCAAGAAAAAACTTTATACTAGACGAGATCAAGCGTGGTATACCGCAAGACCCGAGTTTTTCACAAATAGCCAAGAAAATTGAAGAGAATCCTGACTATAATATAGAGAACGACATTCTCTTCTACAATGGTTCTATTTGCGTACCCGA